CACCTCCAGGGATGGGGAGTCCACAACTTTTCTGGGCTAAAAGGACTTGTTTCTGCAGTGTGGGATTTTTTTTTTCTGTGGCAATTCCAGTGCCCTCAGTGGAAAAGGAATTGTAAATCCCCTGTGTGTGTGCCTCTATCAGCAGAATGTTTTATTTCATCTAGAGAATAAATCCATGGAGAAACTAATTCTTGGAGCAGGGCAGTTTTTCCCTTTATGTCAAGGGTGACCCACCTAATACTCAAGAAGCTTTCCTGGACAGAGTTAAAGGGGGAATCTCCAAGGAACATATTTAAAGAGGGGAAAACTGGTAATGATTTACCTAAAAGAGGGGCAGATATTAGGAAGAATTTTTTTTTTTTTTTACAATGAGGGTGGTTGAATATTCAGTAAAGCAGGAGAGCTGTTAAAATGTATTTGATTGGGGTTTTTATTTTATTTTAATTTTATTTTGTATCCTTCAAATCTGCTGCAACCAGGTGAGTATCACAGTGCCTGTAAAAACAGGGTGAATATCTGTGTCTCTAACAGGTAAGAAATTGGTTAGAAAGTACATAAAAAATGTTTTGAAATGGGCTGGAGCTCATGAACTCTTTTATAGTATTTATGATATTCCAGATGATGGGGAGACCTGAGGTAACATTAATAATGAAACCCCGATGGTGGAAAAGCAGTGAAAGGCAAATCAAATTCTGTCTCTAAAATGCTAAAAAAAGGAAAAGAAAAGAAAAGGAAAGGAATAGAAATTTGTAGTCCCAGAAAGATGTTGGAATAAAAAGTAAAACTTACCTTGTAAGTACAGGAAAGATACTGAAGAGAAGAGTCACAGTTGACCTGGTGGAGCTTTTCTGTGTCTCTGAGTTCCCCAAAGCTGTAGAAAGAGAGGACACAAATCAATGTGAGTAGAATTAGAAAAATAAATAAACTTGGCACTCTTTTCTATGAGAGTCTTGTAGCCAGTTTGGGGTTGTGGTGTAGAACGGGTGCAGAGCTTTATTCACTGTAATTATTGAGGATTTCATGTCAAAATGGAAGGGTTGGTCAAGCAGAACCAAACAGGTTCTGCCCTCAGTGCCCTGATTGTATTTTTGCTGAAAACCTGATTTTAGCAGTGTGTCCCGTGGCTCTGGTAAGTCAGGCTCAGAGTTCCACCATCCCAAATTCATGGAAAAACTTTGGAAAAGTTAAAAACCCAGTCTAGGCCTCAGTGCCAGCAGGGGAAGATGCTGCTCAGGTGCAGTTCTGTGAAGGGTTTGGGGATCACTGGGAAGCACAAGTGGGTTTAGGATCAACAACTCCCCAGCTGGTTTGAAAGGGGCCAAAATCCACAATGGGATGTACAAATGTCCAAAGGAATCTTATCTTCCTGGATAAGGCAGCAGCCAGAGGGTCTGGTCCTTTCTCAGATGTGTGGAGTCAGTCCAGATGGGAGAGATGGGAATAACCAGTGGGTCAGGAGCAGGTTGGGGACACTCAGAACAGAGACAGAGAGACAAGTGGAGAGGGTTTGGTGTCTTCAAACATCTCCAAGTGCCCTTGGAAAAAATGGAATCTTGTTTGGGATACACAGGGTTAAAATGCAGAATAGGAGGAAATTTGCAGTGGAGGAAATTTGCAGTGGAGGAAATTTGCAGTGGAGGAAATTTGCAGTGGAGGAAACTTGATTACATACATGGAAAAAATGTTTCGTGTTAAGAGCAGGGAAGCACCAAAAAACATGTAGGAACCTTCGTCAGCTTTTTTTGGAAGCCTTGGCAAGATGTGGCACTTCGGCCTTTTTGCTGTTTGTTCACAAGTTTGTTTTTCGCTGAAATTCTAAAAAAAGCTGCATTCTAAGGAAAATGAATCCAGGTAATGGAAGGAAAATTAGTTCAGCATCTCTGTTCTTTTTTTAATTCAAAGGAATGCTCAGATTTGCCTTCATATATTAATTTTCTGTGTTCTCCATGACTCTGTCAGTCAACATTTCCAGGTATATGTAGCCTTTATTTTGGGAATATGTTCCTTTATGTTAGAAGAGCTTTAGGGAACTGCTGCTGATGTTTAACAGAGAATTAAATGTGGTAGGAAAAAGAAGAAATCTCTTTCTGTGGGTTATTTGTGGGTGAAACTTTTATTAATATTGATTTTTATTTTACTGTTTATTATTTTTCTGACTTATTCTTCATGTGAGATACGGAGACAAAACATCAGGGGTTTTTAGTTGTCTGTAAAAACTGAATAAAAATACTGAGAAAAATAATGGAATAAATTTTAGATTCTTGTGCACTATCACACAGGAGAAAAATCAAATGAAATTCTCCTTCAGGGAGGAGGAGGAATAATTTTTTTGACAAAAATCTGCTTTTTAATGCAAAAAATCTAGTACTTAAGAGGAATATTGTAATAAGATCTTATGCCTCAGGCTTTGCTAGTTATAATAATTCAAATAATTTAATTGATTTCTTGGAGGAAACCGAAGCACAGCTTATTTAAATGTCTGCAAACTATGGCTAAATTCATTTGGCATCCTTTTACTTCCAGCTGAAGAGTCTGGATGAGCAGTTTTGGAGCTCGAAGATCCAATTTTCAAGTGCAAGGAAAGGTATTTCTGTATTTTAAAACTGCTTTAAGTTGCTGTTCAAAGCACATTTCCCCGATGTTTGGAGTGGGAAGAAAACACTTGTGGAAAAACTGCCTGTTGGTTTTTCAAGGAGAGGAAGGGACCAGTTCTGTGCCTGGTGACATTTGATTTGTTTTCCTACAAATTCAGGTGCTTTCAACTCTTTCATCACTCTCTATAAATTTGAGTTTTTATTAGCCCATCATATATAGATTCTCCTTCTGTTTTAAACCTGTGACACGTTGTAGTTCCTGAGTGAATAAATAACTCATTGGCACAGAGGGTATTTAATTTGTTCCCATTTTTAGTGGCCTGTTGGGGTATCTCGGGCAATCCACTCAACTCAGGATAATTAGGGCAAGTCACAGCATCCAAAAAAAAAAAACAAACCTGGAGAAAAGGAGGCTCAGGGGGGACCTTTTTACTCTCTACAACTCCCTGACAGGAGGGGGGGGGTTCAGGCTCTGCTCCCAGGGAACAAGGGAGAGGAGGAGAGGGAACGGCCTCGAGCTGTGCCAGGGGAGGTTTAGTTTGGATATTAAGGAAAATTTCTTCCCTGAAAGTGTTGACAAGCGTTGGATCAGGCTGCCCAAGGAAGTGCTGGAGTCCCCATCCCTGGAGGGTTTTTAAGAGGGGTTAAAGTGGACGTGGTTTAGTGGAGGATTTGGCAGTGCTGGGTTGATGGCTGGGCTTGATGATCTTAGAGGGCTTTTCCAACCTTAATGATTCCACGGAAACAAGAAAGTGTTCCTTGTCCTTCTCTCTGAAAGGCACCAGGGGAACCACGGACACAAACTGCCCATCTGGGAGCCCTCCCAAAACATTTTCACTTCATTTCAGAAGCGAACAGGACCAGAGACGCTGGTTTGGAAGCACAGCAGAGGCTTTTGTGTCACCGTCCCAGGGCTGCCAAGTGGGACTGATGGAGTTGCATTTGTCTTAGAATTAGCATCTCCAAAGAGCCATTACCACATATTTATTACCTGATCCTCCTCCAAGGGCCTGGTGGTGGAGCCTGCAAGGAGCTCATTAATTATGTCTGGATGGATGGTGGAGAATTTTGCTGCTGTTTGTCCTGCTTTTCAGAGAAGCACCACCCAGGTGGGTCCAGCGACCCGTGTACCAGTAGTTATGGAGCTGCTAATCGTGCCAGTGGTAAAAATGAACTTGTTATGACTTGGAAATTCTAGTGAATACGGGTGGTCCTTTACAAAAACAAAGGTGGAGGTCATAAAGTGTTGTCTCTGAGCTCTTTCTCAAAGGCAGAAACCTTCTTTCCCCTCAATCCTATAACTTCATGGTCGGTTTTGAAGATGAGATGAGCTTTAAGGTCCCTTCCAACCCAAACCACTCCGGGATTCTTTGCCTCTTTTCAACCCCTGCTTTCAAAACCCCAAACAAAACTCCCTTTTGCTGCCCCGATGGTTTCTTTTGTGGCCTGAAAAGTGATTTAACACAACCTATCACTGTGTCTTCAGACCCTTGGACTGTGCAGCACCTTATCTGCTTTGTTTACTGCCAAAAATAAGCGTGCCTTGCAGTTCACCCCTGACAATTGCACAGAGCTGAAGTGGCTGTGGGGGAGCCTGCTGGGCTCTTTTCTACCTCCTCTGTCCTTAGCAGATTTTAGTTTTAAATTTAAAACGCTGTGATTGCTAATAAGAGTCGGTGTGAAAACTCCGTTTTTAGGAAATTGTTTAAAAATTTAGAAATTTTACTGGTGAATATGGAAATTATGATCTTGAGCCTCTGAGATGGGCTGGAGGTGCAGCTCAGGCCGTTTTTGCAGATGTTTTGTATTCCTAAGGCATTAAGGTGAGGAGATATATAACCTATATGTGTATATATAAGGTTAAGAAAGGGAGATACACACTTAGGTTTATTAACTTGCTGGTTTTTTTGCCATTGTGACAGCTCCTGCCTGGGAGGTTATAAATAAACCTACTATTGATCTGATGCCTTTGGAAAAGAATTCCCGTGCAGTGTGTAATGCTGATAAGTCGGCAGCTGCCTGTTCCCGAGTCCCCACGTCACATCCAGCACTTGGCTTTGGGATGGACCCTTGAGGAGCAGTTCTGACCCACCTTGTCACAGCAGCCTGACCCCAGATCACCAAAAAAAACACACCTCTGATGGTGGGGGGGTTTTTTTGCCCTCCCCTCCTGTTGCTGGAGTGTCCCAGCGAGTCCCTAAAACGCTGCCCTTTCGCCCCTGTCCTGCAGGAAATTTAATCTCCCCGGTAAGTGACACCCGGAGCTATTTTGGAGCTGGGCTGCAGAGGGAAAGCAAAGCACGTCAGCGATTTGACTGGGGGAGGACAACCCAGGGGAGGGGTGGGGAGGAGGGGGTGGCACAGCCTAACCCCGGGCAGCAAAGCCACTGCTGGGGGACTTGGGGGGACCTTCTGCCGCACGTCCCTGCCGTCGCTGGGGTTTCTGTTTTATTTTCCTGGAGGGGGAAGGGGGGGGGTTGAAACCCAAACCAACATGGTCTCCCCATGTCCTCTGTTCCCCTCTTCCCTCTTCCCCCTTCTGTCATCTCAGTAGGAATCGGCTTTTTCTTGCCCTGCCCAGAGCTTTGTTCTCCTCAGGCTCAGACAAGACTCCAGGTAAGATCTAAGCCTCCAGCTAAGGAGAGGTGGATTTTGGGGATGCTGATTTCCAGCAGGAAGTGGAGAGTGTTGGTAGTTGAGGGAGGGGTGAGGTTGTTTCTGTGCCATGCTGGGGTATGTCTTGCTTTATGAAACATATTTGGGGATGAAGCTCAAGGTACAGGGAGTAAATCCATCCTTCCTCTGCTCCGAACCAAATGTGGATTGTTTTGCTTAATTACTTCTGGCCACGTAACCAAATGAGCAAAGATCATCCTCCAGAGGAGAGGAGAAGAGAGAAAAATCAGGTTTAAAGCTGTTGATTCTGCTGGATACGTTTTGTCCCCAAATTTGAGACAGCAGTGCTTGGAAAGCCTGGAAAAACATGTGGTTCCTGTGGACAAGTGGCAGCGAGGAGCGCTTTGAAAAGTTTCATTTCCAGGGCATAATCTCAGAGCTGCTTTTCTCTCCAGCCAGGGCTTTTTTTACCCCCCTTCTGAGTTCCTGCCCAGAGTCAGCACAGATTCACTCTGCAACCCCCCACCCTCCTCCCGGTCCTCCAAAGGGCTCTGACGAGGGATGGGGGGAGATGGAGCCCGACAGCTGAGGCTATTTTGGGCCCTCCAGCTCAATGGGGTGGAGTGACTGTAATGACAATGACGTCCTCTTGTTAAAATACGGGGGCTTAGGTCGGAGCCGCTGCTGCCGATTGTCACCGAGGGAATTCTTTGTCCGCGTGGGAGCCGTGATCCCGCGGCTGCCTCGCATAGGAAATCACGTGTGCTGAACCCGGACCATTCCTGCCTCTGCAAGTGTGTTTTTTTCTTGGGATCTGCCACAGCTGCTTCCCTCCGGGGCTGTGTGTAAAGCAAAGGCCAGTTGGGCGAAATTTGTAAGGAAATTTTTCTGGTGAAATTGTCAGAACTTAAGTCGCTCCTTTTCTGTCACCAAGGTGGCAAACCCAGAATTTTTGACTTTTCCCTGCATTTGTCTCCTCCATTCTAACCCCCACAGAGCAGGAATGAGCATCGCTGTGTGCCTGACACCTCCCTGGTGCTTTAGCCTTTTCTTACTTCAAATCATTCCCAAATCTTAGTTCGCGAAGCCTAGCCATGAGATTACTTCAAATCAGCCTTGTTGCCTTTAGACTCAGGAAAATAGAAGGGAAAGGTGCTACTGTGGAATCTGGAGGGGCTGATCTGAGCAGTTTTAGGACTCTGGAAGTTTCTGGGGTGGTTTTAGAGCTCCATTGAGGGTGGAATCTGAAGTGAAGCCCCCATGCTGCAAGAAAACCCAAGTAGGATGAAGTCCCTTTGCTGCATGGAGCTCTTGGAGCTGTTGGTGCGTTGTTGGAAAGTGGTTAAAAGAGGGATTACCTTTGCAAGCAATAAGTCTGTTTATATCCAGGAGGAAAGATAATGTGTGCTTTAAGCATATAAATCATCCAAGTGCCTTCAGTCTCCCATGTTTTTCAATAAGTGTGTGCTACTAACGTGCTAGAAGGTGATCTGACTGCCTTGCCCAGTAGATTTCACAAACCATGTGATTTATTCTTGGTTCTTTTTGGAATTGCCTAAATGTTTTGGCTCCTGTTTGTTACCAGTCACTGGAAATACCCAGGTTATCGATAAAGGGTTAATAATGGGAGCACGAGGTGAGGCAGGTCCTTTCTGAGTCTGTTGGTGCATTTTTAGCCCTACCCTGAAGGTCAGAGTTGTGAGATGGTCTTGCCTCGAGCGGAGCCTTTTCCCCGGGGGCTGCTCACTGTGTTTGACACCATGTCAGCCCCTGACCTGCTGTGAACTTTCCCTTGAAGGAATCTCCTGTGGGTGTTGGATTATGATGGAGGCAGTAGATGGCAGGGAATGCAGACCAGCCTCACTCTGGACCGAGTTAGAAGCTCCTTGCAACAGGCTCAGTGTGTCGCGGGGTCTCATCATCCGACATCTCCAGTGCAGGAGATGGATCCACCATGGAAAGCTCATCCAGTGACCTTTGAACATGCCAAAATGGGCAGTCCCTCACTGAAGTGGAATTCAGAGTAGCCCAAGCTAAGCCCCGAGCCCAGCTCCTCGGCCGCAGATCCCGTTCCTGCTCTGCTGAAACGGGCACGGGATAAATTCTGGGATCTCGGGTTGATGAGCTGGTGCAAATCTGTGCTTGCACTCGATTTAGGGCTGTGATGGGCAGGGAGCTCTGGGTGTGCTGGTGTGCATTTCACCCTCGGAGCACACTCTCTGCTGGGGTGGCTCCCGGGCCCCCACCAGAGCCCACCTGATGTCACCCAGCCCGCAGCTGACACCGGACACTGGTGCTATTTCCGAGCTGTCCATTCCCCGGGAGGCTGTTGGAAGCAGGAGGGCAGCAGGGGGTTACTGCTGCTTCCCCCTCAGCAGGATTTTAAACATCAAAGGAAACCCACACTTCCCACTTGACGACCCACCGACTTCCCTTCCCACCCATGGATTCCATTTCCTGATGTTTTTAGATGGAACAATACACGCAGAGATGTCGTGTAAACTGGAGTAATTACCAGCACTGCCTTGATTTTTATCTGCAGCTTCTGTTTTAGTGGTGTTCTTTGAAAGCTCAGGATCTAGAGATGGGAGGTTCCCTGTGAACCTTGCCCTTCCCATCAGGAAAGGAAGGAGTGCAAGGCTTAGAAGTTGGTATTGCAGGGAAAGTCCTGGGAACATGAGATCTAAAGGCAAGAAAAATACCCCAAATCAACGTTTTTTGACTTGGGCAAAGAAAGGGTAAAAGAGGATTGAGAAAATGAGCAAACAGGAGCATGGTGGGCATTCATGTGGTATTGAGAGAACCTCTGTGCTTCTTATCTGTGTTTGGGCTTTGGTGATCTCTTGGGTTTAGGTTTATCCTCACTTGGGCTTTACATCCCCAAAGTCTCCATTGTGCAGGTGTGCAACTCGTGGCCACCTTTGCCTCAGGAATGTTTTAGGAGATGGATTGCACGGTGCTTTTTGCACTTTGCCCAGAGTCAGGGGGGGCAGGATTCCCTTTCTAACCACCCGAGTGAAAGGCTTGGACAGAGAATAACCTGCCACCCCTGTCCTCTCCTGCCAAAGAGCATCGTCACAGGCTGCTGATGGCTTGGGGGGGCAATATGCCATGGGGGAGAGACCTCTGAGTCCTCAGGGGTTGGTGAAGGTTTTTCAGGTTCAGATCAGCATCGATGAAGCAACATGAAACCAACCCATGAGACGCAGGAGGTCAGGAGATGGAGCCAGGCTGGAAGAGCTGGAGAAGGGAAGGCTCCAGGGAGACTTGAGAGCCCCTTCCAGTGCCTAAAGGGGCTCCAGGAGAGCTGGAGAGGGACTGGGGACAAGGGATGGAGGGACAGGACAACAGGGTATGGCTTCCCACTGCCAGAGGGCAGAGTTAGGTGGTATGTTGAGAAGAAATTTTTCCCTGTGAGAGTGGTGAGGCCCTGGCACAGGTTTCCAGGAAAAGCTGTGGCTGCCCCTGGATCCCTGGAAGTGTCCAAGGACAGGTTGGATGGGGCTTGGAGCAACCTAGTGGAAGGTGTCCCTGCCCGTGTTGGGGGTGGAATGAGGTGAGCTTTAAGGTCCCTTCCAACCCACCCCATCCTGGGATTCTGTGGCACCACCATGAGGACTCTCCATCTCCTGCTGACTCTCCTGACGAGCTCCACCTCAGAGTACTCCAAGAGGATCTGGAGAAGCCCGTGGCTGTTCCCACTGCAAGGGACTTCTTTGCTTGTCCAGGGAAAGCAGGTGTTGGGCAGAGACTGGAAGTGGAGGGGACAGGAGTGGGCAGGAGGCCTTGGGTGGCTGCATGGTTGAGTTTGGCTCCTGGGCAGTGATTTATTTGCATTATCTGACAGGTCTGTGCACTTCTGCCTCTTTCCCCCCGAATGCAAACCAGTGAAAAATTGAATGAATAACAACATAATTAAAATTACAAGTGCTGCCAGTTTTCCTTTGGCGTGCTCAGAATTACCCCAGATGGGAATGTGATCTCTGCTGCAAATGATTAATCACAGAGGGATTACATGGGGAAAGATGACACTGGCAAATGCCTGAGATTTATTGGAAAGGGCATCTGCATTGACTTGGTTTATTCATGCTTTGTTGTCAGTCCTGTCCCTTCCAAGGGAGCTGTCCTGGCACTTGCAGAGAGTTATTATTATTTTTTCTAACTTCAAGAGTTACTGGATTTTTTTAAAAGTTTAAATGAACATACAGATAACCTAAATTAATGTAATTATTTACTAAGTTGATTGACAAGTTACACTGTAGAAATACTAAATCTTGTCCTTTTTGCATGTTAAGTTTGTTCTCTCCTTACTCCTAAATATAATTATGAGCATAATCCAACGTGATGAATTTTATCTCATTTAAAATTAGATAAAATGATTTATCTCATGCAACTTGTCTGGCCTGTTAGATGTGTTAAATACTTCTTGCAGCCTCATCTTTGCCACAGGTTAGGATTTCATGCCTGTTACTGGATTTCATGCTCTCAGCACCCATAAAACAAGATTTTTTTTTTTACCCCTTTTTTCAGACGGGGACTGAAGATCCAAGAGTTTGAGTGTCTTTCTCTTATTTATATAAGTAATTCAATAGCAGAGCAAGGAATAAACCATGTTTTTCTTTCTGACAATGTGAAAGGTAGCAACGAGCCCTGTTTCCACTGATCCCTGGAATTTTTCTGGATCCTGGCCTTTCGTAATGGAGTAAGAACCTTGGAGTGTGAGGGCACGTGGTGGAAGCTGGGGGAGGTGCTGGTTGCACCAAGGGATGTGGGGTCTTCACCCTGCACTGGGAGGGCTGTGGGCTCCTGGTGATGGAGAGAAGGGAGTTGCAAACACCAGGAAAGTGTTTGGGAGCAGCAGGAGAGGGAGGCTGGGCCTTGAGGCCACTGGAAAGAAGTGTCTTGGGTGGATTTGGTGCTTCAGTCTGGTCCAGGAGCAAAAGCATCAGGCAGCTGGTGCAGCAGCTTCCCTGTGTTTTGGCTGTTCTTCACTATCAGAGGTACCTGGGCTGTGTTTGGGCACTGCTTAGCGTGGAAAAGAGAGGAGGAGGAGGATGCAGAAGAGCTTTAGGAAGTGATCAGCATTCCTGCTCTTGTAATAGCCAGCCTTTGAGAACCCTTTCCATGCTTCCACAGAGCAGAGCTCTGCTTCAGGCATGGATACATCTCCTGGGGTCCAGGTGAGGGTAAGAAAGGTGGTTTGAGAGAAGCCACTGTTTGCTGAAAGGTCCCTGGCTGGTTCCCAAGCAGGCACCTCTCGTGTCTGTAGCCATCCCAGTGCTCCAGGCACTTTTCCATGTAATGCAGGGCTCAGTTTGGTGGAGAATTGAAGCAACTTCATTTTTTTTTTTTTTTTTTTTTGCTCTTTTTGACGCTGTGGATTTGAATCTGAAATGAGTCAGAGTGACACATCTATCAGAGGCAACCAGGGACCCAGGAAGGATAAGACATGGCAATGTCTCCTGAAGATAAATCCAAGTGCTTTGATGACACAGTGCAGCCTGAAATCAAAGTTTATGGCTGTGAAAGATTAGGATATGAACTCTGAGCCCGTGTTTTCGTTGTTAACTCTTATTTGGTGCTGCTGGGCTCTCCAGAGTAGAACTTGAACCTCAGCATCCCCTTCTGAATACTGACATGGTGCTTCCCCAAATTAGCAGAAGACTCTGATTGTCAATCAATTGACTTCAGTGGAAATTTCCACTGACTTCAGTGTACTTTGGCTCCAGCCCCGGGCTCGTATCTGTGCCTTCAAACCATTCATGCAGCTTCTCTGCCCCCAGCTTTGAAGGTGTTTATGGAAAATACATTTTTTAAAGCTCAAGTGAGGGCAGAGGTTGAAGGTATTAAGAGGGACTAAAGGAGTTCAGACTAGTTCACTGATTTCTAGACCACTTTTAGACCAAGAGAAAACCAGAGCTGTGTGTTCTTTGCAATTAGTATTGAAGGTGGCCCATTAACAGAAACTCAGCTTGTGTTGGCACTAATGACTTCAAGTCTATCACTCTTTACCCTCTTAATGTTTATTAAAAATGATTTCCCCCCATTACTTTTTTCCCCTCCCAGATTTAATATTTGAAACTGTTTTCTTTAACCTCTAAGGTTTTGTGGTGGAATAATGAAATTTGCTTCATGCCAGGAATCAAAAGCAACTGAAATTACTTTAGAAAAGAACAATCTCATCCAAAGGGAAAAGTCTTTGACTGCTTCTTGTCATTTCATGTGTTCTTTGGAATGAGAGAGACGGGATAGGACAGCACATGGTGTATTTTTCCTGTTAAATATAGAAAGAAGACCGGGTTTGGTTTTGCCTTAGTACTGTGACCCAAATGAAGTAGGAAGTTTGGCTCAACAATAGCATCTTCAATGATAATAATGATCACAGAACATCCTGAGCTGGAAGGGACCCACGAGGATCATTGAATCCAACTCCTGGCCCTGCACAGGGCACCCCAACAATCCCACCCTGTCCCTGAGAGCATTGCCCAAAAGCTGCTTGAGCTCTTATAGCAAACACCATTTGGTATTTTTGTGACCACTTTCCCAGTCTTTATTTGTGATGGCAATACGTGTTTTTCAATCCCCAGCAGCATAAATGGAATGGAAATTGCAATTTTATTCATTTTCATTCATGACTTGCCGTATACCTCAGCAAGTACATTGTCATGTGTATCCTGTGAATGTGATTATTTCATAATAACTATCAAGACTATCCCTGTCTTGATATGAAGAAGTAGGAGGGGAGCCAAGAAACAGGGAAAATGAGTGATTTTTCCCAAGGTCATACAGCAGGTTGATCCAAATCCCTCTCCCTGGTGCCACCAGTGATTTCCACATTAACATTAATACACTAACAGGAGCTGGAGAAGAATGGAAAAATGGTGATTTAAGAAACAAAAGCAGGTTTTTTGGCCTGCTCCTACTGATTTCTGCTGGAGCTGGAGGGGGGGATTGTGAGAGCACCTGCCATTGGGTGAGAGAGTGGGTGGATGTGTGTCCAGCAGGGAAACCAAACTGCTGGAGGATTAAGAAGGATATTTCTGTCTCAGTGACTGGTTTTTATTTCCTTTCTGAGTTACAGCACACAGAGAGCCCTGGTCCCTTTGCTTTTTGTGGCACTTTGAAGGTGAAAAAGCACAGATGTGGGAGCAGCACTGTGATCACCCCCGAGCAGGACCATTCCTAAAGCTCAGACAGGAGCTTTGCAGGACAGGGATGTCTGGAATCATGAGGCCAAGGAGATAAAACAGAGAGAAATGTTGCATTGAAGTCTTCTGAGCAGGACTTGAGCAACCTGGTGTAGTGGGTGGCATCCCTGCCCATGGCAGGAGGGTTGGAAATAGGTGGTCTTTTAGGCCCCTTCCAACTCAAATTATTCCATGATTCTTTGACTTCCATAGAGGCTTGGAGCTGGGAAGCTCAAATTCCTTACAGAGCACCATCAGCAGGTCTAATCCTGCTCCCAGGGAGAGTCAGCTGGTGCACAGTTACTGGTGTCAGTGGGATTGAGAACAGGTCTTTAGCTGTGCTGCTCTTGCCAAAGTAAATCCTACCCAGTCCGTGGAAAAGGTTCCTTGGAGGGTTAGAGGTGGAATGACTCCAGCAGAAGGGAAAGGACACCCAGGAGTGCCTGTGAGGAGCAGTGAAGAAGGAAGGAATGTTTGTGGGGTCCTGGGGGGGTGCCCTGAAGGAGGTGGTTGCTGTTGGATTGATCTCCAACAGCACAGGGGTGGGTAAAGTCTGTGTGTGAGTGAACGTGGCTGTGAAGATCAGCACCACTGATTGCTTTGGACTTTCCTGGGACACAGTGGCTCCAGAATTGCCACGAGCTTTAGTTTTCAACTCTGCTGAAGCCTCGTCCCCTGGGCTGGTCCATATCATCAAACAGCTGCAGGTCAGTGCACGGGTCCCTCTGAGGGCAGCTGAGAATAAGCAGGTGATGAAACATCTTTCCTGTAATCCCTAAGCCATGTGGGGCTCTTCTGGAGAAGGCTGGCACTGTCTGGATTGCTGTGCCCATCCCCTGGGGCAGTTCCTTCACGGTGGCTTTGCACTCCTGTGAGCATAATCACAGAATAATAGAATCAGAGATTCTCTCATTAGGTAGGTCTGGGTTGGAAGGGACTGTAAAGATCATCTGGTTCCAACCCTCTGCCATGGGCAGGGACACCTTCCCCTATCCCAGGTTGCTCCAAGCCCCATCCAACCTGGCCTGGAAACCTTCCAAGGATGGGGCAGCCACAGCTTCTCTGGGCAACCTGTGCTGTGGCTGCTCCATCCCTGGAAGTGTCCAAGACCACACTGGACAGGGCTTGGAGCAACCTGGGATAGTGGAAGGTGTCCCTGCCTGTGGCAGGGGGCTTGGAACTCAACCCAAAATGATCTTGAATGTCCCTTCCAACCCAAACCATTCTGTAGCTCTATGATGGAGAAAGTATCTTGATGTTTAGACACATCTCTCAGAATTTAATGCCCATTTGTTTCCCTACAATTAAAGAACTTGCCCATATCTTCCACAGCATTATTGCAGGTCACTTCCCCAGCGCCAAAACTGAAAGGGACCATCATGTTCTTTCTGTATGAACAGCCCAGAGAGGTCTATTTTGCCTCCCTTATCCATCAGCAGTTTGTTAACCTCAAATATAAGAAATCTTCAAGGCCAAAAACATTCCGAGGCCTTCTCCCCCATCCTGAGAAGGACATTGAAAACCTGACTGATCCAGATGACAAACATCCTGATACCACGGGAGCGCAGCAATTCTTTGCTTGCACCCTCTAACCTGCTCTCTCCTGACACATTTTGTTTCTCCCTGTTTAGGAAGGAAGCCAGGATGGATTACAGCTCCCTCAGCGGAGTGCCCCGGTTCCTGACCCGGCCCAAGGCGTTCATGGTGTCCGTGGGGAAGGATGCCACCCTGAGCTGCCAGATCATCGGAAACCCCATCCCGGTTGTGAGCTGGGAGAAGGACAAACTGCCAGTCCAGTCTGGGGGGAGGTTTAAAACCACGGAGGACGGGGATCTCTATCGGCTCACCATCTACGACCTGAGCCTGGAGGACAGTGGCCAGTACATCTGCCGGGCCAAGAACACCATCGGGGAGGCCTTCGCCGCCGTCAGCATCAAGGTGGGGGAGGAGACCACGGTGACGGAGCAGGCCCCTTACTTCATCCAGAGACCCTCCAACATCAAGGTAACCCTGGGAGAAGATGCCATGTTCAAGTGCAAAGTCCAGGGCAGCCCTCCCCTCTCGGTGAACTGGGAGAAGGACGGGAGGCACCTGCGGAACCAGGCGGACGCCGGGCGCTTCCAGATCGAGTCCGCCGGGGAGTCCAACGCTCTGACCATCCAGTGTGCCCGGCTGGGGGACAGCGGCACCTACACCTGCCGGGCAGAGAACCTCATCGGCTCCGCCAGCGCCTCGGCCGCGCTGGTGGTGGAGACACGCGGCTCCTCCAACCCGGGCAGCAGCGCCAACTTCGACTCCGGCTGCGGGAAGACGGCGTCCTTGCTGTCCCACCTGCAGAAGAGGCGGGAGGAGATCAGGAAGATGGACGTCTCCTACAGCAACCTGGACTCGACCTCTGCCCAGTCTTACTCCGAAGGGTTGTCCGGCGTCGGCTACGGGCTCTCCCGGGATTACGAGCGGGCGGCGGGGCTCTCCAAGGGGGCTCGGAACGCCACCTTCGGGGCTCTGACGCGCACGTGCAGCGTCACGGAGGGCAAACACGCCAAGCTGAGCTGCTACGTGACGGGGGAGCCCAAGCCGGTGATCGTGTGGAAGAAGGACAACGAGGTCATTTCGGAGGGGCGGCGGCACGTCATCTACGAGGACGACCAGGAGAACTTCGTGCTGAAGATCCTCTTCTGCAAGCAGGTGGACAACGGGCTGTACACCTGCACGGCCTCCAACCTGGCGGGCCAGACCTACAGCTCCGTGCTCGTCACCGTCAAAGGTGGGTGCTCATGTTTCTTGCGTGCCTGCGGGGGGATGGCCAGGGCACTTCTGAGCTGGGGTGGGGGCAGGAGCAAAACTGCCACCAAACTCTTGCAGAGGAGTGTGTCAGATGAGAGCAAAGGTGAGCAGGATGAGAACAAAACCCTCCCAGTGAAAAGGGGGTTATGCAGTGGAGTAGATGACCTAGGCAGAGAGTTCCATCACCGGGGAGTTTTTAGGAAGGGCATTAAAGAAGTCCCAGCCAGGGATGGATGATGTAGAACTGGCAGGTTGTGGGGCAGCTGGATGAACTGAGTCTTCTGAGTAGGACTTGAGCAACCTGGTATAGTGGGTGGCATCCGTACCCATGTCAGGGGGTTGCAAATAGATGGTCTTTAAGGTCCCTATAAGATCAGTCCTGGTTTTGTAGTAATCTGAGAGATCCATTACCATGCTCTGGATCAGTGACTGCTAATGCCCTGTCTGACCCTCCAGGCTTTAATCACATCTGGGTTTGTATTCCCCACAGGGTTTGCTCAGGCTGGCACATGTGCCTTTTAAACAGTAGTAGTGGAAATTCCTCCCTACAAGCTGAGTGTGTCTGGCTGCCTTGGAGATCCCTTGGGGCACCCACCCCAACTCTAATTACAGTCCATCTCAGTTTTCCTGTACAGTGACCCACCAGCAGCCTTGTTCTTGCCAGGCCTTTAGCCTTTTCCCAGGCTTGTGTTCCTGCATAGCCTGTATTCCTTGTTTGCTCCCAGGAAATCCAGCAGGCCCAGGATGCCTCTGTTTGCCATGGTCAGTGGTGATGAACTTGACTTCAGAGGATCCCTCAATGCTGGTGGAGGTCAGACCGAGTTCTCAGTGGCAACAAAAATGTGACACAGACATTTCATAGAATCCCAGAATGGTTTGATTTGGAAGGGATCTCAAAGATCATCCAATTCCAACCTCCTCTGCAGGGACACCTTCCACTAGACCAGGTTGTTCCAAGCCCCATCCAACCTGGCCTTGGACATTCCAGGAAGCTCTTAATTTTCAAGCTGCTCTCCCATCTGGCAAGGGGGCAGCAGGCAGTTTGCAACCCAGGCAGCACCTGTAAATTAGCTGCCAGAGGCTAAAGGTTTTGCCACTGTAGGAGTAAAATAGGTTTTAAAAAACAGTCAAACGATTTTTCCCTGGCAGCACAAGATATTAGAAATCCAAATGAGCAGGAATCTGTCTTCCATGCTCGTCTTTAAGACTCTCAGCTTTTATTTGCTTTCTTGGTTTCCCTTTTCTGGACCTCTCTTTTCACGCTGCCTTTCCTGTCAGTGGCTCGGTGTCCATCAGTGACACCTGATCCGTGGAACTCGCTGGCACTTGTCCCACCCATTGCTGTCCCTCGGAGGTGCTGAGTGGTGTTGGGAAGGGCATTTGTCCTCTTCCATAAAGCTGGGATTACCTCAGAGCTGGAGACTGATCCTGGCCCTCGGGTGGGCGACGGCTTCGAGGGTGGCTCAGGCTCAGCTCCCTGCACAGACAAACAGCCCCTGTGCTCTGCCTGTGCTCATGTCACTATTCTCTATGGGAATTAAAGGAATTAATTCCCACACCTCCTGTTCCAAAGGAGGTGGGAAAGCATGGGAAGCAGCAGGTCTGGGAGCAAGCACCATGGGAAAAGGTTATTTATTGATCAATGTCCGTTGTCCAGAGATGCCTGTGAGTCAGAGGGATGAAGTGGAAATGTTTATGGATTGTTTCTTTGTTGCCCTGTGCCATGTTTGGCTTTCTGTCCAGGCCAAGGCTGCCATGGAAAATCTGCATGTATTGGTTATAATTAGGCCCTGATAAATGACTCTCCCTTGTGTCACCAGAAGTGCTTCTCAGCCCTCCCAAGACAGCTCAGAATGATGCAGCAGCAGCAAAGGGAGCTTTTAATTCTGTCGTTTATGTCACTGGTGATGCCATTTGCTCACCTGCCATCGGGTTTAGGGAGGGAGATAATCTTGCCATACAACCTTCCCTTTGCTCAGTTGTGTAGAAGAGGCTGAATTCTCCAAGCAGCCACCCTTAGAATCATAGAATCTTGGAATAATAGAATTGTAGAATATCCTGAGTTGGAGGGGACCCGAGTCCAGCTGCTGGCCCTGTAAGGGGCAGCCCCAAGTGCTTTTGGTCTTTCTGCAAGTAACAGCATGTTTAGAGAGCCTGTGACACTGCATGGACAGTGTGTGTCCATAGACACACGTACCAGGAAACACAAACTTTGTGGGTTTGAATATCCTCTGGCATTTTGGTTCACAGAATTTTAACACTGGAATCCGAGTGAGGATTTTTATGGATCTTTTAGAGATAATAGTAAAAAACCCAAGACTTCCTAGCCCAGCATCATGTCTGTAAGGTGGCTCTTAGTGGTCTCTTGTGGCATGGGAGTGGGCACAGGTCAAGCCTCCAAAATCACAGAATCAGAATGGTTTGGGTTGGAAGGGACCTTAAAGATCAATTCGTTCCACCCCCTTGCCATGGGCAGGGGCACATTCCACTAGACCAGGCTCTTCTGTCCAACCTGACCTTGAACACCTCCAGGGATGGGACATCCGTAGAAAGCCTCCTATACTCTGTCAATCTAGATCCTGGGGACCTACAGGACCCAGGTTCCCAACATGTTTGTGAACACTTTGCTGAACTTGTGCCCTAAAGATCACTGAGCTGAAAGAAAGAGATTTTTGAACTGTTCCTAAATGAGATTTAGTGAATCAGACTTAAATCTCAAAGGAGGCCAGAGAGTCACCCTCCCAATTAAGGAAAACTGAAACTTGATTAGATTTAGAAATGTGTCCAGAACAGCGATAAAATCACAATCCATACACTGAGCTGTAAAAGAAGTTGGGAAATTCTTCCCAAGATTAAACCTTTAACAAACCAGAGAGTGGGGAGGATGGGAGGCACATGAATAAACCAGCTTGAGTTTCCTGAAGGCTTTGGAGGTTTCCCTAGGCTTGTAAAGTTAGTGAGAACAGCATTCATGTCTCCATCCTGGGCCAAGCAACGTTCATCCAAATCCCTGAATAAAGTAATCAGGTACTGTATGGAAAGGTTAAAGGTTGCAAGCCAAACAGGGAGAAACAGGCTGGTGCTGAGGCCACTTCATTCTCCCTCTGATCTGCAGTGATTTTGGGTGACCAACATCATGAGAGTCACACTGGAGACCTGAAGGAGAGAACTGCAGCTTGAGAAAAGTGGAGTTAGAAAGGAAACTTGGAAAACATAGTAACTAGGAAGACCAAGGGCACAAGATGGTGGAAGCTTGTCCATCCATCTTTTGGTAGCTCCTGTTGTGAGGATTTTCCATATTCTTACTCTCACTGGATTGCACAGGGAAAACTTGCCTCTGGAATAATAAATGGAGCACCTGTGAGGACACCAGCAGTAAGCAAGAGGAAATGTAGACGAGTGAGAAAGTGAGGTCCAGCAGACAGATGTGCCTTGGGAAGGTTAAGAAAACATTGGCTTCTCTGCAGGCTGCACCTATTCTTAGCAAAATATGTGTTAGCAGGATTTACTTCTTAAAAATAACATCATCTCACTGCCTGTTTGCTTGTTATGGACCAGACAAAAAAGCTGATTACACTCTGGAGAAATATCTCCTCGAGACAAGCGACCAAATTCATCCCTGAGCTGATTTCTTGCAGTTTCCTGCAAACTCCACGAGCTGCTCTCGCTCTGTGCTCCCTCAGGGTTTTGCTTTGCTGTGTCTACCTCACATTTTCCCCAGTAGGTGGGTTTTTTGAGGCTTTCTTTTTTAATCTCTTGCCTTACTTGCATCTCTCTGACCTGGGCAGGGGGCTGATGAGTTTGGATGCCCACTCTCAAGTGATGTATGGTTCTTCTGTAGACCCCTGACCAAAATTAACTCCCTCTGTCTTCTCAGGTACATGCTAGATCATGCAAAGAGCATGAAGGAGGAGGAGGCTGGTGGGTTTTGGAGCCACTGTAGCAACTCCAAAGCAGAAAAAGGAGTGGGGTGGGTGCATCCCAGGCTTTAATTCAGTTTATCAGCTGCTGCCTCTCTGAAGCTCCATTCAGAGTGAGATAAGACACGTGTGCACATGTCAGCAGGACGAAAGCAAAGTTGTTTTCAGAGGGTATCTGTGACCCCAAGCTGCCAAAGACAGCCTTGTACTGACTTTTCCTGGCTGGGAGAGCAGTGCTGTTACTGCAACACACACATGAAAGGGTCAAACAACCCTTCTGTGTTCGTACATTTAAGAGCTTTTTCCTAGAATAGCTTTTTTTTTTTTCTTCACCTTAGGTACTGCTTAGTGCCTGTAAAGGGAGAGGGGTTAATGATATGCCCAGTTGCTCCCAGGATGGGGGTGCACTTGCACTTGTGTTCTCCTCAGGTGCAGCTCGGATTTCTTTCTGGCCCCTGCGCATTCCGTGTGTTCCCAGTGTCAGCTCCAGCCTCCCTCCCATCTCACACAGCAGGACTGCATCCAGCTCCCAGAGCCTGGCATGATCCTTCTGATCAAAGCTTTCCTGCTCTCATAGAATCCCAGAATGGTTTGGGTTGGAAGGGGCCTTAAAGCCCATCTCATTCCAGTCTCCTTCCACTAGCCCAGGTTGCTCCAAGCCCTGTCCAACCTGGCCTTGGACACTTCCAGGGATGGGGCATCCACAGTTTCTCTGGACAATCTGTACCTGTGTCTCACCACCCTCACAGACAAGAATTCCTTCCTAATGTCCCACCCAACCCTGTCAGTGTGAAGCCATTTCCCCTTGTCCCATCACTCCAGATCCTTGTCCAAAGTCCCTCTCCAGCTCTCTTGTATCCTCTTAAGGTACTGGAAGGATCCTCTTGCTTGTCCTGTTTCATCCCCCCTGAATGGGAGCATGGGGTGTTTCCAGAGAGTGATACATGGGATTGCAGGGCAGGAGTCTGAGTTTCCTGTTGGACAAAGGAAAAAGGACAATTGCCTTGTGGAGTGCGGGAAGGGCAGGTCTGTGGAACCACAGCTGAAGGCTTTTCAAGGCAAGACTTTGACTTGCCTTAAATTGAGGTGCATTAAGGCAAAACATATATAATTTTTTTTAAATGATCAAGTTGAGTGTCCTGCGTGGATTCCCAGTCTGGTTTTAATCTCAGCATAACAACCAAGGTAGTCAATAGCATTGCTCCCTCCAGGTGTCCTGTCAACCCCTCAGAGTCTGATATCTTATTTGAATTGAAAGAGGGGAGGTGTATATCAGATATTAGGAAGAAATTCTCTGCTGTGAGTGCGGTGAGGCAGAATGGAGTCACAAAAACCAGCTGGGAGCTGGCACAGTGGTTATCAGAAGGTGAGGGGACATATCAAGACATGATCTCTCATGAAGGATGAGTGGTGATGTATCAGCGCTGGCTAATCCAAGTCTGTGACCTGACTGTGGCACCAGTCCCGTGGCTGTGACCACCAGCTGTCCAACTCCCCTTTCTCCACTTTTGGTCTGGGGTATCAGGATGATGTCACTGCTCAGCTGTCACTGGAATTAGACATGGTTCAGTTCATAAAATGACTTCCCTCCCTGTCATGCAGCTGTTCTGTGTGTTTGATCCACACTCCAGTTTCTCCCTAAGCCAGAGCTCTGCAGCCCCACAGCTGGAGGGAGGCAGAGGCACTTGGGAGACTTGGGCTCATTCTCTAGTTCTTTGTCTTTTGTCATTGACAAAAGCTGATACAGGGTCTTTGGTGCTGGTGGGGAGCACAGAAAAATCCTCCCTCAGTTACTTCTGTGCTTTCCCCACATCAATCCTGTGCTCAGCCACCTCCCATCCATCTGTGCCCTTTCAGATCTCTCTGCTGAGCTCACTTCTGCTGCAAGACCCCTAAAACATTGGTTCTTGCACCAGCTGAGCAGCTCAGCTGCTCACACTCACCCAGAATTGCTGCCCTGAGCTCTCTCCCATCACCAGATTGTTTGTTATTGACCCAACTTTTGCAGGATCACTTTTAAGGGCTTTTACTCCAACCTGGCCTTGGACACTTCCAGGGATACAAGGGCAGCCACAGCTTCTCTGGGCAACCTGTGCCAGGGCCTCCCCACCCTCACAATGAAGAATTTCTTCCTAAAATCCCACCCAAACCCACTCTCATCACAAACTCTTGTCCCTCCCTTTCTGTTTTCACCCTCTGAAGAACCCGCCATACCCTTCAAGGAAAAACTGAAGGACCTCGAGGTGAGGGAGAAGGAATCTGCCACCTTCCAGTGCGAGGTGCCCGTTCCCGGGACAGAGACCTCCTGGTTCAAGGAGGAGACCAAGCTCAGGCAGAGCAAGAAGTACAACATCGAGGAGGAGGGCACGTACCGCCGGCTCACCGTGCAGAACGTCACCGCCGACGATGACGCCGTTTACATCTGCGAGATGAAAGAAGGGAGCAGGACCATTGCAGAGCTGTCTGTCCAAGGTAAGGAAGGCTCAGTGTTGTAGATCAGGCAAATCTTGCCTGCCATAGTGTGAGATTCGTGCATGAAACTCCAGACTCAACCTTGTGAGTGGCATTCGCCACATCCATGTGTGCAGTGAACAAGAACAGAGTCCCTTAGGGTGTGAGAGGAATCATAGATTATCCTGGGTTGGAAGGGACCCACAGGGATCACCAAGTACAGCTCCTGACCCTGCCCAGGACACCCCAACAATCCCACCCTGTCCCTGAGAGTGTTGTCCAAATGCTCTTGGGGCTGTGGCAGCCTTGGTGCTGTGCCCTCTGCCCTGGGGAGCCTGTTCAGTGCCCAACCACCCTGTGGGGGAAGAATGTTTTCCTAATATCCAACCTAAACCTCCCAACACAACTTCATGCCATTAAATGAAATGGTTGGTCAGTGGGTCCCTGGAGCTCCTACCAAGGTACATCTGGGACACAGGGTCAGGGAGCAGGGACAGAGTGAGTTTCTGCACAGGATATGTCACCCAGCGGGCACCTATGCTGAAAGGGCCTTCTGAGGTGTCCTGAGCTGTAGCCCAGCACTGTAGACTTTCCTCAACATGACCACCAGATGGGTCCCCTGCCACTGTCACACATGCCTTGTGTGGTGTCCTGTGAACACAGGGGTGAATCTTGTCTGAGAGTGGTGCTGACCACGCTAGGAAGAGGGTTTAGCAGCTGTGGTTTGTTGTCTGACGTGTGGTGCAGGCTGCAGTCAGCACCAACGTGATTTAGATTGGAAACCAGATCCACACTCCAGATCCCTGGCAGCTGGAGCTGTTCTCTGGAGCTTGGAAAGCTGATAAGAAAAGGACAAAATGTGGATATCCAGGTCTAAGTCTCCTGAATCTCGTGGTGGTTTCAGACTGAAGTGGAAGTAGGGGTAGAGTTGGGATGGTGGAGGTGTCTCACATTGAGTAGACACAGAGAGCAGAGTTGCAGGCATTGGAGACCTGTCACAGCTACAGGATTGCTCTTGTCCTGACTCACTGGAAGCCTGACCTTACTCCCAGTAAAACCAGAGGGATTTCTTCTGTCCACAAATTGCTGCAAGACAAGCTGGGTGATGTATTCCTTGTGCAAATTCCTTTTTGCATCATCAGCAAAAGGCTGAGAGTGCCCACAGGTGGATGCAGGAGGAAGAATTTAGTCTGGAGACGTGGGATAGTTCAGACAGGCACTAATTGTTGCACCTTCCATTAGGTCTAGACCAGCCAAGCTCTGTAAGTGTGTTTGGCCCCAGTGGGACAGCTGGAATTTCTTTACTTGTTTGTGCTGTAATGGTATGTTCCATTAAAGAGAGAGTGACTGAGTCAGGTGGAGCTCCCTGGAAAGAAAGGAGGCAAAGCCTTCCTGGGGGAGCCTTGTGCCTGCCCTGAGAGGAGAAGCTTGGAGAGAGAAAGATGGGTTTGGGAGGATGTGAGAGCACATGGCTGGACATAAAGGGCTGCAGGGATGGGGACACTGCTGAGGGCAGTGGGGCCAAGGAGGAGGATGAGCAGAGAATCAGGTCTTTTGAACCCTTCTGATGAAACCTGTCTGTGCCTGACCTGTTGCTTCATGAGGGAGTTCAGCACTGCTTATTAAACAGCTCTGGGTGAGGGCTCTTTCACCTTGCAAAGACTGGTCTGGAGCTTGAGCCTGTCACCATCTGTCAGCTGGGGTTGGCTCCTGAGGCTTTGTCCAGTCTTTCCTGTGATTAGTCACATCTTGTAACTCTGAGGTTATTCTATTATGTGGTAATAATCACAGCCATTTGGAAAGGACACAAATAAGTGCAGTTCATTCCACATGAATTTCTGGGTTGATTCCAAGAAGAAGTCTGAGGGTTTTTTGTGTATTTTCTGTGAATTCAGGTGACTGACGCATTTGTCATCTTGGTTATGTAATTTAGTGGTAAATTTGAAGGAGGCAAAATCCCAGAGATAGACAAGAGACCTGTCTGGCTTAAGACTGACCTACTTCAGCAAAGTTTTAATTTGAATTCCCAGCATATCTGGGCATTGAAAGCTGTATCACTGTCAAATCTGCTCTTGGCAAGGCCACGTACCTTGTGCTTACCCACAGCAGACTCTGTGTGGTAGATGGGAAACATGAGTGACTGCAGTCAAACAGGATGGTTTTTCTCTCTTTAAAGGCCAAAATGAGCCCTTGGGATTATCTGTTCTGCACCCTCAAAGCCTGAGAATTCATTTAGGGGTGTCTGCATAGCGTCTATAATATTTTGATTAGGTGCGGACTCGTCCTGTCACAGTCGGGGTGGGCCAGCGTTGCCAAAATCTTTGATACCTGCTGTTTGCTGACCAGGATTGCTTTCTCATTTCGAAGGGAACATAATTAAAAAGCTTCCACGGAAGACTGCGGTGTTCATCCACGACACAGCCACCTTCTGCGTGGAGCTGGACGACGACTGCCAGAACGTCCGGTGGCTCAAAAACAAGGAAGAGGTGAAGCCCAGCGACCGCATCTCCATCACACGCTCTGGCAAACAGCACACCATGACCATCCGAGAGTGCAAGGTGGAAGATGCTGGGGAGATTGCCTTCCTGGCTGATGAAAGCAGGACTACCACCCAGTTCACTGTGACCAGTAAGATTCCCGTTTATTTTGGCCTCGGTGTTGTGCCTCCCCCAGCGAGCCCGGTGCTCCCGCCTTGTTTTGGGAGCCACCGTGGTGATTTGGTTGTCCAAAGACAGCAGAAGGTCTGATGTCTGCCCACAAAAAGCCAACAGCCTGAAAAACACGAGTGTTATGAGGTGTTTTTGGAGGGATCAAAACACAGAGAGAGGAGTCAGAGAATCACAGAATGGTTTGGGGTTGGAAGGGACCTTAAGGATCAGTGAGTTCCAGCCCTCAGCTGCAGGCCAGGACACCTTCCACTAGACCATGTTTCTCAGGGCCCCATCCAGCCTGGCCTTGAACACTTCCAGGGATGGGGAACTCACAGCTGCTCTGGGCAAGAGCAGTCCTGGGAAAGGACATGGCACAAACCTGTGTCTTGACACAGCAGTAGCAGCAGGTGCAATGTGGTTGAGATTGGGCCTGAAATGAGATTTTGGTGAAGTTGTTTAATTTTGTTTAGCCTTATTTTGATGACACTGCATTTCCCAGGCAAAACCTTCTTCATTTAAGACAAAACTGCACATGGTTTCTTGCTCTGCTGCAGTTCCAGTCTGTATGTGAACAAATAATCCATTCTAGTAATAATTTGGGAAGAATGATGCTTTTTTTCTCCCCCCTGCCACTGACTGCAATCAGTCAGTGGCAAAACAGAATCTTTGATTTAAAGATTAATAACTGCTGTGTTATCTAAACTTGACTGGGACATTCTGATGCCAATGAATCAAAATGGGAAAAAAATTCCTAAGTGTCACATTTGGCTTCGTGACAGTTTCTAAGGTGTTTGGAAAGCTGTAACATCCAACCAATTCAATGGGAACAACAAAGTTCAGTTTGGTTTCAGACGCTGCTGTTTCAGTTACGGATAAAGTGTTGATTTGATGGAACAGGAAAAAGGTAGGAAGCTGCCTTCCCACAAACAGATATCACTGAGGAAAATATGACATGACCATTTCTGGTGGTAAGGTCAAGAGATCTCATTCCAGGGCTTAATACTCAGCTTAATGTTACCCTAGTGGGACCTTTGACATCTAGCTGTGACCAGAGTTACTGACAGGCTGGTAACTGTGCACCCCAAAACACTTCTGTGTCTATTTATGTAACATCTCTGGCCATCTGCTTGGAGAATCCTGTGTACTATGCTCGTGTCTTCTTCAAATTAGCTGGAGAAAACTGGTGTTGGCTGTTCAAGCAGCATTTATAACACACAGGCAGTCTTTGTGTATCGTTTGCTCAGTGTCCTGCGTTGTTACCATGCCCGTTTTAAAGATGGGTAAACTGAGGCAGGAAGAAGATCAGTTGTCCCAGAGCTCAGATTTTAGTTTAGGCTCCTCCTACAGGCTCCCTCCACAGCCATGAGTAGCTGAGGATGTGCAGTGTGGGATTGTTTCACCCATCTCCCACACCTTCTCTGAGCTGGGGTGGGTTGCTCCTGAGAGTGCTGTTCTCCATGGGATTAGAGCTGGAGTCTGGTTGGCTGACTTAACCCAGACACCTTTCAAATAGCCAAAATTAAATGAAATTAATCCTTTGCCACATCAGTAGAGGTGTAACTAGAGCATATCAGATAATTCCCAGTCTCTTGATGATATCAGTGGCAGCCTGTAGTGAATGACCCTGATGGGACTTGAGTCTTCTCCAAAGGATTCCAAGAGGAATGAGAAGGGTGAACACAAATATTCACTATGCAAATACCTACAGGGAGAAGTTTGTGGCCTCAGGTACCATGAAATAATCACATCTCTGCAATTATGGGGTCTCACAGAGGGGACATTGTCTTTATGTCGTTTCCTTTTGAAATTAATTCTCAAAATCTGGTTCTGTATAAGTTAGTAAAACAGAGGTCCCCAATGATAATATCAATTAACTGTAATTAACACAAAGTTACAACAGACCTTCTGAGTGGGGATAACATAAAATACAGAAGCAGGACAGAGAACAAACACCCACAAGGAAGAGGCTGCAGAGAACATCTAAGCCTGCATAACAGGCATCTGAAATGTCCATAATTCCAAAAGGTTTGAAAAACCTTTGGTGGTGGTTTTACCCATCTTCTGAGCGAAAATGAAGAGCTGAGTGTTAGTCTGCTTTGCTCAGGAGCTGTGTAGGCAGCAGGATGGGTCTGTGTCTAGCACTGAAGACTTAAGTCTACAGTGTTTGTGGAAGATTGTCCGTGTTGACAATTTTAATATTGTGTAGAAATCACACGTTTCCGTGCAAATGAGAATGTTGTACATTAAAGGTTGAACTCGACGATTTCAGAGGTCTCTTCCAACTGTAATGATTCTATGCTGTATGTGTAATGCACCCCAAAAGCATCTTCTATCCATTCCCTTGCTTTTCCATCTCACATCAACATTTTAGGGAGGCTTATTAAGCAAGAGTAACTTCTAGTCCAGCATAAGCTTTCCGGGAGACGCACAGCGGCTTTTCTACTCCAGCATAAACTTCTTCCTCTAATTTTTTTTATTTATTATTTTTCCTTGTGCAGCGCCCAAAAAACCTCCCACCCAACCCCCAGCCGACCCTGTGGTGAAAAATAAAACAGAAACCTCAGTGACCCTGGCATGGTCCCCTCCCAAGATGGACCGGCCCATTCCAGTCGACGGGTACATCGTGGAACGCAAGAAACTCACCGGCTTCACCTGGGTGAGGTGCCACGAGTCCCACGTCCCTGCCCCAGAGCTCACCGTGAGCAACCTGGCAGAAGAGGCTGATTATCAGTTCAGAGTGTCTGCAGTCAACTCCTATGGACAGAGCCCCTACCTGGAATTCCCCGGGAGTGTCCACCTTGGTGAGCACGAAACCTGACCTGGGGCGATCGGGCGCGTGGGTGGTTTGAAAACATCTCCCGTGACTTTGAGGATGGAGCAATGGCACAGAAAAACCTTTTTTCCCCCCCCCTTCACTGCTGGTTCTCCTACTTCATGTCAACCCCTGACTGCCACCAAAGTTGGGTGGTGATTGGGTTTCTGTGGTAGAGCTGTGAGTGTGCTTATATTCCAATATCTCATGTCCAGCTGTGTGAGAGGCAGAGCTCTCTGCAATGAACCCTAAACCCATTAAGTCTTCTTCTAGGTTTGGTATGAGAGTAAAACTTGGGGTGGACTTAGGATATAATTTTCAATATATGTGTGAGATCTCCGTCTTGCACCTAGAGAATATTTATGGGTGATGATACCATCATGAAGACCAGGTTCTAACCAGTCTCTCTTAAATCTTGGAGTTACTGGGAGAAATATTGGGGGTTTACTTTAGTTCTAGGGTGCCAGTGTGTTTTTTCCTTGGATTCACTGCACTAGACAAGATTTAGAAGACCTTGATTATGCTGTGTCTTGTTATTGCGTCACCCTTTCCCTCCCTTGCTGCCTGAAAATGCCTAGAATTGTAGATATTCCTAGACATTCCTAGAATGTATATATTCCTAGAATATCTACAAGTGACTAGTAGGAATATCTAGGAGTGACTCCTTAGGATCCTTCTGAAATCTAAGAATTGTGTTGGTTATTAAATTAATAACACCCTTATAGGGAACCCTGGGCGTTTCAGGCTTATGCCTTTAAATATCTTAGGGGATAAAAAATATCAGCAAAATATGCCTTTTCTTCCCCCTGAAAAAACAGGATTTACCCTAATCCAGAGGTCAAGAACTTGAGGCTGTAGGAAACAAATCCTACAGACTGAGCATTGATTGCCTTCTATATAAGACTGCAGGATTTTATGCTTGTGTCTTTTTTACCCTGAGAACTTTGTTCTTAGGATGAACTGTCCTCCAGCGGGACTATCTTGTGTCTTCTTCTCAGAGATGTGTGGTGTTGTTCCTCCCTAGAACCAGTGCTGGCTGTGAAAAGCCCCCTGACAGCAGCTGAGGCTGTACCTGGAGGGGATGCCCTGTTTACTGTCGACCTCACCAAGACGTGTTCTGGCACCTGGTACCTCAATGGTAAAGTCTTACAGGAAAGTGAGACCTGCATCATCAAGAGAACCCAAACCACTCACACCCTCGTCATAAAGAATGTCACCAAGAAGGATGATGGAGCAGAAGTGAAATTTGTTGCCAACGACGTTGAGACCAGCACCAAGATGAGAGTGAAAGGTATTTATTTTCCTTTGTTCTTCCAGGCACGGGGCTGTTGCTGTGACCTGATGATTAGAAGTGGAGCTGGAGGCTTTCACTGATGCCTGGGCTGTGGGAAATACCTGAAATTTCATCATGGGAACTAATGTGGGTGCTGGGAATGACATCACCATGATAGTTCAGAGTTCAGAATGAGTCCATCTAGCCAGCTGGTGGTATCAGGACTAGACTGCTCACAAATTTCTGTCGTTCACAACCATCAGTCAGCGGATTCTGTCACCAAATCTACCACTGAGTCACCTTAAAAGTGGTAATTTCAGCTCCAGGTTCACCTGGACTTTCTGACTAGTAGCTTTTCAAAAGCAAAGGAGCATTAATTACTAACAAAGCTTTTTCTTGGAGGTCTTTTAGTTCACTATGTATGGGATGGACAACTTAGTATTGTGTAAATCATTTAAGAACCAAGGTTGGGTGCTTCCTTTATGAAATGACAGTAACATCTGTATCCTACCCACATTGCCTGGCAAAACATAATGAGTAGACATTGATTCTGGAAGGATGTGTGTGGCTTTGGGTGAAAATCTCTGCAGAAGCATGTTGGGAGTATTATTAATCGGTAGAAAAACGTGGTTTGGGTTTTTATTTCTTTGTGACTGTCAATAAAAACATGTCAGGTCTTCTGAACTGGAAAAAAAAATGCTCAGCACTGACATGAGTGGGAGGACAGGAAGAGGATTTAATACTTTTAGAGATCTCACAGTCTAAGGAAACTCATAGCAGGGACGAATTATCTCAATATAAGCTGAAATAACAATTTCTGCCCTGACAGGTGCTGCAGTGAGATTTACCAACAAGAGCAAAGAGGCAGAAAAGGTCTCTGCTCGGCTGAGGGAGGAAGCCAAACTCCAGGCTGAGCTTTCAGACACAGAGGCCACAGTGAAGTGGCTGAAAGATGGGAAGGAGCTCAAGGCCAGTGAAAAATATGAGCTTCAAACTGTGGGGAAGAGGCACATCCTGAAAATCCGCAGCACTTGTGCAGAGGATGCTGGAGCTTATGAGTGCACCTGTGAAGGGGATAAAATGCTCTTTCAGCTTTCAGTGAAAGGTATGTGACTGCCTGGGCTGCCTAATGGCCTGTCCCTGCCCTAAACTAATGGAGTTATCAAAGGATGCAAAGAAAAAGCTCCAGAGGCAGTTGTGGGAATTCCCCATCCACATCCAGCCTGGACAGTGTCCGTGGTTCCAGAGCAGGATTATTGGGGATTGAACGCAAGATACAGCACTGGTTTAGTGCTAAGAGCTGTGCTTTCACTCCAGTTGGCATCTTGATATTCCATGGGAACTTGGTGTTGTTTTAGGAAGTCGAGTGTTGGGTAGGGAAAACGTGCTGTTGTGATGAAGGGATTCAGCCTCAGGGGCAGGACATGACACACAGGATCCCAAGTCTGCCCTACACTTGCTGTGTGACATCAGAAGAGAGAGTTCAGCTCTGATTAAAGTTCTGAAGGACCAGGCTCATCTTTGCACTGTGGGATTTTTTTTTTTATATCATTATTATTTGATGATTTTTTGTTTGTTTTCTCTCAATACTCTGGTGGATAAAAACAGGCCTTTCCGGGGCACATTGGGTGGCTTGGCCCATTCCTGTCTCAAGGTGTTCAGATGGAAGGCTGTACAGAAGAAAAAGCAAAATGGAATTTCATTTTGATGTTTCTTGCTTGTTAGATTTGAACCAGCATTGGTTTGCAGCTGCCTCATTCAAGCTTTTATGAACTTGTTTATAGCAGAGTTTGCTCTGCCTTGGAAGGGACCACGTTTGGGCTAAAAAGCCCCAGTGTATCCCCAGACTGTTCCTCATTGGGGTCATTAAGATATTTGAGGTTCAGAGTGTGCAGCCTGACTCCAGGACAGTCTAAACATCATTTGGGGTGGGTTCAGCAGATATTTTGCATTGCTGCCAAGTTCACTCTATAAAACCATTTCATTTCCATGTTCTGTCCCATAACTCACTCCTCACCTTCTTCCCAGCAATGATCACACTGTTTCTACATAAAAGCGAATTTGAGGTGCTTCATCATCATGTTCTGCTGGCATCTCACCCTCCTTGGTCTCTGTAGAAGTAACAAACCCCCAGAGTAATGTGGTTTTTTGTTTTGGGGTTTTTTTTGTTGTTGTTGTTTTGTTGGGTTTTTTTTTGTTTGTTTTTTTTTTTTTTACATTTGAGAATTTGCTTTGTTATTCTCCAAGAGCAAACTCAGGAGAGAGGAAAAAATAACCTAGAAATGTGACTAAATCTGTATAAAGAGGAATTTCGGTCTACACTTGGCACCTGCTCTCAGTTTTGGTTTTCTTCTCTGCCTCCCTGCCCCTTTAACATCGATTTTCATGCTGACAGCTCTACCCACAGATTTAATTGAATTAACTGATGGCTGTTTCCACGTGCTCTTCGCTGTTATGTGACTATCAAATGAGTAATCGCTGTCATTGTTTTAAAATCTCTGCTGTCAAGCTGTAACTGTAACTTAAATACCTGCAGTTTATAGCTTGATTCCTGGAGAATCCCCTTTGGTACCTCCCGCCCTCGTTAGGCTGAGGGTCACAAACGCTGGGCCAGTGTTTTACTTTTCATCATCACCACCTTTTATCTGTCCCAGGGAGCTGGTGAATCCCTTGGGGAGCAGCTCAGCTGTATCTGCCACACGTGGGCATCACGTGGCTGCCCAGAGGCCACTGTGCCGAGCCAGGGCCGCGGTGTCACCACCTGGGCTTCCTGCCCAAAAAACCGGCCCCAAAAGGCGCTTGCCATTTATCACTGGAGCCCCTCCACTGCCACGAGGCTCCACGTGCCAGGCATCCCCTGGCACATGACCTCCTGAGATGGAATGGGACACCTGAGACGGCTCCCTCAGGCTGCTGGGGTGGTATTTTTTCACTCCGGTTTTCCGAGGAAGGGAAAGGTGCATGAATGGACCCATCTCTCTCTCTCTCTCTCTCCTCGCCCCCCTCAAAATTTTAACCTGTGGACTGAGTTCTGGCACTTGTGGTGAAGGAGGAGAGGTCTCAGCAGTGTTTGGTCCCTGCAGATTTCGTGGGTGTTTGGGTAGAGGAAGGACTGGGGTGTTTTTTCGCCGAAGGGAAAGCTCCGCTCTCATGAGCCGTTGGAGAAACAAGTTGGAAACAGAGGCCCCCCAAAAAATCAATAAAAGAAAACAGGTTTTTTCCCAGGTTCAAATACTTCTTTGCCCGTAGATATTGCTTTTAACAAGCAGACTTGGCAAACCCCAGACAGACAGGACTGGTGGGGACCTGGGGAGGTCAAATGTAGGTTCCTGTCCCTGCCAGAAGCTGGTGATTGAACTGAGTGCCTTGAGGACCAGAGCTAGAGAGACCCCTGGTTGCACAGGCACAGACTTCCCCCCCTCCCCCCCTTTTCCCCCCCCCTTTCACCCCTTTTCCTCCCTTTCCCTCCCTTTTCTCCCTTTTCCCCTACCCAGAAAAACACTTACCTAACCAAGGCTTTGATTTTTAGTAGCTTTGACTGCACAGTCCCAAAAAAGTGACTCAGTTGCGTGGGTTCCTTTAAAATAATATGTTAAAAAGATGTTTGAAAATTAAACCCAAGTAAGATGGAACTGTGGTTTCAGGGTCACATTTTTAGCTTGGATATCGGTGGGGTTCTGAATCTTTTGCTTTGAGGCAATTGGTGACTCAGTTATTTCACTACATGTTAATATGATGCCAGAATTACTGTTTATTTTCTATGCTCCAGTTGATTTCCAGGAATAAATTTCATTTCAGTACTGTGACATATCTAGATATATTTTTAATTTAATGTAATTTATTTTATCTAGACTGCATTTTAACCTCTTCTAGAGCTGATTTATTTGCCAGGTGGTTACAGTGCAATGACTGAATAACTTTCCTGGCTTTCCCTCCAGTTTCTTTCATTTCTCTCCTCACCTCTCTCAGATATTACCTTTAAGCCCTATTGCCTGGGGCTTCCTCTCCTCCTGTGTTGGATATGTGCTCTGTTTTTTTTTGGACACATGATAATCAGGAATATGATGGAAATTTGGCTGCTTCTGCATTGGAATCTAGTAATTAGATCCATAATGAAACATGCAGTTTGGACTTAGGATAAATGAATACCTAATGTAGATGTAAATGTTCTTATTTATTGATGTGCACACAATTCTTTACCAGAGCTCTGTGTCTGTTATTTTGTTTCAGCACTTGCAAACTTTATAAACAAAGAGAAAAGTGGAGGACTTGTCAAGGCCATCACTGGAAAACAGGCTGAATTTGTTTCTGAGACCTCCGAGGCCAATGTCATGGTGAAGTGGTACAAAGATGGGAAAGAAATCACAGCCAGCAAGAAATTCACCCTGGAAGATAAAGGAAAGCTGCACAAGCTCGTGGCTTCGGCTGTGACAAAGGAAGATGAAGGAACTTACACGTGCAAAATTGGAGATGACACCCTTGCTTTTGATTTAAAAGTCTCAGGTAAGTTCGTGACACGAGTGTGGGATCAGAGTCTGTGTGAGAAATTCAAAGTTTTGGTCATTTTACTTGTCCTTCCTTGTAAACTGATGGATTTTTGGGGTCAAGGCTGCACACCACTGTTTTCAGAGGCTCTGACTCTTGTTGTGGTCCTTATGCAGATCCAAAATAATATAAAAATGATGTGATATTTTAAAGTCAACACAAGCTTTAAGTAGGGCTGGAGTCACAACTCAAACACCCCCTGGCTCAGCAGGTGGGAACCTTTATTCTTTTAGCTCAGCACGAGCCTCACCTTAGGACCACCTCAGACAGGAGGTCCAAAACCTTACTGTGCAAGCCCTGTGTCCTCCTTTTGACAAGTTTAACTCCTGCTTTTGAGAGGGAAGCATCCCCTGCTGTTCCCAGAGGACACTGTGATCTCCCTGTGGTACTGTGAGTGAAGCTGTTAGTCCCTGTCACGTGCCCACTGCAGAAAGCACGTGGTTGTCAGGTCAAGCCCAGAAGAGAAATGCTTGTCACCACTGCATTCCAGAGCAGGATGGAGCCAGGGTATGAAATGACACAGGAATTTATCCGTGAAATTCAATATCTGTGAAATCCAGCTTGAATCAATTTGCGTAGCCCGGTGGGAACCTTCCTTCTAAAAGTGGTTTTCTGGTTTATGCCTGGAGCCTAATTTTTAACCTGGTCCTAAATGAAGTGAAAGCTTCTTGTGGCATGTCTACATTATGCTTGCAATGAAATTTAAGAGAGGCATCAACTGAGTGCTTGTGACCTCTAGCAGTACATCCAGGTTATTATGATGCTAAGAACTCAGCAAAGCCAGTTAATTTGGGACAGCACTTGTCTTCAGGGATTGCTGCAGGATTTACTGAGCCAGAGGGATTCCTTCCAGTCCACAGCTGGTGTTTGCTCAGGTATTGACTCTGCATCTCACCTCCAGTTCTCTTTGGCTGAGGATCCAACATGATGCAAATTCACTCAGAGTGTAATTCCCAGTTCCTGACTTTACCCACTGAAAAACTGGTCTAAAAGAGCCAACCAGGCTCTGCCCAAACTGATTCCTAAAAGGCAATTTGTATAAATTGATTTATACTGTTTGATTAGAACATCCTAAAGTGGATTTAGAGAGTGTTCTGGAGCTGCCTCAGTCTGAACATCAGGTACAGAGGAAGCCTGCAGGATTACCTGAGCTGGGTACCTAAATTTTGATGATTATGGTGAATCTCACCTGTAACTCCTATGATAAAACATCAAGTGTCTCAGGCAAAGAAAATTGGGATCACCTCAGTCATAGAATCCCAGAATGGTTTAGGTTGGAAGGGACCTTAAAGCCCATCCAGTCCCACCCCCTGCCATGGGCAGGGACACCTTCCACTAGCCCAGGTGGCTCCAAGCCCCGTCCAACCTGGCCTTGGACACTTCCAGGGATGGGGCAGCCGCAGCTTCTCTGGGCAACCTGTGCCAGGGCCTCCCCACCCTCAGAGGGAAGAATTTCTGCCTAATATCTAACCTAAATCTACCCTCTTTCAGTTTAAATCTAAACCTGCCCTCTGTCAGTCTGAAGCCATTATCCCTTGTCCTGATAATTACGATTTCCAGTGAAATACTTGCCTGGCATGGCAATTGTCCTTGGGATACTCAGTGATTGAGGGCAACAGTTGCTGCTGAAAGAAATGCAATACTGAGCTAAGGTTGGCTCGAACTGGCAGCCCTCAGCTTGCTCTTGAGGCAAGAGCTGCCCTGGTGGAATGAAGGGTATGAAATCCCTGACATGCCCATCAAATATTCCTTGTTATCTTAGGGACGGGGTGTGTAGAATAGGTTTGCTCACATTTCACATCAAGATGCTGTCTCCATTTTGTTGCCTTCGTTTCTACCTTTACAAACACACTTGAGACAAACCTGAGCTGCTAAAAATGATGTGTTTTTGCTCCCTTCATGACACTTGCTCTCTGTGGGTGTGTTTGCACGGCTCATACCTGTGCCAGCAGCAGGGTTTGAGCTGAGGCATCAATGCAGGAACCTCAACTACTTGAGCTGTGTGGGCAGTTCTGAGTTCTCTGCTGGGAAGATCAGTTCCCACAAAAACATATGAGATTCTTGACTTCTCTATTCATAAAATCATAGAATGGTTTGGGTTGGAAGGGACTTTAAAGATTATCTTGTCCCTTGGGCAGGGACACCTTCCACTAGACCAGGTTGCTCAGAGCTCCATCCTAAATGAAGGTGGAGAATATTTTATCCACTAAATTATTCCATATATACCCTGGTCTGGGGAAGAATTAATCCAGGGGGGCTGATATTGTGATCAGGGAGCTGGAATGGTCTCAGAAACATTTTAAAAAGGCTGCTCATCACTTCTGACTAGATTTTCTGAGACTTTTTAAGTCTTAAGTGTTTTTAAGTCTTTTCAAGTCTTCTCAAAGCTGTTTCTGTATTCAGGCATCAATATATCCCTAAGACTTTGCTGAAAATCAGAAATGAGGGGTGATGAATGAAGTGCCAGCAACTGGAGGTCATCTGGACTTGATTTAAAAGATTCGTGAGGATGTAGGGGAGATGAATGGGATTGCAGTGTAGCTGAGAGCAATTATCTGAAGATCAGAGAAGGAGTTTGCACCATCTGTTAGAGAGTCAGGCACCAACATTCATGTGTGTGATGATGAAATAATGATCAGTGATTGCCGTGTCCTCCCTTTTTGCTGATAAACCCGAATCAAGGCATGAACTGCTTTCCCTTTTTCGCTCCAGACGAAGCTGTTACTTTTGTCAACAAGCCCAAGACGACTCCAGAAGTATCAGTCAGTCCTTCTGAAACCCTGGAGCTGGTGTGTGAGGTGTCAGCTGCCAGCGGAGCTGTGGTGTGGAAGAGGGATCACACCGAGGTGAAGCAGGACCAGAGGACGACAGTGGTGTCCCAGGGGACACAACGAAAGCTCATCGTCAAGAGGGTGACCCAGCAAGACCAAGGGAGCTACACCTGCGAGGTGAAGGGTGACAGAATAACATTCCAAGTCAAAGTCAGAGGTGAGGAAACGCTGGAAATGCCAAAGATAAGGGAATATTCCATTCTGAGTCAGATCTTACGTTCAGAGGGTCATCTCATGGTCTCTCTGGGGTGAAATATCTCAGCCAGAGGGCTGATTTTTTGGCCAGATTTCATGACAATACCCACAGTTCTGCATCCATGAGTAGTTGAAATCACAAAGAAATGATGGGCAGGGATGGAAATTCCTTCTCCTCTCAAAATTAGCTGGTGTGTCTGTGGAAAAACTCCCACAGAGGCACAGTGTGAGGCCATAGCAGAGGTGCAGGGATAGGTAAAAGGGAAGGTGGGGATGCTTGAGGAGCTCTGATTAGATCCCAACCCTGGAAGTGTTCAAAGCCAGGTTGGATGGGGCTTGGAGCAACCTGGTTGCTTCCACACCTAGTGGAAGGTGTCCTTGCCCCCATGGCAGGGGGTTGGAATGAGATGAACTTTAAAGTCCCTTCCAACCTGAACCATTTTGTGATTAGATGGAGAATGACTGAATTTGAGTGACCCAAATAGGCAGAAAAAGAGCAACAGTGCCTGGATATGAGGATACAAGGGCTATTCCCTCCAGATTCACTGGAATCTTGGAGAGACATAGGAAGAGAAAAAGAGAAGAGGGAGAAGGTTTCAGGCAGTGCCTGATGGTGCTCTAAGATCCAGGTTCAAATCTGTGCTAAAACTGTGAGGTTTTAACACTACACCAGAATTCCCATAAAATTCCTGTATCTATTCACCTCTTAGCAAAATACAGATGAAGGTGCTTTCTTGTACTAATGGGCCATTATGGAGATGGTGAAGGGCCTTGAGGGGCCGTGTGAGGACACTGAGGGCACTTGGTGTGTTCAGCTGGAGAAGAGGAGACTGAGGAGAGACATCAGTGCAGTTCCAACGTCGTGGGGAGAGGCAGAGGAGGGGCAGGGACTGAGCTCTGCTCTGGGGGGACCAGGGACAACACCCAGGGGATGGCTGGAGCTGTGTCAGGGCAGGGTCAGGTTGGATCTCCGGAGAAGGTTCTTCCCCCAGAGGGTGGTTGGGCACTGACCAGGCTCCCCAGGGCAGTGGGCACAGCCCCAAGGCTGCCAGAGCTCCAGGAGGGTTTGGATGATCCTCTGGGGCACAGGGTGTGACTCCTGGGGATGGTCCTGTGCAGGGCTGAGGGTTGGACTGGATGGTCCTTGTGGGTTCCTCTTGATTAAGCTCTGGAGAAGACGACTGCAAAAAGCTGTGTGTGACTGCTGTGGTTTTCTGACAGAGCCAGAAGTTGTGTTTACAAACAAGGACAAAGTGAAGAAAGAGGTGAAAGCTGCACTCTCAGAAGATGCCACTCTGAGCTGCGAGGTGGCCCAGGACAAGACTGAGGTGAAGTGGTACAAGGATGGGAAGCTGATCACCTCCAGCAAGAAGTTCAAGGTGGAGTCGGAGGGCAAATCTCGTCGTCTGGTGGTGGGTCAGGTGGAGAAGAAGGATGCTGGGGAGTACAGCTGCGAGGCTGCTGGCCAGAAACTCACCTTCAGGATCCATGTCACAGGTGGGAGACATATTTTGGTTTTTATTTAATTGGCTTTTCTTTGAATCTGGGTGCAGGACTGGGCGGATCAAGAGTTTACCTGTAGGTACCAGTAGTTCTGGGCTCCTTAGTACAAGAATGACAAGGAGCTCCTGGAGAGGGTCCAGTGGAGGGCACAAAGATGATGAGGGGTCTGGAGCATCTCTCTTATGAGGAGAGACTGTGGGAGCTGGGCCTGGTTAGTCTGGAGAAGAGAAGACTGAGAGGGGATCTCATTAATGCAGATAAATATCCCCAAGGTGGGTGCCAAGAGGATGGTGCCAGTCTTTTTGGTGGTGCCCAGCGACAGGATGGGGAGGGAGCAATGGCCATTAACTAAAACACAGGAAGTTTCACTTCAACTTGAGGAAGAAATTCTTTACACTGAGAGTGGCAGAGCACTGGATCAGCTGCCCAGGGGAGGGTGTGGAGTTTCCTTCCCTGAGGACATTCCAAACCCACCTGGACAAATTCCTGTGTCACCTGCTCCAGGTGACCCTGCCTTGGCAAGGGGGTTGGACTGGATGGTCTCCAGAGGTCCCTTCCAACCCCAAGGATTCTGTGATTCTTTGATTCTGTATCCTGATATCAGCTCCTCAGCTCCCTGTGTGTGTCCTTAGGCTGAGATGAAGTGAACAGACTTTTCAGCAGCAGGCACTGTGTTAAAGGACCTCTTCCAGTTTGATCGTCATTGCTGGTATTTCTCCTCCTGTTATGGATATTCTTCCATGAAAGTCGCTCTTTCCTCTTTCATTGCAAGTGAGAGGACAAGAGCAAATGGCTTCAAGTTGCACCAGGGGAGGTTTAGATTGGATATTAGGAAAAAATACTGCACCAAAAGGGTTGTCAGGTATTGGAACAGGCTGCCCAGGGCAGTGGTGGGGTCACCACCCCTGGAGGGATTTAAAAGCCCTGTAGATGTGGCCCTTGGGGACAGGGTTAGTGATGGACCTGCCAGCACGGTGTTAATGGTTGGACTTGATGATCTTCCATGCCTGAATGATTCTAGGATTTCTTTGGTCTCAGTATATTTTGCAAGAGGTCTGGTAAACTTTATCTCAGGATCTAGTCAGCCATGGAATCAGCTCCATTCTGAGTAATTATTTCTGAATTGGATGATAAGAAAGAGTTTAATTTTTTTTAATTAATATTAGTAACACTTCACTGTCTTTACAGCCAAATCCCTCTTTGTTAACACTACAATTCTAGTCTCAGAGCTGATCAGAACAGCGAATCTGTTTTCTCCTCTGCTTTCTTACAGCACCAAACCCCCTGGGACCACAGTTTGGCAGAGGTTTGGCACTTTATCAGCTGTATAGAAGAGCAACTGTGTTGGGAGTCTGTTGACTCCACCCTCTGTGGGGTACCCAGGATGTGAGCTGGGGCACTTTGGATCTTTGCCATGAATTCTGTAGCTTATCCTTTTCCCTGAGAGAGCTGCCAGTTTCAGTGAAGGATGAGTTACAGTAAGGATAGAATTGAGAGGCACCTTCCAGAGAAAATTCAACATGGACAGTGATGGAAGGATCATCAAAGAAATCTAGAACGGTTTGGGTTGGAAGGGACTCTAAAGATGACTTAGTTCCAACCCCCCTGCCATGGGTAGGGACACCTTCCACTATCCCAGGTTGCTCCAAGCCCTGTCCAATGTAGCCTCGAACAATTCCAGGGATGGGGCAGCCACAGCTTCTCTGGGCAAAACTGGTATAAACCAAGTACGTGGTCAACTGTTGAACCTGGTTCATAAGTTCCCACAGAGGTATGGGTAGAAAACACAGAAATTTAGTGCTTTTCCACTGGAATTTCTGTCTCTGAGGGCTATTCTTAGCTGTCTGCCTCAGAACCCAAAGGTTTTCAGCCCTCTCAGGCCGGATGACTTCCCGGTGGCGCAGGGTAACGCAACACCCTCCCCCTGTGCCCTGAGAGGAGAGATTGCCTGGCTACCGTTGCTGTATTCCTCATGGGAACAACTGTAACATGACATCCTGGTCCAGCACTGGCTGGAAAACGATCCGGTGTGAAAGTCAGGAGGGATTATGAGTACTCTGGGCGGTTGGATCTTTTTGCGGCAGAAATCCGTCTCTTACTCCGTTATCCCAAAGTGCAGAGGCTTTCTAGGTCTTAATTTATCCCGTTACCCTTGGACTTGGAAAGCTTTTCAGGGTTCCTGTACTCCAGGAGCACTGGGAGCACAAAGCCTGCCCTGTTTAAGGGCAGGATGAAGGTTAGACCCTCAGTGTTGAGTTTTGGGATGCAGCTGTGGCTTTTTTGGATTAATATAAAAAGAAGGGGTTACTGCACGCCTTGGGACTGGGTTGGACGTGTAGAAAAAGAGCTGACTCTGAAATCTGGTTCTTTCAAGATTCATGGTATGCAGGGAAATCCATATTTGAAAGTGGAGAAAGCTCCATGTGATGAAAATGGTTTTCCTCAGTTCCACTGAAACTTCCCTGACCAGCTTCGGCTGAGGTTGGAAATGTCACCTGCACTGAATAAACTTGCTGAAGTTTAAAATAAATTTATAAGGCAAATTACCGTGTAAATCACTTCAGGAGCTGGTTAAAAGTTTTAGTCCCATTTCCTAATCACTATAAAAATGGTTTATATTAAAGCCCAGGAATGAAGAGGGCAAGTGAGATGGAGCAGGAATGTTCCTTCTCTGCTAAATTGACACTTTAGACAGAGCACCCATGGACACAGACTGGTCTGTAACTCATTTGGTGCACCCTGCACATTCCAAATCCAAGCTGTAAATGGACATCAAATCTTTATAATTTTGAAACCAGTTTTGGATGCAAGCCCTGGTGTGTGGTTGAGCTCTTTTAGATACCAAAATGCTGCTGCCACGTGCCTTTGAGGAGTTTTACATCACCCAGCATAGGCCACGTGCCTTCTAAATGGCAATGACACCTCCTTACACCCCTGCCACAGCCAATATAAACACAGGAGCTCAAGTTTAAAGCCTATAAGCTGGATTCCTGCTCTGGTTTGCTCCCTGCAGGATATCTCTCTTTCCATGGGCTGTGCAATGTTCATAGCAAGGCTGTGATGTGGCTCCAGGACCCTCCAGTCAGCAGTGTAGGAACTTGACCTGAGCTTATCCCTTCTCCTCGCCCTCCCAGGCAGCTGCTGCCACTCAGAGCACAGACATGATGAGATGGGATGCAGAGGAGAAAGTCAGAAAGGAGGAGTAAAGGATGGCCCTGGGAGGCTGCAGAGAGTGACTGGGAGAGGAAGGGAGGGACACAGGTTATGGAAGGGGCTCACCATGACTGCCAGGGAGAACCACGAGCCTTTAAGAATCACTGAGGCTGGGAAAGACCTCCAAGGTCATCAAGTCCAACCTGTGACTAACCCCCACTTTGTCCCCCAGCCCAGAGCACTGAGTGCCACATCCAGCCCTTCCTTGGACACCTCCAGGGGTGGGGATTCCACCACTGCCCTGGGCAGCCCCTTCCAGTGCCTGACCACCCTTTCCAGGAAGAAATTTTCCCTAATATCCAATCTCAACCTCCACTGGCACAGCTTGAGGCCATTTCATCTCATCCTGTTGCTAATTACTTGGGAGCAGAGCCTGCCCCCCCCCCCCCCCCCCCGGCTTCCCCCTCCTGTCAGGGAGTTGCAGAGCCAGAAGGTCCCCCCTGAGCCTCCTTTTCTCCAGGCTGAGCCCCTCCAGCTCCCTCAACCCCTCCTGGCACTCCAGCCCCTTCCCCAGCTCCGTTCCTTTCCCTGGACATGCTCCAGCCCCTCAACACGTTTCTTTCTCAATGTCACCTTCACCAGGTGAGGCCCAAATACCTCAGTCTGGGTGGATGAATTATCTTCCATGTTTGCACTGCAGCTGGAATGCACTGGGAAACCACTTGCTAATCCAGCATTTCCTGTGGAGCTGGTGCTTCTGTTCAATAAAATCATGGACTTCAGTGCTCCAGTAAAAACCTGGGAACCCAAACAGTCATAGGCTGCCTTTGCTGTGTGATGTCCATCAAGTGGGCCCACTTGATGTTACCCTTCTTGTGCAGTTATCAAGTCTTGTGGAAAATCAGTGGGGAAAAAATGTAGCAGCTCATTTATTTAGGGTCCATTTCTCCTTCCACATCTCAAATGTACATTAATATAAAAGCTAAAGGTGACCACATCAGTTTTTGGTTAAAGGAGAACCAGGCAAAACAATCATTAATGAATAAAAGATGCAATTTCTCAGTCAGTGCTACTTAGTAAGGTGACAGTTGAATTTTATCAATGCATATACCTAATTAACTGGTAAATTCACAAGATATTCTTTTGATGCCAACTCCACTTGTTGAGATGGAAATTCAAAGTGGTGCCATGGAAGAAAGTGATTTTAAACCCTTGATTCTTGTATCTTTTGTTGAGTATTAAAACAAGATTCCCTATGGCCAGTTTGCTGAAAAATCAGATTTTTTTTTTTTAGGAAATATAAGTATACTTCAACTTTTATAGGCCAGTTTTATATGCTATGTAGCTCAAGTATTTTTCCATATTAAGAACTGTGTCTTTGTCATTTCTTTGAGATTGGGTTACATGATATTTTCTGAACAACACCCAGTCTTAATCTAAAATACCTGTTAAAATCCTGCAAGTAATGTGATAGTGGAGGTGACAACTCGTAACTGTGCTGTATTTGGCTCGTTCCAAATGTGGGGAGTAGGAATATCACAAAGACACAACGGAGGAATTTTATCTTTCTCTTCATTACAAGAAATTTGAAAATAAGGTGGTGGAGCTGTTCATGAAGACGAGTCAGAGAGGTGTAACTACATGGACTGTTTTTTGAGGGTTTTGTGTGATAAAAAGAACTGCAAAGCTGTGTTACTTACAAGAAATTATTGTAGAATCAAATAATTATTTAGGTTGGAAAAGTCCTGTAAGATCATCATGTCCCATGGTTAACCCAGCACTGCAGAGCACCTACACCAAATACATGTAATATCTTCTTGTCACAAGCTGTTTACATCTTATGTATATTTTTAAATTGTTTCCCTATTTCAGAGGCAGAAGATGCCTTTGTCCACAAGGAGAAGGTGCAGAAAGAGGTGAAAGCTGCACTCTCAGAAGATGCCACTCTGAGCTGCGAGGTGGCCCAGGACAAGACTGAGGTGAAGTGGTACAAGGATGGGAAGCTGATCACCTCCAGCAAGAAGTTCAAGGTGGAGTCAGAGGGCAAATCTCGTCGTCTGGTGGTGAGTCAGGTGGAGAAGAAGGATGCTGGGGAGTACAGCTGCGAGGCTGCTGGCCAGAAACTCACCTTCAGGATCCATGTTGCAGGTGAGGGATTACCTTATTACACCTTTTTTTTGCTGTAGCTATGAAGTTTCCTAGTGACATGGGTTAACTTTAAGCCTTGCTCTATATGGGTCTGCAGCAGAACTTAAATGGTTATTCTTAAAGATCAGTATTAAGGGCATGTGTTTGGATGCTTTGGAGCCCATTTGACCAGGAATGGTGATAAGGATAAAGGATGTGAGAACAAGCCAAGCATAACACAATCCTTCCACTCTTTAAGGGTCTGTAGTTGCATTCTTAGAATTTGTAGTTTCTGTCTCTGCTGGGCCAAGAGTTTTTCTGTCACATCTGTACAAGAGATGTGGCTTTGCTGAGTTTTGCCAACGTGACTTCAAGTGGAATTGCACCACACAGAGAGGTTCAAGTGTCAGTTCAGATCAATATTCAGAAGTCTGTGTGTGCTGGTGAATCATCAGTGCACCCATTTCTGCCCTTGCTGCCAGTTATTTTTGTGGAAAAAAAAAATCACCCAGTACTTCCTTTCTCATCTTCCTTTCTTCTGTTCTACTCGAGTGTTTCAAGGGAACAATAACTAAACTTGATGTAGATGTTTCCTTTCTGACTGTGGATCACAAGAAAACCTCAAAGAAGCATTCAATTAAAAGCACATCCCAGGGATGTGGGGCAACACAATTGGATTTGGTGCAAAGATTTGTCCTTTTTCTCATGAGATTTGCCCAACCCAGGAATCTAACCATATCTTTTTAGAAGTGTTGGCATTTTCCCAACCTGGTGCCCTGGTCACACCACTGAACCTTTCATTTTGGACCTAGCTGTGAGTGATTTTAAGCATCTTCCACGCTGGAGGTGGTTTGGGGCTGGCCTGCTCCCAGGTATCCCATGATATTACAGCACTGGGACTCATGTGACTGCCAGTTGTGGGCCTTGCTGAGGAACAAACTATTGGGTTTCATTCTGCTTGCTCTGCCACGTCTGCATTCTGTGATATACATTGCTGGGGGATGACCCTGCAAGGAAACTGGAGACAAATCTGCCTCGTTATCCCTTGTGCCAGAAAAACTGTGGTAATACTTATTCCATGGCTCAGTTATCTGACTTTTTCTTCTTTTTTCCCTCTAGCTCTATGCAGGTTGTAGGAACAGCACAGGGTAAGACTGAGGTTGCCATTTTATTTCAAGCAAGAAATGCATTTGATAGAAGAAACTCTTAAAAAAGTTGCAGTGGATTATAAATCAAACTGTGAAAGGCAGAAATTAGCAAAGGATCTTCTCACAGTGTTTGAAGGAAAAGCTCTTCTTAGCTTCCTGTGGAAGGATCCTCTCATCTGGGTCCAGGAGACCTTTTTCCTTCACTGGATGAGCAGGAACCGAAGCGCTCCTGGCAATTGTTTGTGTGCAGCTGAGCAAGTGGGGAAAGCTGTTGACAGCAATGATGGAAGGTTTCATGGGTCTTTTGGGTTAAAACCCAAAGATTGACCTGCTTTTAGGGCTTCTGAAAGAGTCATAATCATGACTATGAGGGTTCACTTTTTTTTTTTTTTTGGAAATAGCACCATCCTCTGCAGGTTGATGCGGTGGGTCCCTCACTCTCACCAAACTTCTCTGCATCTCACATCCTTTCTGTAAACAGGGGTGAGGAGAGTGTTGTACCCCAAAGTGTTTTTCATATCGCAGGATTTGAGGTACTTGGGTACCATGGAAAGAGGGAGGGGCATTTTGTCTCCAGTATATAAGTGACTGTTGCCCATTGCTGCCAAGGAGAGGCTGTTTCTCAGATTTAGCAAATGGGTAAATATCAGAAAGTAGAGGAGAAAAGGCCCTCTCTTGCCACTGAGAGATTTGCTGGTCACTCTAGAGGCAGAAATGATGGGATTCAATTAGGTCCTCCTTTCAGACTGCTGAGGAAGAATGTTGTAGAACTAGACATAGAAAATGGATCTTCTGACCCTCTTGCTTTAACCCCAGATCATCTTTGTTATCCCCTTGTTGTTGACTGAAGATACAACTGAGCAGAAATGCCAACACGAGTTTGTGTAAAATACTATTACCCCGAGGGAAATTCAAGCAACTGAAGAGAATTACCTGGGATGGAGCACAAATGTGAGCCTGGGAGTCCTTCACTCAGCTTCCTTCTGTGTGACAGAATCCCAGAACGGTTTGGGTTGGAAGGGACCTTCAAGATCATCTCATCCCACCCCCTGCCATGGGCAGGGACACCTTCCACTAGCCCAGGTTGCTCCAAGCCCCGTCCAACCCGGCCTGGGACACTTCCAGGGATGAGAAGTGTAACATCTATTGCTTAGAATGAAGGGAAAAATATCTGCCTAGAGAGGGTCAGAGCCAAAATGAAGAAATCAGCCCGTAGGACAACACTTTCCAGGGGCATTGGCTTGTTCTCTTCAGAAGTGTCACAGGAAGTGCTCTGAAACTTGTAACCCACACTTTTTGCACCACTGTCAATTCCTAACCCCAGAGACACAACTTTCCAGCAGAGTTCTCCTTTTTCATTCCTTATTTGTGCTCTCTCTTTTAAAGGATTTATATATACAAGGGATTATATATATTTTTGCTGGCCTTAGTAATCCTCTCTTTTCTGTTCTTCTGCTGGGTATAAGATATAAATTCTGAGCACTTGAGTGGGGAGGTAGCAAGTTCCACACTGAGAATTGAATAAATTGCTGATCTGTTCTTCATGAATCAGTTCTCATAATTCATGCAAGTTTGGTAGTTCCAAAGAAGTTTATTACAGAGATTTTTTTTTTTTATTCCTCTATTTACTGTATCATGTTAGGATCCCTATCTCCAATGTTCTTTCCCATGTCCAGCTTCTAAAATTATGTCCTTGGAACTTATCAAAACCAAGCCTAAAATCAAATTACTGTTCTTAATTCAGTGTCTGTTTGATTGGAGTATCTGGCAGTCATTCCATCTGGAAATCCAAGATGCTCCTGGCACAGCTCCACTGGAGGCGACCAAGATGATTAGGGGGCTGGAACACATGTCACATGAGGAGAGGCTGAGAGAACTGGATTTGTTCAGCCTAGAGATGAGAAGAGAAAGCAAAAGGGAGCTTTAATTACTGCCTGCATCTGTTTAATAAGAGGATATGGAGTCCACAGCTCTGTGTCTTCTCAAAGATCCAGGGTGATAGGAGGAGAGATAAAATATACAAGTTGGAACTTGTATGGGAGGTTCTGAAAAGATATTAGGAGAAACTTGCTCCATGAGGGTGGCCAAGCTCTGGAACAGGAGCCTTGAGGTTGTGGGGTCTCCGTTGCTGGAGGTACTCAGGACTCAGTGGGACATGACTGTGCAGAGCTTGGTGTAATTTCATCTGCTCTGAGGGGGGAATTGGGACTGGGTGGCCTCCAGAGATCACTCTTAACCTGAATTACTTCGTGACTGTGATTTTGTACCATTAGTAGCACGTGTTCTGTAGAATATATCTGGGAAGTGATGCTGTTCCGTAAGGATACAGCTCCATATAAAAGTCTGTGAAGGTACTCCACCTGTTATGCATTTATTTCATATTATTATTGATTTTTTTCCTAAATATAACTTGGGCCCAGCCAGGGGGTCGACATTGGCAAATGAAGAATCCTGCCTGGAGTTTGTCTTGTTTACTGTGACTGTGCAGCCCAGACTTCTCTTCCAGTGAACAAAACATGCCCTGCTTTCCCAGGAGAGCCCATCCTGCTTGGCCTGTAGAGTAGGACCCTCTAGAAAGCCTGCAGGAAAGCTGGTACCAGCCTTAAGATCAGGCATGGAAGTTCTTCTTGCTGCCCAAATGAGCAGCAGCTGGAAAATGTGATGCATGGAAGTAAATTGTTCCTGCCAGTGCTTCATCGAGCGTTTGCTTAACTCTGACTCTTTCAGCCTCTTTTCATACCACAGCTGATTTATTTAAGCTGTGATGCACCAGGTGGTGTCTCACCAAAACCCCAACACCACGTGATCTTGGAGGTGAAGCTTTCGTTTTCATGGGCTTTTTCCTAATATTTTTTCCCTGCTTTCCAATCTTGCAGATGACGCGTTTGAACACAGAGACAAAGTGCAAAGGGAGGTGAAGGCAGTGCTGAAGGAGGACACTACTCTGAGCTGCGAGGTGGCCCAGGACAAGACTGAGGTGAAGTGGTACAAGGATGGGAAGCTGATCACCTCCAGCAAGAAGTTCAAGGTGGAGTCAGAGGGCAAATCTCGCCGTCTGGTGGTGAGTCAGGTGGAGAAGAAGGATGCTGGGGAGTACAGCTGCGAGGCTGCTGGCCAGAAACTCACCTTCAAGATTGATGTCACAGGTACGAGACGACTCTTCAGCCCATCATTGCTATTTCTAGAATATTTAGAAAAATCAATATTATTTTTTAAAGCATTTTCGTGTCACGCTTCAAATTTTTGGCAAACGCCGTTGGAATGGCCCAACTCTGGTGTAGAAATGGGGCAAAAAGTTACAAATACAGTTACCTTCATATACTCTATGTAAAAGATTAGAAATCCTTAAAACAGGGGTCCTTGGAAGGTACCTTGTTGGAAAAGTAGATTGTACATCTCCTTCCTCACACGTTGGTGTGATGACAATAAACCTGCTCCACAGCTTGTTCTCAATGCAGGGTCATGGTGGACAGTAATTGGGTGTGTGCACTGTTTTATTTCCCTTGGAAGGGCTCGTTTCAGCCTGAAGGGAGAATATGGCAGCAGGGCTTGTTACATATGAAGGTCTCTAAGGTGTCAGGTAAAAGGCAAACTGGGGAAAGAAGGTGTCTTGGAGACTCAATCCAGACACATCTCCCTGCTGAGGCTGTACAGAGGTAGAATGGATTTGGCTTTACAACTCCGTCAAAACTTCCTGAACCACTTCTGAGTGGTATGACACATGTGTCTTGTGAAGAACAAGAGGATTTCACCATCTGGATGTAAGATGAGCTGAGGTTTTTCCTCGAGGTTGCAGCTGAGGTTTTTCCTCAAGGTTGCACTGAGAAGTAATAACACTGTCCTGGACATGTCAGTCCTGGTCTAGCACCTTTCTCTCTTAACAAAATGATCTGAGCAGCAACAGAGGCAGCTACTGAGAACCAGAGAAGTCAATTATATGGGGCTATGATGCAGCACAGGACAGCTCCTTCCTCTAAAAATTTGTTACTTTGCACTCAACTTCAACTCAAATGTGTCCTGCCTTGACTGGACCCTGCCATACAATGCTTCTGTGAACCTTTCAGAGGATCTTCTGGATCTCAGAAAACCAAAACAGACTAAAACCACGCAAAACTCCCACCACAAAATGGTTTGCGTGTTCTTCCAATGGTTTTAGATGTGCATTGTCAAGTCAGGGGTTGTTTTCCAGGGTTACCACGACAAGGGGACTGGGCAACAACTTATTTTGGAGAAACTCTGAACTTCTCTCTCTTTTCAGAGCCAGAAGTTGTGTTCACAAACAAGCAGAAGGTGCAGAAAGAGGTGAAAGCTGCAGTCTCAGAAGATGCCACTCTGAGCTGCGAGGTGGCCCAGGACAAGACTGAGGTGAAGTGGTACAAGGATGGGAAGCTGATCACCTCCAGCAAGAAGTTCAAGGTGGAGTCAGAGGGCAAATCTCGTCGTCTGGTGGTGGGTCAGGTGGAGAAGAAGGATGCTGGGGAGTACAGCTGCGAGGCTGCTGGCCAGAAACTCACCTTCAGGATCGATGTCACAGGTAAGAAATACCTTTCTGAATGACAGGAGAGGACAATAAAGCAATACCTGTGATGTCTATTCCACCCTGACTCGGTTGCTGTGCTCTGGGTTGTGTTGCAGCCCGTAGGGTTCACCTGATGTTCTGCACCTTATTGCCTGGATTTGTAGAAATGGGAATATTTGGCTTTAGATGGCACAAAGGCCTATCTCATTTTTAGTTGCAGATATAAATATAATAATCAACATATTATTTAACATAATAACCAACATATATATATTCATGAACTTGCATGCCTGGGATCCCAGAGAGCGATTCTTTTTGTATTGACCCCCTTGAAAGGAAAGAACCATTCAAAAATCATCTTTTTATTAGACTTCCAATCCCACTTCTGAAAACTGAGAGGCTAGAATAGATTTTTCCATTTGAATATTCAGCATCAGCACGTCTCAAGATGGGTTGAAAACAGAATTTTTCTGGTGAATTTGGCTTGTTGTGTGCTTGAGATCTCAGCCTTTTGAGATGCCTTACTAATTCTGCCAGGTGCCAAATGCCCCTCTGGTGTGAAAGATTCCAAGAAATTGGTCTTTTGGAACAGGATTCACAAGGTGCCCAAACTGCTTTAAGCATGTGATGTTAAAGGACGTTTTGATGTTGCAACAACCTTGGGGACCTTGCCAACCATGATCCTGACCCCCCTGAGCCCTGGAGGGACAGCATATTTCCTTTGTCTCTTTGACAGTCACATTTCTGGTAGTGGAAGAGGCCATGAAGAGTCTGTTCCAGAAGCCCAGAGTTATTTATTGTGTCCTAGATCTCAAGTAAAAGGAATTTGGGAGGTTTTGATGATATGCAGGACAGGTGTTTTTGGGAATGTTTGAATTAAATATTTCTTTTCATGGTGACTTGCAACCACGGGGTTGATGTCAGGGATATTTTGGTCCTTTCCATTCCCAGGCTCTTAATTCCCAATTTCCACATGGCAACTGAGTCCCACAGAAGGGTTGATGTTACCTAGTGACAGCAGTTGGATTTGGCAAGTGACAACCTAAATATTTTCCAGACCTGCCTACAGAAGTCTATAAGATCAATCTCATTTTAGTCCCTTAATCATAAATAATCAATTATTTCCGTCTTTTTCTGTGCCCAGAGCCCAAACCTGCATTTATAAACCAGGAGAAGGTCCAGAAGGAGGTGAAGGCTGCGCTGACAGAAAGCGCCTCCCTCGTGTGCGAGGTAGCACAGGATGCAACCGAAGTGAAATGGTTCAAGGATGGAAAACTCCTGGTTTCCTCCAGAAAATTCAAAATAGAGACCATGGGCAAAACCCGGCGCCTGGTTATAGAGCAGCTGGAGAGGAAGGATGCTGGGGAATACATCTGTGAGGCTGCGGGCCAGAAGATGACATTCAAACTGGAACCAACTGGTGGGTACTCCCTTTGTGGTGTTAAGCACCAACCTGTGAGGAAAACTGGGTATTCCCTACCCAGCAGCCGTGGTGCAGCCACCATCTCCCCTGGAGCAACGTCAGTGAACCCACAGGGCACATTAATTTTCAATCTAGCAGTGCAGAGGGGGAGAATCTGGACTTTTTTTTTTTGGTGTGTGCCCCAGAAAAGCCCAGTTTTGTGGCAAAGTGTTGTACAAGATAGAGAAGAGGCCAAGAGCAAGGTACTGGAATCACAGAATGGTTTGGGTTGGAAAGAACCTCAGGGATCATTTTAGTTCCAACCCTCCTGCCAGTGGAGCAAATGGAAAACAGGCCACAAATTCAGGCTTAGCATATTAATACTCCTTATTAACTTGACCTAAAATCCCAAAGATGTGAGAGGGAAGAATTATAGAGGTTATTTTACTTCTTAGAAAGAAGCTTGTTATGGGCAGCAGATAAAATACATATGTTTGCATTTCCTTTCCCTGCTTCTCTTCTAAGCAGAAGCTCTGAGATACCTGAGAGATCATTTTGTTTCTTCCCACTCAGGAAAAGATGACACCAGCCACAAACCTTCACCCGTATTCCCTGGATTATTGCAGGCTGTGGGTGAGCTGGTGTTGAGTCAGGAAGAGAGAGCAATAGAATATTGCTGTGTTAAGAATTCGATTATCTAAGTTCTTAATTTTCCTGTTTCAATGTCTTTCCTAGAACCAGAAGCTAAATTTGAAAAGAAAGTTGTCCAGAAAGAGCCTCTCGTTGTTCAAGAACATGAGAGTATCACACTGACAACCTCAGTGACGCCTGAAACTGCTGCAGTGAAGTGGCTCAAGGACGGGACAGAAATCAAGGCGAGCAAGAAATGTGTGATCAAGAGTGAGGGGGCGTCCAGGACCCTGGTGGTGAACCTGGCTGAGAGCACAGACACTGCTGTCTACACCTGCCAGACCAAGAATGACAAGCAGGAGTTCAAAGTGCAGGTGAAAGGTGAGCAGAGAGCAGAGCACAGGTCGTGTCCCGACCCAACAGCGACACTTCTCTTGTGGTGGGATGGAGGTGAAGCCCAAACTATCCCTAAAGCTGTTCCAACCTCAGGTCTTGTTGCACCTTTCTGTGGATGCCCCAGCATGGGCCAGCAAGGATGTCCTGTTTCAAAATACCCACTTTTTGTCCTTTGCTGGCCTGTTGGGGACAAGGAAACTCTTCCTGGTGTCTACTCCTCTTCTGTTTCTGTCTCCTCTTAACCCTGGGACATGACAGAGACTCAACTCTTCCCCTCTGTGCTCACAGGAAAAGCTGGGGAGGGTGTAGAGGGGTGTTGTGTGAGGAAAAAATTGGTGATTTAGTCACAGAGGGAAACAGGACCTGAACTGAATCCTCCTCAATTCATGGGATGGAGCACCTGGGATGCTGTTCCCTACTCAAGGCTGTAAACTGGCAAGCAGGATGAAGTAGAGCTGGTCCACAGATTGAGATGAGAGGGGTGATGTCCCAGAACAAAGCCCTGCTCCTTTCTCTTCAGACACTTCCCCTTGGAGATGTCTGGAGCTGAGAGGCACTCTCTCAGCTCCCTGAGGAGTCATTGCAGAGGGGAGGTTGCTGATAGGTCATGATGCTTCCAACCTCTTGAAATGTCTCTTTGGGATGAGAGAAATCACACCCTGGATTTCTCCAACACCACTGGCTGTGCCTGCAGTGACAGAAGAGACAAAGGTGGCTGGGGCTTATGTATCCATACAGATTTTAGCATTTAGTCAGGAAAAGCAGGCTCTGCTGTAAAAACACCACATGGTCTCATCAGGTAACAGAAAGAAAGGAAGGCAATACCCAACCATGCTTGAAGACATTGTTCTTGCTTTACAGAACCATGGTGATATGAAAATACCACATCAAAGGAACTCACTGAATTCCCACTTTCCTGATTTGTTTCTGTCTTTGATCCCCAAATATTTTCTAGGGCGAGTTCGTTTGTTTGATTGTTTGTTTCCAAAGTTGTCCAAAACCAATTCCCTCAAACAGAGTTTCTTATCTTTTCCTTTCTCAACACTCTCCCTTCTTCTGGGCCCCAGAAATCCCGGTGAAGTTTGCCAAGAAGCTGGAAGCCGTCAAGGCCGAGATTGGGGGCAGTGTCTCGTTGAGCTGTGAGCTGAGCCACCCCAGGGGGAAGGTGACCTGGCGCAGGAATGGAGTCGAGATCAAGCCCAGCAAACGTTTCCAGGTTCACGAGGAGGGGATCAAACGGACCCTGACAATAACGGGGATCCGGGCTGAGGATGAGGGGGAGTACTCCTGTGAATCCAGAGATGACAAGAGCAGCATTACCATCACCCCCAAAGGTACGTGTCTAGCGGTGACAGTGTTGGAGGGATCCTTGGGTTTTGTCCTCAGCCATTGCAGCTCTGCAAAGATGAGTTTGTTCACGTGTCTGTGTTGTCTCGTGTGTTGAGAGCAAAATACAAACCTCCCTTTTCCTCTCAGTGTCACTGGAACCTCTATTTGTGGAAAACATAATGATTTCGAGACCTGTGGAGCTCAGGTCTCTTAATACTGACCTTCATGTTGCATTTGAGGCTGGAATTCAGTATCCCAAATCTAAGATTTTTTTTTCCCCCCCCTCTTTGTTTGCCTCTGGCTTCAGGCCTCTTTATATACAAAACTTCCTCAGACCTGAGAAACATCCAATGATGGCCCATTGTTGTGATCACTCACAGTGAGTAATGAAGGTGACCAGTGGCAGAACCCGAGGGGAATCGCCTGGAGCTGTGTCAGGAAGGTTTAGGTTGGATATTAGGAAAAGGTTCTTCCCCCAGAGGGTGGCTGGGCACTGAGCAGGCTCCCCAGGGCAGTGGGCACAGCACTAAGGCTGACAGAGCCCAAGGAGCTTCTGGATGATCTTCTGGGGCACAGGGTGTGACTCTTGGGGACGGTCCTGTGCAAGGCCAGGAGTTGGACTGGGTGATCCTTGTGGGTTCTTTCCAGCCCAGCATATTCTGTGAAATATTAATGATTCCGATAAAATCAAAGGTTTTGGCTCTTTGAAGGTGCTCATGCCACGCCTGAAAGACATGCTCTAAATGTTTTATTTCTATCCATCAGCTCCCAGAGTGGTGAAATTCATTACCAGCCTCAACAGCGTGGTGTCTGAGGAAGGAAAGGAGGCTGTGTTCAAGTGCACCATCTCTCCCAGCGACGCCGTGGTCACTTGGCTCAGGAATGGTGTCAAGATTGAAGCCAGCAAGAAGTATGTGATCTCCCAGAAGGACACCAACCACAGCCTCACCATCACTGACCTGACACTGGAAGATGCAGCTGAAATCTGCGCCAGTGCTGAGGGTGTGGAGAGCACAGCCAACCTCAGGGTCCGAGGTGAGAGGTGGTAAAAGCCCCTTTTCACAGGCTGCCCTGCCCGTGGGGTTGGAACTAGATGATCCTTCCCAACCCAAACTATTCTGTGATGATGATTCTACAATGTTGTTTCACAATAATGTATAGTAGGGAAACTCTGCCTTTGCATTGTTAAATAGGGATGCTCAGAATGCTTTGGGACTGGAGATATATGAACCACTGTCCTAATTTTCTTCTGAAAACCTGTTTTCTGGATTATCTACTTTCTTACCAAAATTTCTTCTCCTTTGGCAGAGGCCTCGATCTCATTCAAGAAGAAACTGGAGCCCAGAACAGTTGAAGAGAGGGAGACAGTGACCTTGGAGGTGGAGCTGACCAAGCCTGCAGAGGTGAAGTGGATGAGGAACAGCATCGTGCTGAAGCCCAGCGACAAGATAGAGATCAAAGCTGAGGGAACAAAGCACACCTTGGTGGTGAAGGACATCTCCTTTGCAGACAGGGGCTTCTACTGCTGTGAGAGCCCTGATGACAAGACCCAAGCCAAGATCAACGTGGAAAGTAAGTTCGGTGATTTCCAGTTCTATAAATACCCTGGCCAGGGTTTGGAGGTGGATTCTGGTCTCTGCCATTATCATGGAGACACAGGGACACAACCATGGGCTTGGCCACCAGCCCAAATGACCAAGTGGAGGTGAAAGAAAGGGCAGCAAACAGAGAATGTCTGGCTGACTGCTCTTGCCTCCATCTCATCCTACCAGCTTTCAGTCGTTCTGTTGACCATCAAACTTCTTACCCATTCTTCTCTTTCCTCTGAAATTTCCCACTCTGGTGGACTCTGTGTTTTTCCTTTGTATTTTTTTTTTTTTAGCAAACCATTCCCTCTTCAGCCATTCATTGTCCTAATTTTCCTCTGCCAGCGACCTCTTTCAGAATGTCACTGTTCAGTCAGGGTCAGAAAAACTCCAAGAGCAAATTTTCTATCTGAGGGTGTTGTTCTTTCAGGTGCTTTAATGATACCTCATCTGTATCTCTGTATTCTATCCTTTTTCCTACATCCTTTTGTCATGATTGTCACAGGACAGATGAAGAGAGAATTTAAGGGCAGCCCACCTCAGTCATGTTTGTGTTCTTATCCTGGTTGAATTATTGGATTATCTCTGCTAAACATGCATTAGGAAGGTTAAAACATTCCCAGGAGACCATCTGAGAATTGAAGGTTCTTGTGAATAATTCATGGCTTTTTAGAGGGTTGGGGGCTTAATTTTTTTTTTAATTGGTGTTTTTGGTGGTTTGGTTTAGTTTGTTTGTTTGTTGGGATTTTGTTTGTTTGTTTGGGCTTTTTTAATTGGCAACTTAATTACTTCTAGTGGTGAAACAAGTTTAAATACTAAATCCATTTTACTGGCTGATAGGACATGGATGTCTTGTCATAAGAACAGGTAATATCCACCCAAACCACGGATGCTTTGCCCCCCCAAGCTGTGAGGTGTCAGCACACTTTGCACCATGTCACAAATTTTTTTCCTTTTACTAAAGGCTTTTCTTTCCCCCTGCTACTTCTTTCTGTTGTTTTATCCTAGTTGGAGAACTGCACAATATTGTAGTGCATTAATTTTATTTGTTTTTTTTTTTTACTAAACCTGGTGGACCTTGATAGGAAAGGGGCCAAATTGCCCTTTTTCTGTGATATTTGGTTGACCTGTTTGTCAACCAGCTGAAAACATCCATTTTAAAAATAGCAGCCATGTGTGGTCATGGGGAGGTTTTATTTCCTGTAAAAAAGTGGTGGTTTAATTGGCAGATATCAATTAATTGGCAAGCACCTGCATGAGGAATGGGGAAATAATTCATTTTGGAAATCCTCGGGGTGTTTCGCAGCTGTCAGTTGTGAGATCTCCAATTTTTCCACGGTGTTTTCCAGTGAGGCAGATCAAGCTGGTGAAAGGCCTTCAGCCCCTGGAAGTTGCTGAGAAAGGGACTGTCACCTTCGAGGTGGAGGTGTCACACGAGGACGTGGAAGGGACCTGGCAGAGGGACGGAGTTCGGCTGAAACCCGCACCCAACATCAGCTTCGGCGTCCTGGGCAAGAAACACTCACTGACCCTCTCCTCGGTGGCCCTTGAGGATGCAGGGGTCATCTCCTTCAAGGCAGAAGGCATCAATTCATCAGGGAGACTCACTGTGAAAGGTACACTGACTCAAAAGGCTCAGACACTCTGCTTGCTGTGGAGAAGTTGTTCTTCTCCTGACCTGGAGAGCAAACTTGAGAGGTCAACCAGCTGTCCTTGTAACTGCAAGGGGTGTTAAGCACTGGACCACCATCAATAACATGCCCTTATATCCTCAGCATTGTTTTCCACAGAACAACTCTGGATAAAGAGCCCAAAACGTGATGATTTTGTTGTCACGGGTTTTATTAACCATGGAAGCCAGGCCCTGCCTACCCATTGGTGCTTGTGTCAGATGTCCTTCTGCAAACCTCGTTCCCCACTCATTGAACCTTCTCTTTGTTGTTTTTTTTTTCTCAGAATTGCCTGTGAGAATCAGCAAACCTCTGGTGGATGTCAGTGTGACTCAGAAACTCAAGGCCACATTCGAGTGTGAGCTGTCCAGGCCCAATGTGAATGTGAAGTGGTTCAAGGTACAGCATTAATGGATAGTGATATTTTAATTCCATACTTCTCTGGAAGGGAGTGAGAACCTTTATTTTGGCTTCCAGGGGATGTGAGTCTGAGCCTTGGCAACACAGCTCTTGGCATTGTCCTCTTGTCCTCATGCTGATTTACTCTCCCACTTTATCACTGTTTTTTATTTACTGGGTGTGTTTATTGGGTTTAAAGTTAAACTTCTTTATTCCTGTGCAAAATGTGAGTGCTGCTGTTATAACAATGCAGTTCTGTGCTTTACTTCATGCCTAGCAGTTCTCACCTAGCATTTATAAGGTCTTTTGGAACTGTGATTGAAGGGAAGCCTCAATTCCCTTTGTCAGTGAAAATCCAGTTCCCTTTCCCTTGACATTTCGTGGATCAGCTCTTGCATTTCATGTACCTTCCTTGGGCTTAGCTGATGCTCTCCTTAATTTGGGATAACAACAGTTCTTCAAGACAATCATAGAATCACAGAACAGTTTGGGTTGGAAGGGATGCTTAAAGGTCACCTAGTTTCAACCCCCCTGCAATGAACAGGGACACGTTCAGCCAGATCAGGTTGCTCAGAGCCCTGTTCAACCTGACCTTGATGTTTCCAGGAATGGGACATCCACCAACTGGCTGGTGCCTCACCGCCCTCATTGTAAAAAAACTTCTTTCTTATATCTAGTCTAGATCCACCCTCTTTTAAAGACCATTTGTGTCTGAAGGGGCTTATTGCCAAACCCTGTGCAGTGTTTTAAGCCTTCAAATAGGTGTCTGAGACCATAAAAAAATTATGTGAGTTCTTCAACCACTCCAACTTGTTGAAAGTTTTTCACCATGCTGATGTTTCACCACATGTTCCTTTAAGTCCAATGAGGCAGGTGAACAAAGCACAGCTCTGAATGTCTGTTTTGCTCACTGCAGATGTACAAGAGTTGATGGTGATCTGGTTTGGCCTTTTCCCCTTCTAGGATGGGAAGGAGATCCGGCAAAGTCAAAATGTGGCGTTTGTTGCCCAGGGAAATAAGAGAAGCCTCATTATTCACAAGTGTGAATATGAAGACCAGGGAACCTACAGCTGTCAAGCAGCTGAAGACAAGACATCAGCTACTCTAAAGGTTCATGGTATGTTTGGCTGAAGTAGGAAATTACATTTACTGCAGTATTTTTGGCCACACAGCGAGAAATTCTTTGTGGACAGTTTATGTATTTCACAATTGCCTGTTTTGCTTAAGTTTCTCTTCCTAGTGAGAAAGTGCTGGCAGAGCTCTTCTGTGCTTGCTCTATCATTCCAGTAAAAAAAAATTTAGTTTTCCATTTATCTTTAGTTATTTCTATTCTCTGGAATTTCAGTGGTGTTTCTGGATTGACACATTAACAAATCCTGGACAGACTGGCACAAATCAGGGATTCAATGGCTGGTGCTGACGTGGTTTGGTTTAATTTCTGCCATTGTCACAGGGGGACTTTGCCTGAACAGGGACTGGACAAACTTTGGGTTTGAGCTAAAGAGGTGCCCTAATTTTTAGGTTGTAAATGCTAAAGAGATGTTCATTATTTCTGCCTGCACCTCTCCTTTATGGACCAAGCAGCTGCTCAAGCACCAGGAGTATTTGGCCACCAGGCTCTGAAGCACCAGAGATAACCTGGTGCTGAGGGCAAGTTACTCAACAGACAGGTTTGCTGTGCCCCGGCAGAGGTTATTTCCCAGAGGGGCATCTGAAAAACAGACCTTGCTGAAAGATAGAGCATCCTTCTTATTGCTTACTAGCTGCTGTCCTCATGTGGCCGTTTGGGTTTAGCAATATCTTCTCAAACGTGTGCCCTGTTTCCTTGCTCTGTTGAACTTCCCCCTTTTCTCCCTGATTTTGTGATTGGGAAGGGTGGTTGTTTGTATTTCTCTGCTCCTGAGGCTGATCCAAGGGGTGTCAAGGCCTTCCCTTTCAAAGGGAAAGGGCTGCAATAGCACAGAAATACGGATCAGTTCTGACAAAGTGAGTGCCGAGCTGCAAAGTTAAAAGAGGATTATACTGAGTTCAGAAGACTCTGCAGGAGAGCATGAAGAGGAGCACATGAATGAGACAGATTTATAGTGACCCTCAAAACTGTAGGCTTGTGTTTACTTTTTCCTTGGCAGATTTTCTTGCATTAATATGTTTAACATCTTTTAAAACCTGTATGAAGTTCCAGCCACCCACAAAATCCTTTTGCAGTGAGCTCCAATGTAGCTGGTAATTCTACCTGCTGGTTCAAACATAAAATATATTCACTGTCTTGAGGTGAGAACTCCCCAGGAAGGGAGGCTGGGCTAGAATAAAACACAATCCCATTTTTTAACATGCAGTTATGCAGAAGGTAAACACCCCACCCTCGGGTATGGAGAAACCCTGAATAAATATTTCTCTTTGGTTTCACAGCCCGAGATATCAAGATTGTAAAGCCACTGGAAGATGTGGAAGTGAATGAATATGAGAGTGCATCCTTTGTCTGTGAGATTTCACATGATGAGGTCGAAACCCAGTGGTACAAAAACGACAACAGGCTGAAGACTTCCGACAATATCAAAATGCGACAGGATGGTAGGAGGGAAAAGAGGGATCTCCTTCTCCAGTGGGGGTGTGTTGGGATGGGAGACTAGAAAACAGGGTGTGACCTTCAAAATCAGGTTAAGAAGGTTCAGCAAAGGGTCCTGCTTTGGTTTTGGGGGCTGCAGCTGTGCTGGAATAGTGTTGTGGTTGGGAACTTAAACAAGGCAGATTTGGTGTCATCCCAAATGGCAGCAGTGGGTAGGAATTCGTATCATCAGGCAGTGGGTGGGATTCTTCTGTTTTCCCAATGGTGTGAGGGTGATGTTAAATCAGCCTTTGGAGGAGTTGAGCTTGGGTTATCCTCTGGTAGAGGGACACGGGGGAATGGTCAGCCCTGCAGCCGTGAGAGCGGGTGGTGCTGAGCTCAGACCAGTTGGGGGATGCTCAGCCTAGCAGAGCTCCTTGGAGGGTGAAGCCGTTTGCTCCGGGGAACCTGAGCAGTGTCTGGTTGTGTGTCTGTCCTCAGGGAAGACCTACTCTCTGACCTACGCCCGTGTCCACGTGGAGGATGCGGCAGAGATCAAATTTGTGGCAGAAAAGGCGGAATCTCGCGCTCAGCTGACCGTGAAAGGTAATCGCGATTTTCGTGCCAGCGCTGCTCGTGCTCTCTCACGTTACAAACCAACCAACCTCCCTGTGAAGAAAACTAAACAACACCTGCAGCTCCCAGGGAAAGAAAAACTCCTGTCTACCTTACTGCCCATCAGATATCAGCCTGGGAATTTACTCTGGCTAAATAACAGTTAATTTTTTCAGAAGGCCGGTTTTGTACCTTTAGAGACTAAAAGTTGTGCGAGAAATTTGAGGCACAAAAAGCTGTTGCTTTTCTCCTGCATTTTCACTTTCTCATGTATGTTATAGAAGAAAACAGTATTTTTTTTGTGTGTGTTTAACTAAAACAATGTGGTAGAGGGAGAGAGAAGGAAGATATTTGAATTAACCCACTGATCAGGAGCTCAGTAAATAGGAGATCAGTCCCCAGCTTTGCCACAGCACTGCTGTGTAGTGTTGAGGAAATTACCTTTATCTCTGCAGTTCAACCACTCAAGTGGTGAAATAGGGAGAAAAACTTCCCTTTAATCAGCTCTTTACTTGCTGTGTGTTAGTTGAGTGCTGAACATACCGGGGCTCCCTGTCAAATAACTACCCGCAAAAGAAATATCCCTAATGAGTTTTTAATCGGCGCCTGTCATGGAAAAACTGTGCTGATAACTCCATTTTTTTTTTTTTAACTTTTTTTTTTTAGAGCTGCCTGTAAAAATAGTGAAGCCTCTGAGAGACAAGATCGCTCTCGAGAAGCACCGGGGGTTCCTGGAGTGCCAAGTGTCTCGTGCCAACGCCAAGGTCCGGTGGTTCAAGAGGGACGTGGAAATTCGCCCCAGCGACAAATACGAGATCGTGAGCGAAGGCGTCTACAGGAAACTCATCATCAACGACGCCGACTACGAGGATGAGGACACCTACACCTGCGATGCCTTCGATGACAAAAGCAGTGCTAACTTCTTTGTTGAAGGTAGAGAACCTTCTCTTCGCCCTTGGAAAGGGGAATTGGCCGATTGCCTTTGCGTTCGGAAACACGATAACACGGAAAAAAAGTGTTTTAATTCAATATTGATTTATTATTCTGTTGGTATTGAACCCTTTTAGGATTATCAGCGCAGGAACATCCTGAAAAATTAATATATGGTATATTCTCCAAAGGAAAGTGATGAAATTCCTGTTCAAGAGAAGTTTGTCAAGTGTGTTGGAGGAAGTTGGTTTTTCAGAAAAACGATGCAGTTCCTTGTATCAACATCTGCATTTCAATGAACCTTTTTTTTTTTTTTGCATTTTGTTGTGCCACAAGTTCGATACCAGGATAGAAAGGTGGCTTTAGAAACAGGGCTGGGAATCAGGAGGTATGGATTCTTGAGGCAGTGGTTGCAGTCTCACTGTCTGGCCTGTGACCAGATAGATATAGTTGATATTATGTAAATATGTAGATATAGCTGTTTCTATGTAAATACATAGATATAGCTGGTTTTATATATATAAAAGGTTATTTTAAGGCCTTTTGAGATAACAAGTTCAGCATTGAAGAGGAGGAAAGATGGTGTCAGTGTTCAGGTTGATAATGGGAAAGTTTTCATGACTCCTAAATCCCTGCTCTCTCATTCCATGCAGAGCAAGCCATTAATATCGTGAAGGAGTTGTGTGATGAGGATGTGACTGAGCCTGAAGAAGCCAATTTTGAATGTGAGACATCCATTCCATCCGTGAAACCCGCCAAGTGGTTTCTACGTGGAGAAGCTTTACAGCCTGGCAGAAACTTCATCATGCAGCAGGAAGGCACCATCCACAGGCTGACAATAGTGAAAACAAGTGCTGATATGACAGGAACCATCCAGTTCTCCATTGGCAAATCAAAATCCACAGCGAACCTGCTTGTCAGAGGTATTGTGACATGTCCTGGCTTGAATTAGAGCAAAGATCTTCCCTCTCACAGCCCCTGGAAAGCAATTTGTTGTACACGTGCAGTGTACACTGGGTTCTTGGAAATGTGTGTGTACCTGGAAGATCTGCTTAGTTCCCAATTGCAATTCATTGGGAACAATGTAGGATGCCCTAAATGAGCCAGCAATGTCTTAGGAAGGGATCTGATTAAATGACTTTGGTGTCCTTGGTATTCAAATCTGATATTAAGATCTGTCACGCTAAAATTGGTTTGGGATTTATTTTTGTCCTCTTGACATTACCAAAGAGGACAAAACAGATGAAATTTGCCAGGAGAGTTTATTTTGTCCCATTTCTGAACTAGACAAGTTTGATAGCTCATTTACTTAATTCATGTTGTCGTTGACTTGATCCAGGACAAAGCTTCAAGGCTTTTTATCTTCTGCTGTCACCATGGCAAATATGTCCAATCACATCCTGAAGTCCTTGTTTTGTCTTTAATTTGCTCTTACTTGAATAAAAACTTCAATTAGAGAGCAATTCCGTGGGCACTGAACCAGAAGTGGACCATGAATTTGGTGGTTAATGTGTGATATTATAGAATGAAATTATCGTATAGATCATTGTGATGATGTAGCTTCAAAGCACATCAACTCTACGAGACACTTGAGCAGTTCGTAAAACACTTGTGAACATCATACATGAGATTAATCAGCACGAAATACAGATTAGAAACCTCCTTTTTCTCCAGACTGATCCTTTGTTCTTTCCCAACCCTGCAGATTACCACATACAGATCACCAGGAAGCTGGAGGACAAGACCGTCCTGGAGAAACACTCGGCCGTCCTGTCCTGTGACTTCAGGCCCTCTCCAAAGATTGTGAAGTGGTTCAAGGACCACGTGCTCATCGAGCCCTCTGAGAAGTACAAGATCAAGCGGGAGCAATACTCAGCAGAGCTCAAGATCTTGAAGGTGAAGCCTGAAGATGCCGGAATGTACAAGTGCCGGGCTGGGAACGCAGAGACCAGAGCCACGCTCACCGTCGAAGGTACGAGAGGTTTCCAGCAGCAGGGCTCGCCTGTTGCATGTCTTCAGGGCTCACTGTTTCACTCTGGGTTCCTCTTCTGGAGGAGAGGTGGATTCCCACATTTATCTTCCCATTTTATATAAATGCAATGTCTTCGGTGAACTGACATTCCATGATACTGAAATCCAACCCTTGCCATGAAGTAGGTGATGCACGTGGAAAAGCACCAGCTGGGTAAGGTAGAACTTAGTGTTTGTCAAGGCACATTATTTTCTATTTAATCAGAGGAATTAGACCTCTGGTGCCTCTAACAAAAAATGTTCTTTATGTTAAACTGCTACAGGCCGTTGATTCTGGTGGTCTTGGCTGTGGTTTTCATTTCCTGACCACTCTGTCAGCTGTTATATCTGCTATATGTTTTTATATCTGCTACAGATACATTTTATAGCTGCTAGTTTCTATCTGAATATATTTGTTATTCATAATGACATTCTCCCTCATCTGGGTGTGGAACTGTGTTTAGCCAGTTCTTCCCCTCTGGTGAAACTAAGAAAAGCTGTTCACTGCTTTCAGCAAGTCTTGGAGATGAGCCACAGAATCATTTCTAAAAGTCCAGGGAGCATCTCTTGGATATAGTTTGGCCTTGCAGAGGTTCTTCACTGACTGTGTTGTCAAACACTGAAATGGGCTTCCCAGGGCAGTGGTGGAGTCACTGTCCCTGGAGGCATTTAAAAGATGTGGCACTTGGGGACATGGTTTAGTGGTGGCCTTGGCAGTGCTGAATTAACAGTTGGACTCGATGATCTTACAGGTCTTTTCCAACTTTGATGATTTTACGGTTCTATTCTATCTGAACAACAGAATTATTTAATACTCCAAACCCCTTCTCTGAGTTGTCTAATCCTTGAGAAACAGCATTCCCTGAGCAGAGAAACTGCAAAGAGAAACCTCTGGCCAAGGACTGAGAAAGAAAATAATCAAAGTCATTGCTTCTTAAACCTGAGCAAGCTGCTTAATCTCTTTGTACTTTTCCTTTGTGGCCAAAATCATTGCCTTCATCTTGTCCTGTGCCACAGCTTCACTGGAAGAGAGTCAAGGACAATTTGATCACAAGGTGTTTGTGTGTGTGCAGTGACTAGAACTCAGGGGTTGGAGCTCTGTGGGATACTTAGACATCTCTGTAACATCATTTTAGAAAGAATGACTTATTTTTAAATTAAAAAGGGAAAGAAAAAAAAACCAAACCTGATTTATGTATAAAAAGAGAACTGAAGGTTCTAGACAATGTAGTCTTTTTAATGGATTTTTTTGTTGTTGTTGTTGGAGCAAATGCAGAACCAAGTAGATGAAATGAGGTGATCCACGGTGTGAAGGTGATGCCTCAGACCAGACTAAATCATCTGATAAACCCTAAATACTATGAAATTGTTAGTGGTAGCAGCTGATTCATGATAATGGTGCTGATGGTGTCCCTTGGTCTCCCACAGCCCGGAATGTGGAAGTCCTCAAACACCTGCAGGACGTGGAAATCGAGGAAGACAGCTCTGCCGTGTTCTCCTGCGAGCTGTCCCACGACGACGAGGACGTGGAGTGGTTCCTCAACGGCACCCTCCTCTACACCAACAACTTCAACGACATCAAGAGCGTTGGCAAGGTCTACACGCTGACCATGAAGCAGGTGAAGCCTGAGGACGCTGGCACGGTGACAATGAAGTCAGACAAGGTGTCGGAGAGTGTGAGGCTGAAGGTCATAGGTGGGTTGTGATCACACTCCTCCTGAATGCAAATAAGAGATGCCAATGAGATATTATTTACCATATCCATCCAGCAATCCTGCTTAAAAACTTCATCCCTCCAGGGCTGAGTGAAAGGCATGGAGGGGTTTTCTTCTGGTGTGAATTTCTCTTGTGGTTGGTGATTTTTCTAATTGTTTTGATGCCCTGCCAAAATTTTCCATAGATCTTTGTCGTCCTTTCACTTATCAGGACAGTTTCAAGAGCAATATTCTGTGCTTGTAGGTCTCTTCAATACTATGTAGTTGATCAATTGTTGTTTCCAAAGATTCATGGCTGAGGTTCGGTGTACCCCCAAGGGTAGGGCACATGGAGTTGGGGGAGGTTTAGGCTGGATATCCGGAGGAATTTTTTCACCCAGAGGGTGGCTGAGCACTGGAACAGGCTCCCCAGGGCAGTGGTCACAGCCCCAAGCCTGTCTGAGTTCAAGAAGCATTTGGACAACAGCCTCAGGCACATGGTGGGATTGTTGGAGCGTCCTGTGCAGGACCAGTAGTTGGACTCAATGATCCTTGTGGGTCCCTTCCAACTCAGGATATTCTCTTATTCTCTGACTTTTAACACATCATTTCTGGAGCTGAACTGAATCAGCAAAGAGAAGGCAGTTTGCTGCTGTCCTTCATATGTCTTAAAGTTCAGTCACACAGCTGAGTTTCTGTGGTTTAACATGTTCTTGTGCAGCCTCATCAAGTTTGACACCAAGATGAGTGGTGGGGTTGGGATACCATCCACAGGGACCTGGCCAAGCTCGAGAATGGGCCCATGTGAACCTCTGGAGGTTCAAAAAGGCCACGTGCAAAATGCTGCACCTGGGCCAGAGCAGCCTCTGTGTGACTCCAGGCTGTGGAATGAAGGGATTGAGAGCAGCCCTGCCCAGAAGGACTCGGGGGTGCTGGTGGATGACACTGGTTCAGGTCCTGCTTTGGTGTCAGCAGCATTGCCATTACTTAATCTGTCTTTCAATATTTGATGGCAACTGAAAGTGTTTCAGCTTAGATATCCTGGTTGTTCTCTGCTTTTCCTGTTTAACCTTCAGAGAAACCTGCTGTCTTCATGAAAGCCTTGGATGACGTTTTTGGTGAGGAGCGAGGTGTGATCAAACTGGAATGCGAAGTCTCCAAAGAGAAGGTCAAACCCATTTGGAAAAAGGATGGTGTGAAGATCCCTTCTAGTAAAAAGTACGAGGAGATACAGACTGGGAAGACCCTGTGCCTCCTTATCCATGACCTTGAAAAGACAGATGCAGGTTTATACACCTGTGACATTGGCACTGATGTTGCCAAGTCAAAGGTCAGCGTTCAGGGTAAGTGTTGTAGACAATGGTCAGTCAAGGGGTGCTGGAAATATGGGTGGGACTGGTAAATTGGTCTCACATCTTCTCCTGCCTAATCCTCACATAACATTGCAATGTTTGAACAATCTCTGTTACTCCTTGATTTAAGTATATCTGGTGTTTCGGTGAAAATCAAGTGTCAAGAATATAGTGACAATGTTTCCTTCCTGAACATCCATTAGGTGCAGAAATCTTCCCAGAAGAGGGAATAATTTCTCAGAAAAAAATCCCAACTAACAAGAAAAAAATCAGCAAAACCCCCTCCAAGCAGCCTGTGTTTCTTATTTTAATTCAAAGTCCATTGCAGGAACATAAAAGTGGGACAACATGGTCTATCAAAGAACCCAGCAGTTCATCCTGCCCTCTGATCCTTGTGTCTGCCTGAAGGAAAAAGAATTGTTCGTGGCCTCCAAACTCACGTTGATAATGAGAAAAATTTTGAGTTTGTCTGATTTGAACACGAGGAGTAACAAGTTAAAAAATCCAAATGTTTCACTTCTCATATGAGCACAGAGAAGAACCTCACACATCATCCCAGAGGCTTCTTTTCTGACATTTTTCTTTGTACCACATTGAACCTTGATTCTTCCCCATTGAATGAGCTGTTCTTCATTCAGTCCTTCCAGAGCAGAGCCACGAGATTCACATTTCCCTTTTTCTATAACTTTGTGCTGATTCTGGGTGGATAACACCCGAGAAATCCTTCTCACATCACAGACACATGTAAGGAATGCAGTGTTGTCCTACCAATAGAGCAGATAAACCACTCTTAATAAGAGTTAAAACCATCACTACTCAAAACTATCATAAACCCCTTTTTCCCTTAGTTGTGTTAACCTGCTTCTCGTCCTCCAGAGCTGAACATCGGCATCACCAAACGGCTGAAGAACACCGAGATCCAGCTGGGAGAGGACTGCACCTTCGAGTGCATTTTGTCCCACGAGAGCATCGATGACTTCAGCTGGACGCTGAACGGGAGGAAAGTGGAGAGTGGGGGGAGGTTTAAAGCCTCCAACGCGGGTCGGAAATACACCCTCAGCATCCAAAAGGTGACTCCCGACGATGCCGGGGAGGTCGTGTTCACTGCCCGAGGTCTGACCTCCAAGGCTTCTCTGGCTGTGAAAGGTAACGAGGTCAGAAGGGTACTGGGGGTTGATTTCCCGGGTGTATTTTCATAGGGTTTGTCAGCAAACACTCATTGTGATCCAAGTAAACAACAACCTTCCCCACGAGCCTTGAAGAAACGAGATTTTTCCTCAAAAACAAGAGGAAGGCTGAAACTTTTAATAGATGTTTGAGAACTGGCTACACTGGGTAGTGTGAGGTAATTACAAGCCAGACTGTCTTCCACAGAGATAATCACCCAAGGCTCCCTGGGTGGTCAATGAAGAGAAGAAATAGGTGGTTTTCAGACATAGTTCATAACCTGCAATTAGTCCTTTTTAATAGAATCAGAGAATCCCAGAATGGTTTGGGTTGGAAGGGACATTAAAGATCATCCAGTTCCAACCCCCTGCCATGGGCAAGGACACCTTCCACTAGCCCAGGTTGCTCCAAGCCCTGTCCAATCTGGCCTTGGACACTTTCAGGGATGGGGCAACCTGTGCCAGGGAGGGGCTTTGAGCAACCTGGTCTAGTGAAAGGTGTCCCTGCAGGGGCGGAGCAAGATGATCTTTAAGGTCCCTTCCAACCTAAACCATTCTGTGATTCCATAATTTGAATTGCAAAAACCTCAACCATTTAGTGATAATGATTTTCAGTCAAATGTCCTCTTTTAATTTTTCCTCTCCAGAGAAACCAACCGAGGTTACAAAACAGCTGGAGGATAAAACATCACAAGCAGGGCAGGACATCAACCTGAGCTGTGAACTGTCCAAACCTGATGTGAACATCAGGTGGTACAAGGACGGCAAAGCAATCCGGAAAAGCCAGAAATACGACTTGCAGCAAGAGGGAACACGGGCCATCCTGATCATCCACGACTCCACGGTCAAGGACAGTGGGGAATACACCTGTGAGACAGAGAGCTCCAAAACAACAGCCAAGATCACAGTGCAAGGTCAGTTGAAGAGTGAAGAGGGGCTGGCGGGGAGAGAGGTTGGGGTAAATATCTACAATCCCCTGGAGGTGTTCTTCTCTCCTGGCTCCCTAAACAGGAGCAATTTTTAGTTTTCAAAAAACACTATTGGTTAAAAGCTTAAAAAAAAAATTAGGTATGAAAAAAACACCTTTGTAGGTACTGAAGAATCTTGTGTGCTGCGTAATGACCCAAAGAGAAAAAGCAATTTTAATTAGTCTGTTTTGAACATGGGACATGAAAACTGTGCATGTTCTGTAACATGAGACCTCACTAGTGCCTGGACAATGGCATTAAGGTTTGCTGGAGATATTTTACCTGATCTGTCCTGTGACAGGATGTTGACCTGGTGATCTTCTTGGATCCATTCCATCTGATAGGACGAGAGGAAATGGCCTCAAGTTGCACCAGAGGAAGCTTAGATTGGATATTAGGAAAAATTTCTTCATGGAAAGGAGGGTATTAGCATTAAAACAGGAGAATTGTGGAGTCACAATCCCCGGAGGAATTTAAAAGACATGTAGATTTGGCACCTGGGGGCGTGGGTTAGTGGTGGACTTGGTAGAGTTAAGTTAATGGTCGGACTTGATGATCTTAAGGGTCTATTTCAAACTGAATGCTTCTGTGATTCTTTATTCTGTAATTCTCCAAACGGGGGCAGCTGGGAATCCAAGGCCACTCTGCGTGCTCAGGACTAGTTTGGGTAACAAATCTGTCTCTGTCTCTCTCATTTTTTTTTTTATTAATTTGTTTTTTCCTTCCAGAAAAACCTAATTATTTTGTCAAGGAGCTTTCAGACCTGAAAGTGGACGAGAATGGGACTGCAGTTTTCACGTGCCAGAGCGAGAGAGCTGCATCCTCTGTGGTCTGGAGGAAAGGCATCGCCGAGCTCAGGGCCGGCAGGAAATACGAGGTCACGCAGCAGGGACAAGTCCTCCAGCTGACCATAAAGAACCTGGAGAAAAGCGACAGTGACACTTACAGCTGTGACATTGGTGATGCCCAGTCCAGAGCCAAGCTGGTCGTGCAAGGTATGGATGGGAGGAATGTGACTGTACATCCCATTTCTCCGTGGGAAATGTTATATACACAGGCACACCTGTTTCTCTGCATGTGGGTGGCAGATCCATGGATTTCTGGCTCTGGCTCGCTCATGATATAAGGGATATGTAGGCAAAAATATAGATGTGGAGCTGGACGTGCCAAGCAACTTGAAGCAATTACACCTGGAGTGTTTTGGGTGTGATTTAACTCCAAAATGCTGGTGTGAGGAGGGGCTGGTGTTCCTCTGTGAACATACAACGGGCAGGGTTCAGAGAGCCTGCTGTTAGATGGGGGAAAAAATCATCCTGCATCCAGGCTTTTCTTTGTATCCCTTGATGCCTCTTCCCAGTAGTGGTTTCTAAGAGGTGATGGGTAAATAGTGATCCATAGAATCACAGAATGGTTTGGGTTGGAAGGGACTTTAAAGCTCATCTCATTCCAATCCCCCTGCCGTGGGCAGGGACACCTTCCACTATTCCATGTTGCTCCAGGCCCATCCACCCTTGCCTTGGACACTTCCAGAGATGGGGCAGCCACAGCTTCTCTGGGCATCCTGTGCCAGGGCCTCCCCACCCTCACAGCCAGGAATTCCTTCCCAATATCCCACCTAACCCTGTCCTCTGGCAGTGGAAAGCCATTCCCTGTGTCCTGTCCCTCCATCCCTTGTCCCCAGTCCCTCTCCAGCTCTCCTGGAGCCCCTTTAGGCCCTGCAAGGGGCTCTCAGCTCTCCCTGGAGCCTTCTCTTCTCCAAGTGAACCCCCCCAGCTCTCCCAGCCTGGCTCCAGAGCAGAGGGACTCCAGCCCTTGGAGCATCTCCATGGCCAGAATCTTTAAGTGCTTCATATCCCTCTGCACCTTAGAGATGAAGGGAACAACCCAACCTGCCCCTGAAGAGCACAACCAGTACAGCAGGTTTTATTTGGCTCTCTGGGCAGTGAATGAGCTGTGGTGGGCAGTGCTGGTGGCAGGGCAGTGTTTGAGGGGAGGGAGGGAGGTCTGGTTGTTACTGTTCCTCACAGGTCTCCAAATGGGAGAAACCCCTGAGAAGAAATTGGTAAAACAGCAAAGAGAACGGGAGGAATGACTCCAGAACAGTCAGAGGGAGATGCAGTGGCAGTGTCCACTTGCTAATTGTTATGTTTTTTAAAGACAAGGGGGTGAAGTCAGACTCCTCCACCTCTGATCATTTGCTAGAGAAGATGTTGAGAAGCAAAGAAATGTGTTTAGTCCCCCTCATAATGCCAGGCTCTGAGCTACCTGAATTCACTGTGAGCTTTTTAACAGCAGCTTTTCTGAGTGGAGAAAATGCTTCACTGTCAAGAAGATAAAAGTAAAAAATCCCTTTACTAGTTTTGTAAGTAGTAGGAACATCAGAGGTGTTTTTGTATACAGCAGTAACCTTATTTTATGTATATTTATAGTTAGGTTTATCTTTATATATATATATATATTTATATATTTATTTCTAGTTAGTTGTATATCTATTTATACAGGCAGGTTTTTGGGGCAGATGTTTTGTTTCTTTTTACCAAAGCTGCAGTCAGACACTCTCTCCCCTTCCCACTGTGTTTATGGTTGGACTGAGCTCAAAGAAGGTGGAGGCTCTGTGGTCCCATCCCACAGAAATCAAGTTATATTTGCTCTAGAAAAAAACAGAAGTTGTCATGGGAGGGATTATCTGCTCAATGATGTCTAGAGCCCAATAATGCTGTCAGAGACCCATCCTTTCAAACTTTCCAGGTAGTTTAATTAGGAGAAGGTTTATAACACTGGATCTGCATTCTACTTGTTCTGCTTTATGTTTTCTGGTGCTTTAAAGTTGTCTTCATCCTATTTTGGTCTGTGTGTCCTGCATATATTCTCTTCCTGTTGAGTGGGTTTTGTGTTCAGTATCAGGGGAATTATGTTTCAGCCTTCTGTATCATGAACATATTTCTCTCTTGAAAAAAAAAACTCACATGGGAAATCCTGGGAGTTTTCCATATGGCTTTTCGTGCTAGAAGTGGAAGATTCCAGTAATTGATGTATCTATGTTCCTTTCAGGCCAGAAAGTGCTAATAACAGAAGACCTGGAAGATGTCACTGTGTTAGAAGGAGAATCTGCCACGTTCAAGTGCAGAATCTCTCCCGTAGACTGTAGCAAAGTGCAGTGGTTTTTGGATAAGACCCCACTCCATACCAATGAACTTAATGAGATCCAGTCCCAGCCTGGGGGATATCACCTGCTAACGCTGAGAAAGCTCTCACTGAAGGACTCGGGGGTCATTACATTTGAAGCTGGTGATAAGAAAACATCTGCCAGTTTGGTTGTGAAAGGTAAATCCGTCATAAAAAACCGTAGGAGAGGAAATAATGACTGGAAATAAGCGGGGTTAACGTGGGTAGGTGAAAAAAAAAAAGAAAAAAGAAAGGATAAAAATACTACAAATTTAGCCCCATCATATGTATATCTGTCTATGTTCAAGAACAGAATTACTTATATAATGAAATTACAGCTGGAGAATGAACACTTTGTAATCCTGGACAACCTTGGGAGTGTTTATTGGATCTTAGGTGGGAATGTTACACTGCAGTGATGGTACATTGGAGGCCTTGTTCAGTTTTCCTCCAGTGGGCTGATAAGGTGCTGATTAACGAGGAGGAATCAATTAATTAGATGAAAATAATCGAGTGCAAGCAATAAGTTTTAAATTTAGTTTTTCACTGTTTGAAAGGCCACATTGCATGTTGTTCTCTGCTGTGCATTGTTGACAATGGGTTGTTTTCTCTGGAAAAGTTGAAGTGAGTTAAAACTGCAGTGTTAGTGTAATTTTATGGCAAGGAAATGAAATGAATGCCAAACAGCCCAAGAATGTGGGATTAGAGACAAGTTTTCTTCCTGGAAATGTAAATATTTCTGTTGCCCAGAGATAAAAACCACACTGTCTCCCCCGTGTCAGATCACAGTCTCATTTTTCAAAAACACCTCATTTATTTCAAAGAATGTTGTTTTTTTCAGAGTTTGAAAAGGTAGCCAAATTTTTCCAAACTACAGAAATGAAAATAAATTATTATGTTTGTGGTTGGTGGGGGGGCTTATTTTTAGTTGTTTGGTTTGGTTTGGGTTGGTTTTTTTGTTTTTTATTTTTTTAATTTGTTTTCTGAAGGAAAATCAAAGGTTTTATTTGCAAAAGATTAATATGTAATGTTGTAGTACCATAACCAGGTTTTGGTCTCCTAATTGATTGGATTTTTAGGAATTAAAAAGCATTAAGCTGGGAGGGATGAGATTTACATTGGCCAATTTAGCTACTGGTATCTAGCTTAGGTTACTTCTATAAGCTGAGTAGAAAGATAAGCACTTCCAGGGTGTTTCTCTGTCCCAGGGGCCTATTTTGGAATTAAATATTTGGTTTCTGGAGGTGTCTGTCACCTTCCAGAGGCTACAGAAACACCCTAAATGACCTATCTGAGCTGTTTGATTTTTAGAGGACTTGTTCTATTGAGACCTGCTCTAGATGAGAGAAACCTGCATTGCACCTCAATTCAGAATTAACTTTTCCACATTCATGTAAAAGGTTCAAACTAATCAGTTCCCATGGGAAAAGGCTTAGAAAAATTGTACTTCAGTCTTATTGCTATTTACTGGGAAGTGAGATTTTATTTATATTCCTCAACAGGAATATTGTCTTCTCAGTTTCTCCCAGATGTCAATGGGTATTTAAACAACACTTTGTGGCATCACTGGTGCTTCCCAAGGACTTTATAGTCACAAACACCAAATTATTTGTCAATAACCTTGACCTGCAGCTTTGATACAAGTAATCCTGGATGCAAATCTCGTGGATTACTTGTGATCTGAGAATCCACACCTCTTCTGAAACATCTCAGATGGGTTTTATGTGATTCTAGAGGAGCCCTGAGGCTTCACAAAGGAGCTGATTGATACTGGAGAGTGTAAGGGAGAGGATGTGATCCTTCACTGTGAAACCTCCAAATCAGACAGGCCTGTAAAGTGGTGCAAAGGTGGGAAGAGCCTCAGGAATTCTTCCAAGTACAACATCTGGTTGGGATCTGAAGCCAAGCTTGTTGTTCACAGGGCAGAAGAGACAGTGGCAGATGTGAGTGTGAGGCTGGAGCAGCTAAAAGCAGTGCAGTTATTACTGTCAAGGGTAATAACTTGGAGTTATTAATTAATATTATAATTTTGGAGTGATGGTTTGGATCCTAAATCATCATCTAACATCTAGGTCAGAGTAATTAATGGAAATGAAGAAAACATGAAACTCTACTGAAAAATAACTTGGTGTTTTTGCACTGAGATATTTTCATCAAGTTGCCCAGAACAGCACCCAGAGAGGTGAAAGAATTGAAACAGGAAAATCCTTCTTCTCACCTGGTTTTAGCTCTGTGCAGGTTAAATGTCTAAGCTCTCTGAGAATCATGTGATCCTGGGATGGTTTGGGTTGGAAGGGACCTTTAAGATGATCTCGTTCCAACCCCCAAGGAGAAAGCAGTGGGTCAGTAGAGGACAGGTACCTCTGTAGGAGATCCACCCAGCCAAAGAGGTAATCCAGAGAAAGGATGAATCACCTCCTGAATCTGTCTCCTGAAAGTGAACAGAGCCAAGGAATGAGAGGAAGAAACCTTGTGTTCTCCCCTGTGGCAAAGGAGAACAGCAAAGTGCAGCTTCTCCTGGGGAAGGGACTTGAATAAAATAAGATTGAGCTGAACCACTGTAGTGACAACCACCACCCCAAAAGAGGGAGTCTATGAAAACTAAGGACCTTGATCTTCTGCAGTAATCTTCCAAAAATCATAGAAACTTGGTACAAAAGTGCCATTAGAACATCTTCAAATGTGTATTTTGAACTAAAAAAAAAAATCCAAATAATCTTTAATCCATCTACCTGAATCCCAGAATATAAAATGGAAAGTATGTTGATCCTGCCCTTGTTAACAAGCTCTTAGAGGAAAATGGCTGTTTGAATCCTTTGTTTCCAGTGCAAGTGGATTCAAATGTATAAATTCATCAAATTTCTGATGGCTCTCTCTAAGGAGGGAGGTCGCACCCCTGCATTTGTCTGGGTAATTACTTTTGGCAGCCAAATTTAACAGAGCAATGCACCCAAAGAGTGTGATCAGGCAGGAGGTGCCATCCTGTTTGATAAGACAAGGGGTGATGGTTTTAAACTAAAAACTGTTTAGATTAAAACCACTTTAGATTATGTGTAAGGGAGAGGTTTTTTACAATGAAAGTGATTTAAAACACTATAAGAGGTTGCCCAGAGAGGTGGTGGATGCTCCATCTCTGGAAACATTCAAGGCCAGGATGGATGGGGCTTGGAGCAACCTGATCTGGATGAAGATGTCTCTGCTCATTGCAGGGGCTTGGGTTAGATGACCTTTAAAGGTCCTTTCCAACCCAAACTCTTCTATGATTCCATGATCTAAAGGGTTGGTATCTAAGCTGAAGCAAAAGTTCTCTTCTTAGATGAGCCTTTAGTCCAATTCTCTGAGTTAGAACTGGGCTTATCTATAATTACCTTACAATTGCTCCTGCCTGTCCTGAATCGTTACCCCAGCCTGAGGTTTAGGAGGAGCTCAAGTTTCTGTGCCTTAAATCACTTGTTCACCTGGGCAGGTTTGAGCAGGTACAGAAGGTTGTTAAAGGCACAGACTGTGTTTAACCAGACCAGTGGATATCCTGTGTAGTATTTGACACCTGGAATGCAGGATCAGAACCTGCACCGGGACTGGAGGATTCAGTGTGAACAGAGAAAAGCATTTGGGTTGTTGGAATGGTCAACCTGAACCTCAGAGTGTGGAGTTGGGAGGACAAGCGGCTCACAGGGTTTATCCAGAGCACCAAGACACAAACCAACTTAAGGTTGAGGTCTGCTGTGCAAGGAAAGAGAAGACCTTGATGATGTAGTGAAGAAGAGGTGGTGGTTAAAGGTCCCAATTTTCTCTGTCTTTCTCTGCACAAGGACGTTTTCTCAACACCCATTATACACAAAGGAAAGGCCTGTGTTGGCTTCAGTAGGACCTGGATCTCACCCATGATGAACAATTCTCTGCTAGAAGAAAATCACATTGATAATGTTCCACCACAGCCCCTTTTTTTTCCCCTTCACAGAGAGGGGTGTGGGATTTGAAACACATGGATTTGGATCACCAGGAGATGTGAAGGAGTCAAGTCATAATGATGTCTACAACAAATTGCACCTTTGGAGCTTTCCTTTAGGGAACCTTTCTATTAGAGTCACATCAGAACAGCAGAATGCAAACATAGGGGAAAAAAAAAGGAAAAAAATAGGAAAAAATAGGAAAAAATTCAGTAGTTACGTGACACTGAATGTCCCAAACTAGAGGTAAAAGGGAAACAAAAGAACAAGCTGTAGTTTTTCAACAGCCACAAATTAGGTGCATCTTGAATCAGTAGCTGACTTGCATATTCATAAGACAGCAGAATTCAGGAGGGATTTTTTTTTTCACTATCTAAAGGGAGAACACTTCAATTGAGGTATTTTTCCAGTAAGTTCCTTCCCTGCCCTAGCTCAGCTTAAAGCCTTGAATCCCAGGCTGTGACAGACCCTGCAGAGGAAGCTCCCCAGGGACTCTGCCATGTACAGCTGTGCTTCCCCCTCTGTGTTTGCTCTGTGCTGGTTTTTAAGTCTGTGTTCATGTTGGGTAAAAAAAAATACATTGTGGGTTTGTTTTTTTTTTTTTATCATGAGAAATCAATACTGCTGGTTGTGACAGAAAGTGCTTTGCCATTGCTGTGTCCTCCGTGTCGTGTGTGAGTTGACCTCCTGAAGTTTTATGGGGTTTGTGCCAGTGGTCCAGCTCTGAGCACCCATCTGTGACACAGTTTGTGCCATTTATAGCACTGCAGCGTCTGCCACTGATGTTAATAATGAAAACAGTGATAGCAGCAATGTCTTCAATAGTGCAGACAGTGGTTAAAAGGAAAATAAACATATGGCCTCGATTTTTTTTTTTCTCCTGCTGTAAAGTGCTGGCAGCCAGATGTGAGATGTCAGAATCTGTTTACTGTTTGCCAGTGCTTTTCCATTCCTGCAGTTTTCTATCTCAAGAACAAAGTCTGATGCAAAAAGGGGGAGGGTGATTGCCAATCTCACGTGTCTCCTTCAACATCTTTTTCAGAAAAGCCACTCCTTTTCAAGCAAGAGCTCCAAAACGAAGAGGCTAGAGAAGGAAAACAGGTCAAGCTGACCTGTGAGCTCAGCAAACCTGGTGCCCCAGTGAAATGGATGAAGGGAGACACTGTCCTCCATGCCAGTGAGAAGTATGAGTTTAAGCAGCACGGAACTGTGGCAGAGCTCATTATCCGAGATGTCAAAACCGTGGATGCTGGGGAATACACCTGCAGCTCTGGGGAGCTCAAAACCACTGCCCGGGTCAAAGTGAACGGTGGGTAGAGTTAGAGACATTAAACACTTCCTTAATCAAGTGCTTAAAAAGGTCTATTAAAATATCACATAACACTTCATTTTTTTTTGTGGTGGTGCCATCTTTAATACGTAGAATTTAAAGGTAATATTGTACACTTTTCATCAGCTGTATATATTTAATTCATGTCATCTCACATTCTGTGTTTGGGGTTTTAAATCTGTAACTTCCCACTGGGCAAAAACTAATTAAGTGGAGCGCAGAGGATTATTTTTCTATACCCTACGTACTGTAGTTCCTGACCTATGGGCTGTTTTACACGGCTGGGGTTAAGAATGGAGTTACAGATGGAGACCAGTAGTATTGGAGCACAAGAATGTGAAAACATAAATGCAGTCCATGAAAAACTCCAGGTGGCCAAGTGATTAATTTTTAGACCCCCAAAGTCCCAAAGACATCCTTTTTAAAGGCTCTCAGGTGCCATCTGCACTCCCCAATGGCCTTTAAAAAATATAGTAGCTTAGTAACATAGGAAAAGTAGTATGTGCTGGAGCAGAGAGTAGGAGAAATACAGGATATGAATTTTGTTTCAGAGCCCTGCAGGAGCAGGGAATTCATTAGGTGATGATGCCCAGGGGATTCTGAAAGGGTCCTTACTAAAAATGAGGAAAAACTTCCCCCATGTTCCCAGGAATCCACAGTGAGATGATAACATCTGGGGGAGAGATTTATTCCTGCTCCCAGGCAGGATCATGTTGATGCCACAGAGCCAAGGGAGGCTTAAGGGCTGCTCTGCTCACTTGGAAAAGGACTAGTTTTAAGAGGTGACAGCTCTCGTGGGGGCACTTGTTGTAGAGCCAGGTCAAGAGGGCATGTCCTAATCCCTGGATCTGTGTTCCAGCTGTGCCTGTCCTTTTCAAACAAGCCCTGGAGAACACGGATACGGACGAAGGGAAATCCGTCTCCTTGCGCTGCGAACTCTCAAAAGCCGATGCCACCGTGGTGTGGAAGAAGGGAGGAGCCACGCTCCAGGCAAGTGCCAAATATGAAATGAAGCAGAAGGGGACAGTGGCAGAGCTGGTGATTCATAATGCAGAGCCAGAAGATGCGGGAAGATACACCTGTGACACTGGAGACCAGCAGAGCACAGCCCAAGTCAAAATCCATGGTAGGAACGAGACACCTGCTTGTGACCATTTGTTGTTGTCCTTGCCATGGTCCTGCTACCTCCTGCACATTTAGAGTTCGGAAAAATAGGGATGAGTACAAACAAAAGGGTCTGTTATGTTTTCTGGGATGGTAACTTCACGCTAAAACATATCAATCAAACATATCTGATAACAAAATATCTTTTTTTTCCTTATGAAATATTTCTTATGCTTTGGATAGAGACGACTGTCCAAGCTTTAAACCAAGAGGTAAGAAGGGCCTCAGCTACACCTTTTGTTAAAGAATATGCAGTTCTTTTCTCCACTTTCTCAGCAAGTTTTTACGTGTCTGTGACCACCAGCGTTTGGGCAGCAGAAGGGTAATTGCTTTGACATTCTAATTATTGGGAAATAACTGCTCTCTTTCCATTTGGTCCAAAACTCTTGGTGTGTTGTTGTAAATACAAATGGAGCCCTGGAAGTGCAGGTAGGTCAGAGCTCATTTGCTGTGCGTGCCAAGAGAATTTGTTTTGGCTTTGGGTCCCGTATGAGGTCACTGGATGGTGATGATGCTCCCAAAGTAAACTGAGAATGCTTCATTCCTCAGCTGCCTCTGTGCTCTTTAAGGAAGAGCTGAAGCCCGTGGAAGCTGTGGAAGGTGGGGCAGCCACCCTGCAGTGCCAGCTGAGCAGAGAGGCCCCTGTGGAGTGGAGGAAGGGGCAAACTCTTCTCCGGCCGAGTAACAAGTACAAGATGAGGCAGGAGGGCACAGTGGCTGAGCTGCTGATCCATGATCTGGACCCAAAGGATGCTGGAGACTATTCATGTCTAGTGGGGAACCAAAAAACCACGGCAGCCTTGTCAGTGAATGGTAAAAAGGCAGAAATAACCTGTGAAACTCCGGAATGGTTTTGTTCACCTCTTCCCCCTCCTCCTCTCTGTACATTCCCTCACAGCACCCACCTCCATGTCCTGCTTCCACTGCTTTCATCCATCCTCTTTTTCATGTTGCCATGTCACTCCTGTCCCCAGTCTTCGTCCTCAATCAGCTTTCATTATGCCCAATATTGGATATGTGTGTGTGTGTGTTGTCTTCTTACCTTTCCTCAAGTGAAGGGAGCTGTCCTGCACGTGTGTTTTCCTGAATTAACATGGAAACATAAGATTCCTTGCGATTTTCTGTTAAGGAGGGATTAATGATGAGGATGAGTTTGTCATTTACATGCATGATCCCAACCAAGACCACGAATCGATTCCCACAGAACAAGTCACTAGAGAATTTCTTTCGCCATCCATGAAAAAAAAAAAGACAGGATGTGCTTAAGGATAATAGAGGGTGTTGGAAGAAGGCTTGGGTGGATACACAACAAATAACGAGTGAGCCTCTGAGCAGAGACCTGAGCAGGGTCTTGGGTTGCAACCCCTTTCCATTCTGCATCTCCCAGCCCTGCCAGTGCGTTTCAAAAAGGAGCTGAGGAACGAGGAGGCCACGGAGAGCGGGACGGCGACGCTGCAGTGCGAGCTGAGCCGGCCCGGGGGCTCGGTCCAGTGGAGCAGGGATGGGAAGGTGCTGGAGCCAAATGGAAAGTACAAAATGAGACGGGAAGGGCGCTTCGTTGAGCTGGTTATCCAAGACCTGGACTTGGCGGATGCCGGGAGCTACACCTGCACCTGTGGAGACCAGAAGACAACGGCTGCTCTGAGAGTGAATGGTAACTGTTCTACCCCTGTTTCTCCTTAAGCCCCAAACACACCTTAAATTGCAGCGTTTTCTGGTCAGCCAAAGCTTGGTCAGTGTGTTTTCTTAGAGGTTTCGTGTTCTTGGCTCTGTGGTACCAAAGAGTCATCCCGTTGGAGGATATTCCCTTGTGCTTTTTTTGCCTCGAGACAGCACATCTATGATGTATATTGTTTTCTTTAATTTGTTTCTCTCTCCTCTAGGAGGTTTCACCCCCATTTCAACAATACACACCCAGAAATAATGCATTTTTGGTTAAATATATACACTGAGCCCAGTAACTTACAGCACAGTCCAGTTCATTCCATTCCAGTGCTGATTCCCTCTCTGTTGGTATTGCATCCCTCAGCCTTGCCTGTCCTCTTCCAAGAAGAACTGATGAACAAGGAAGCTACAGAGGGAGAGGCAGTGACTTTGCACTGTAAACTGAGCAAATCTGCCCCAGTTGAGTGGAAAAAGGGGAATGTGGTCCTCAAGCCAAGTGAAAAATACAAAATAGAGCAGGAAGGTCCCTTTGCAGAGCTGAGGATCCAGGATTTGGGATTGGCAGATGCTGGTGATTACCACTGTGTGTGTGGAGACCAACAGACTACAGCTGCTTTGACAGTAAATGGTAAAAAAGAATTTCTCAGCACGTGCCCAAGTAAACCTGTGTGATTCCAAGACCTCTTCCTCTTTTTCTTCTGCTTCCTCTGATCCCTGTATACTTCCTACCCTCCCCTCTGCTGATTAATTCTCCTCTCCTGTTTTCCTTCTCTCTCGCTCTTTCTCCTTTCACCTGGTGCCCTCTTGATGTGCTGTTTGTCTTCCTGGGTGCTGTGTTTGAGTGAGCACAGGCCCCCAGCTCAACACAACCTCCCTAGTCCAGAATAGCTGCTTGTTTAGAAGTTTGCCCACAGGGATTGACTTAAAAGTGGGAATAATATTTACTTTTTCTGACTTACACTGTTACACTTGTTGCTCCTGAGGGGAACAAGTTTCCCTCAATATATGCTGCTACACAAGGACAACCTTCATGAAAAATAGGCTTTTTCTTTTAATACTCTTCCCAGTATAATACTTTAATACTATTCCCAGCTCCATTTTGACCAGTTTTGGCTTAACTCTTCCAAAGCAAATACTTTATCTCTGCAGAACACTGACAGCATGTTTGTGACTGCTCTGCTTTAAGGGGCTCTATTTATAAGAGTTCAGACAATGCCATAAATCAGGCACTTCTGTAGAGCTGCTGCTCTTCTCAAGGGAAACAAAATGCTCTGGGTCTCATATTGAAATGTGGCCTCTGCTTTTATGGTACATAAAGGAAAGGATAGATGGCTTGGCAACTATTTTTTCAGATATGCTTGCTTTTAAAGAATGTTTTAAAGCATGAGGAAAAAAAAAACAAAGTAAAAATCAAACTGAATTGTCTTTTGAAGTGTTAGAGATTAAAGGAACAAAATCCTGGAGGAGATCAAGAAGGTCTTATGGCTTCTGGGAGACGAGAGAGTGATTAGATCTTGGGTCAGGCTTTCTCAGGGTTGATGCCATGTCCATGTTGCATTTGCTCTGCAGTCCTGCCTGCTCTTTTCACCAAAGAACTGACAGACCAAGAAGCCACCGAGGGTAAAAGTGTCTCCCTGCACTGTGAGCTGAACAAGGCAGCTGCCAAGGTGGAGTGGAAGAAGGGCTTCAAGACCCTCAAGCCAAGTGACAAATACAAAATGAAACGGGAAGGTGTGGCTGCTGAGCTCACAATCCAGAACCTGGACACGACGGACGCTGGGAATTACTCCTGTGTGTGTGGGGACCAGCAGACTATGGCAGTTCTGACAGTTCATGGTAAAACAAACAAAACAAGGCACACACTGGAAGTAACTATCCTGTTTTCTCTGCTCATTTGGACAGGTCACACTCCCATCTCCTTCTTCTGCCAGAGCTTTATCCACAGTTCCATCAACTGGAATGTGTGGCACAAGAGGGACATCGGGGTCCAAGCTCAGAGTGAGCCAACCAGGGTTGTTCCCACTGTTTTAATTAAGGATCCATAATTTTGCTTTTCCCTTGAAAGTTCCTTTATTAGACTCCCCGTTACGCTCAAGCCAAAAATTATCTTTCCTCAAAGGGGTTACGACTTGTGGATATTTTTTCTTTTAAGGTCTCATAAAATTCCAAAAGGTGAGGTTGTTCCATGGAATCTTATGCCCACACTTCATTCCTGAGACAACAAGGTGATTTTACACTTACAGCCCAGTTGTCATGGCATTCAGTTGGTGTCCTGTGTAAAAACCCAAACCTTCTAAGGGACGACCAAAGGGAGAGCTTTGATTTTTACTGAACCTGACATCTTCAAAAGGGTATGTCAGTTCAGGTAAAAATGCTTGTTTTCCCACCCTGTATTGAAATGAACAATTTCATTTCAAACTGACATTTAGAATGAAACTCCAGTGTTTCATTTCTATTTTTTTTTTAAATGTGAAATGTCTCTTTGTTTGCTCAAGGATGTGAAAACACAGCAAACATCCTCCCCTCACGGTTTAAAAAGTCATATAAGAAAACCATTTTTTTTCCTCCAGAAATTTCAAACTAGTCTTTTTGCTTGAAATTTCACAGGGAAAAAAAAATGGGCTTTCTATTTCTGTTTGTATTGATTTATGACTCTAAGTACATGTTAAATACTTCTGTGGATTGCTGGAAGTTTTAAATCCTTTCCTGGTAATAACTTTTCTTTCCTAATACTGATTCACGGAGACTCTCGAGAATCTGTGTTCTTGTATCAAAAAATCCATCCAAGATAAGAGGGAAAATGGGAAGTTAAACATAATTTTAACTCTTTGGAGCGTTACATCTCACTGCTCATGTTGCTGTCCTTCAGCTCTGCCTGCGTATTTCAAAGAAGGGTTGAAGAACAGGGAGGCCACAGACGGTGGAACAGCCACCCTGCACTGCGAGCTCAGCAAGGTGGGGGTCCCTGTGGAGTGGAAAAAAGGGGACAAGACACTCAAACCCAGTGAAAAGTTCAGGATGAGGCAAGAAGACACGGCTGCAGAGCTGCTGATCCGAGACCTGGAGGTGGAAGACACAGGAGAATACACCTGTGTGTGTGGAGAGCAGAAGACCTCGGCTGTCTTGACAGTCCACGGTAAAAAAGCCATTCTGGGTGGTGATTCCGGTGTCTCCAGGACGTCCCTTTTCTCTCTCCTTCCCACTTGCTTTGATGTTTTGATTCTGCAGCAAATTTCTTGGTTTGCTGGTGGTGCTTCATCCCATCTCCCACTGTCTGTCAGTTCAAAACTGGTGGCTTTATAGCAAAGTAAGGAAGAGTTACGAGAATTTTTCGTCTTGGGCACTTTAAAAAACCTCAGCAGCAAGATTATTCTTAGGGGAATAAGAATAAGTCCTTGTGTGTCACTGCTGTCAGTGGATTTTGGTGCTTAAACTGGAGGAAAGTTCTTTAAAACTGCTGAGCTCAGTTAGTGAGAGGTTTTTCCATTCAAGAATGAATGACTGTCCTCCTCTTTTGCAGGACTTTGATATATCCTGCTGAGGATAAATAAAATAAACCCCACCCCACAGCATTATTCTGCAGATCCTGACTTAGGGGGTAGTGGGACAGATTTTGTTCCTGTCTCTGCTTTGGTGAACAATGATGAGCTCTGGTTGCCCCTCCAGAAGAGGTACAATCCAATAGATAAAAGAACAGGTTTTATTTGAGATATATCTTAAGGGATAAGGTACTTGTAAGGACAGGTGGAAAACTGTGGAGTCAAAACTCTTCTCCTATATTTTCTGCACACTTTTGCTTCCTCTTCTTTCTTCCACCTGGAGGTTATTTCTGTTCCTCCCCTTCCCTGACCCAGCACTTCCATCCCAGTGCAAGTCTCTTTGTTTTTACTTCAGTGGCAAAAAGAAACTTGAATGCTGCTAAAAAAAACCCTGTATCCCTGATATTATAGACATTTATGTCCTTGGAAATCGTGGCTTAAAGGTGCACCCGAAGTTATGTTACTAATTTATTTTCTCAACCAAAAGGATAAGTTATGGTTTTAGGAAAGGTAGGGATCCCCAGATGGCAGTGCTGTCACCTGGGTTGAAGACTTCCAATCCAAAGTCAGGTCTTTAATGTTCAAGATAGATGATTTCAGATTGAAATGGGTTAGAGGACTACTGGAATCATCTGGGAAGTGATGAGCATGCTGATAAATCAATGTTAGAAGTAGCTCATGGTAGTAACATCCCTGAGGGATCCTGCAGTAGTTTTCTAATAGAGGCAGTTTTCCAGACTTTATGATTTGTCTTCCTGTGTAACAGTGAAGGACTGGCCTCAGCACCTAGTTCTGAGTTCCTCAAGGTCTGGTTGATGGTTTTGATGCCCTCTCTGTTTATATCACACCCCATAGCTTTGCCTGCACTGTTCAAAAAGGATCTTGTCCCTGTGGAAGCCACGGAAAGCAGGGCGGCTGTTCTGCAGTGTGAGCTGACCAAACCCGCCCCAGTGGAGTGGAGGAAAGGGCAGGAGGTGCTCCAGCCTAGTGAGAAGTACAAAATGAGGCTGAAGGACACCGTTGCTGAGCTGACAATCCATGGCCTGGAGGAACAGGATGCAGGAGATTACACGTGTGTGTGTGGAGACAAGACAACCACAGCTTCCCTGACAGTGCATGGTAAAATATCTGGGTTTAATAGGAGTTTCCTGTGTTGTCATCTGTAGTCTCATGGGGGATCACAATCTGGTCTTGGTCCCATCTATTACTTTAAATTGCTATGACAGCTGTACCAACCACTGGGAATATCTTCCACTAAAAGTCCTTCCCTTGGGACTCATGAATAACATCTTTTCAGTTCCTGCTCTTTCCCGTTGATGGAATCTGGAAGCAGAAAATGAAGAGCTTGATGAAGTCATAAATAGCACTTGGAGTCTTTCCACTAATTCATTTCTTTAGGGCATATCACTGAGATTTCACTTGTTTTTTTTTCTAGAATGGAATTGAAAAGTTATGAAAGCATTGCAGCCCATAATTTTAAATGACATAGTGTTCATTTTAATTATTAAGCTGGTTTTAAGAAGGAGCTGTGCATAGTTCTTGAGATCTTGGGATCAGTTTTGTGTTGTTATATCTTAAACTGCCTTTAAAACATCCCTGGAAGTACTGAAATAATAGTTTTACAACACTGATTTCCAAATCAGTGAGAGCTGGGAAGCTGAGACTGGGGTGATGCTCCATTTCATGCCCTGGATCATACCATAAAAAAAAACCCCTCTGACTTATGAATAAGGTGTTTTCTAGCTGTCCAAAGTCAGTCTTTTATGGTTCTTGGAGTTATTATTAATCAGTGTGACATGCTCAGTGTGATCCACTGCAAAGCACAAGGCAGAGATGCCCCTTGAAATCATCCTTTGCCTCTCAGGTACTTTATGCTCTAAACCTTTATGGAGTAAAAGGTTTTAACTCAGTGGAGCAGTCAAGACACAGTTTTCCCTCGATTTTTAAAGTGCTCTCTCTTCACCTCTGATCTTCAGCCCTCCCTCCACGTTTTAAAGAGGAGCTGAGGAACGTGGAAGGCACGGAAAAAGGCACGGCCACTTTCCGCTGCGAACTGAACAAGCCCGGAGCCGCCGTGGGGTGGAGGAAAGGAGACACAGCCCTGGGGACAGGTGACAAGTTCACCATGAGATGCCAGGGCACGATTGCTGAGCTGGTGATCCGTGATTTGGACCTGGCAGATGCTGGGGATTACACGTGCTGCTGTGGAGATCAGAGAACCACGGCTGCGCTGAGAGTGAATGGTAAAGAAAAAGGAAATACGTAACGAATTCAAAGGGGTTGTTTTCAAACAGTTGTTTTTCTAAGAGCTCAGTAGTGTCAGCTCTGAAACTGCAGCCTCATTTCTGATGAATTTAGCAATATGTGCTTGGACACAAATGCCTGAATGCACTGGTCAGTACCGAGCACAGGTCAGGTGTTCAAGGCAAAAATTTGAGATATTCACCTTGGTATTAACTCATTTCTTTGATGCTCATATTCAGTAGTAGGTGGTAAGAAATGGGAAATCATATAATTGTGATATTGGTTGTTAAGATTCTAATCTAAAATCCTGAAGCTGAGAGGATAATTTGTTGCTGAGGTATTTTTGAGGCAGTTTTCAGTGTTTCAGAATAACTTGAGGGTCAAGTTCTGCCTGACCACTGTCTGAGGAGGTACAGAATTCACAGAATAGTTTATGTTGGAAGGGACATTTAAAGGTCCCTCATGGTCTCGAGGAAAAGAGAAGTTGATGCCTCAGATAAAGTTTCATTTGTGAACTTTTAAAGCAATTAATTGTATTCCAATAGAATGTAGACACTCTGGTCAGGCTTTGTTTTCCATCCTGGCAGGCAATATCCAAGGAATGTAGGGCTCAGTCTTGCAGGTCTGGAGAAGCTGAGACTTGCTGTGGTTCTCCATTTCATGTCAAGGACTTAACCATAACAAAACACCTCCTCATATTGATGAATAAGGTGTTTTTCCTGCTTTCTAGAGCCACTCTTTTATGTTTCTCAGAGGGGACCTCAATCCTGCTTGATTAGGAAAGGCTTTGCTTGTCACACATGGTTGACAGACCACAGCTAAGTGGTTGCTTGAATAGCTGCCATGGTCACACTTTGTGCTCATTTTGAACTCCTCAGCCTTGCCTGTGCACTTCAAGAAGGAGATGACAAACGAGGAAGCCACAGAAGGTGGAACAGCCACTCTCCAGTGTGAACTGTCCAGACCTGCCCCCGTGGAGTGGAAAAAGAAGCACAAGGTGCTCAAGCCGAGTGAAAAATACACTGTGAGGCAGGAAGGCACCACAGCACAGCTGCTGATCCACGCCCTGGAGGTCAAGGATGCTGGGGAATACACCTGTGTGTGTGGAGAGGAGAAGACAACTGCAGCACTGACAGTGCATGGTAAAGGAAACAGAAATGGGGGATTTTTGTGGGATGTTTCTCCCTTCTCCTCTGGAAGCCTCAGTCCTGACACAAGTTCTTTCCCTAATCTTGCCATCATTAATTTCATTGATAACAGATTTTCTTCTTTTATTGTGATTTTTATCTAATTCTCACTAGAATTGCAGTTCCATTGATTACACTAATATTTTCCCTGTTTTCTTCCCCCTGCTCTTGTTGGTGCACAGCTTTGCACCACGCCAAAGGCTGAAGATGCCACATACTTGCTTTTTTTGTTCTGTTTTACTCACTTTTAACTTGAGCTTAGAGAGGTGGAGCAGCAGGAACATTCATACTTCTTGAAAAGGATGATTAGATTTCAAACTGCGTTAGGATTTGAGAAATAATTTTTTATTTTGGTTCAATGCACCTTTTCTATATGACTCTGACCTAGGATAATGTAGATTTGTATCCAGGTGTTGCAGAATACTCAGCATTATAGTGGAAGAATAATTCACAGTCTTCAGTCAAATTTATCTACAACTTTCCTTGGAAGAATGGGAAACTTCATTTTTATTACTAACACAGGACAGTCAGAAGTATTTTGAGCCTCTTTCACACCTGGAAATTCAGTAGGTCTGAATTCAGGGAGTTGATTTCTTTGCTTTACTGCCCAGACCTTTTCATCTTTGTATTTATCAACAACATAGGGATTGCTTCAGTCTTCAACTTCCAATATAACCACAGAAAATAGAGTTGGAAAGGTCACTTAGTCCATCCTCAGGCCCGAGGTCACCATCATTACAGCCAGAAGGTTTTTCTTAATTTCAGCAATAGTCTCTCTCGAGCTGGCTTGTCATTCCTTCTTGTTTCAAATTTTATAAAAAATTAAGAAATACTTGTTGGGGTTTTTTTATACATCCCAATTATGATTTCTTTATTTGCATCAGAGCTGCATTTTTCAACTTGCATTTTTTCCAGGATCTCTTGTAATCCCGAATCCCTTCGTGCCTGTTGTTCTCCTCCTTGTATTTGTGTTGCTGATCATTCCTAAATAGGATATTTTCCACCTGCTCTTGCTGAGTTGCAGCCTGTTTTTCCACCACTACTTCACTGAGGTTTTCTATATCTTAATCCACTTTGGCAAAGTGATTTCACCATCTCTTCTTTCCCACCTTGGGATCATCTGCAAAATTAATGACAATTCTGCATTTCATTGTCCAAGTCACTAAAGAAAATGCTGAATATTACTGGATTCCAGAGCACTGAGGAACTCAACTCATTCTTTCACTGTGAGTATAAATCACAGTTGAATATTCTTCGACAGTAGTTTTCAAATTAGTGGCACATTCCCTCTGTAGTTCCACCTGTACCTGAGTTAAAGTAAGAGCTTTGCTAAATTAATAATGTGCAGCATATACTGGGTCTTTCTGTCTGTGAAGCTTAATCTATGTCAAGAAAAAATTGCACTGGTCCACTCCTTCAGGAAGAGAAAAGCTCTTGGCAAATCCAAGTTTTTCAAAGAATTAAGTTAAGCTGAGATGGATGTAATTCCTTGGATCCTCTCTCTGCCATCTCTCTGTTTTTCCAAGAAAGTGAAGGGGATTCATCTTGTAGGTCAAGATTGATGAGGATTCCTAAATTCCCATTTTTGTCAGTGGAGATCTGGTCAGCACAGTCCATGGAAGACAGGGATGTATCCAGTTCACCTTATGTAGCAGATATGTGGTCAGCAGATACCTCTGCTGACTCCACTGACTTCACCTGGATCTTTCTTGACTGCCTGGGAGTTTAGACTCCTGTTTTGCATGGCAAGAACCAAATGTGTGCGTGTCAATGTGTGAGGCCTTTTTCACCTCTTAGTTTCTGGTTTTTTTCCTTATTTGTGGAAGGTCATCCATTCATGCTCTTTGATTTCTCCAGTGTAAGTATTAATGTCTGATATTCATTGATCCTGTGCCTTCTATGACGAATTTCATCACCCCAAGGTGCTTTAAGAATAGTCAGACTATTTAAATATTCTCTAATCATTTTGTTTCTTATCCTAGCCAGAATTCCTATTACTTTCTTCACTATCATTTACCTTTAATATCAAAGAAGAAGGAATTAAACACTTCAGCTTTCCCATGTCACTCACCATCAACTTACTGGCTTTGGCAGTGCTGGGTTAAAGGTTGGATTCACTGACCTCAGAGGGCTTTTCCAAACTAAATAATTCTATGATTCCATGATATCAGCATCATTTTGCAGATCACTTTGAGCCCCTCTTTCATGTTGATCTTTTGTCCAGGAGGTGACAGAGATCAGGAATGGGGAACTGCCCTTGATCTTCTTGAAATATTCAGAGAACCTGCCCTTTCTGGGTTTGTCTCTACATTGAACAGTATTTCTTTTGCACTCATCTAAACCTCTTGTATTTTATAGTCTTCTTGAGTTTTGGGACATTGAAAAGTTTGTGATTTAGACAGACTATTTCTGATGATCCTTGGAGTGAATTAGTCTCTAATTATGCTCTTAATATTGTTTCTTTGAGAAGTTTTCCACTCTCTTAAGCTGCCTTGTCCTTTAAGTTGGCATCTGCACGATCATAAGTAACAATTCTCAAATTGTTGGAGCTTGTTCTCTTGTTACCACAGAATTTTCTTTTGTTCTTCTCCATCATTACCTGTCCTAAAATCCACGAGCTTTCCTGCTTCATAATTAATGTCTGCACAATTATTCTCCACATCCTTATTCTCAATGATTTATTTCTTGTTGGTCACAGAATAAATTGGAGACCCTTCTCTCCTGTTCTTCATATCTATTCTATATCCAAATATAGTTCCTGCCCCATTCCAAAGACTTACCAGGTGTTGTCCCAGCCTGCTGCTCCCAGAGTACATATTAGCACATTACCATCCAGTCTTACACTCTGAATTATTCTATTCCTTGTTCCTAAAGGGATGGGGTATTAGGATGCACCTGAATTTCCTGGTGTGAAGATTATGGCAGATCTCCACACTGGAGACATCATCCTTTTCTTTTCTTTTTATTGCTACCCAAGCACTTTCAAGAGATCTCTCTAGTCTTCATCTTGTTCTAACTCTGAGTTATGTCTATAGGCATCCTTAACACCTAAATTCAAACATGATCAATTTTTCCTTAATTTTTTTCATGAATGGATTTTCCACGCTGAATTATACTGAGGAAGTTACAGTTTTGACCATACGTGGAGTTTGCCCACTCCTGCTGTTTATTCTCCATCCGTCTCTAAACCAATCAGAAAACTTGCTTAAAATTTACTTTAAAAAAAAAATGATAAGACCCTTTCTTTATCTGCGACACAAATTAGCATCTTCCTTCTGTGGGATGATCCTCACGGCAACAACCAGGCACGGGGAGATAGAAACACCAGGTTCATTTAGTTTGGTGGCCCAGAACTGCTTGTCATGAAAACATTTGCTGCTCTGTTTCTCAGCCCTCCCTGCCCTCTTCAAGGAGGAACTGAGAGATGAGGAAGCCGAGGAGGGCAAAGCGGTGACTCTGCGCTGTGAGCTGACCAAACCCGCCCCGGTGGAGTGGAGGAAGGGACACACGGTGCTCAGACCTAGTGAGAAGTACAAAATGAGGCAGAAGGATGTCACTGCAGAGCTGGTGATCCAGAGCCTGGCTGAGAGTGATGCTGGTGATTACACCTGTGTGTGTGGGGACAAGGAGTCCACGGCTGCCTTGGCAGTGCATGGTAATGCCCAATTCCACCTGGATGTCCTTGTTAACAAGCTTGTGGTTTGAATTACTTTTATCACCCTGTTCATTGTTATCTGTGCATAGTTCCCGTGAGTCTGAATTTGCATTGAGCCGTTGTGAGGATTAACTTTGTGATTTAGGGGTAAAACCTTCCAACAATTCCATATCCAAAATGGTTTTAGGATCCCTAAAGCAGATGTGAGATCAAGCCTGAGGACAGCCCCCCACTGACACCCTCACCTTTCCTTCCCCTCAGCAGGAGGCTGTTTTTCTGCTCCATTTTAACCCTCTCCCCATTGCATCCTCAGTGCTGCCTGCGGGGATCAGGGAGAGCCTGAAGGACCAGGAGGTGACGGAGGGTCAAGGGGCCACTCTGTGCTGTGAGCTGACCAAGGCTGCCCCAGTGGAGTGGAGAAAGGGCAGCACTCTGCTCAGAGCCAGTGACAAGTACAAGATGAGGCAGGAGGGCGCAGTCATGAAGCTGCTTATCCATGATGTGGAGCTGAAAGACGCTGGAGAATACACATGTGTGTGTGGAGAGCAGGAGACAACAGCTGCCTTGATAGTGCATGGTAAAAAAAACAAATGCAAATATCTGTATTACTGTGCATTTCTTTGTCAGCTCACTGATATTGGTTGTGGCTGAATTGTTCCTTTACATTTGTGAGCTCTCTGTGAGATCTGGTTGTATCCAGGCCGCTTTTCTCTTCCTGTCTGTTGGTTTGTCCGATGTCCCAGAATGAAAACCCCTCACCCCGAAGTGTTCTCTGCCTCTGTACCACCCCATCCCTCCTGTGATCTGTGTGCCACGTGTCATGTTTAACGTCCTCTGCCCACTTTGTGACCTTCAGCCCTGCCAGCACTTTTCAAAGAAGGCCTGAAGGACCTGCAAGCCCTGGAAAGCCAAACAGCCACCCTGCGTTGTGAGCTGACCAAGGCTGCAGCTGTGGCGTGGAAGAAAGGGGACAAAGTGCTCAGGGCAAGTGAGAAACACATCATGAGGCAGGAAAGTGGCCTTGCTGAGCTGGAAATCCGCGACCTGGAGCTGCAGGATGCAGGAGATTACACCTGTGTGTGTGGAGACCAGCACACCACGGCGTCTCTGGCAGTGAAGGGTAAATGCAGATGACTGTCCACTTTTTGTTTCTCTGAAACACCCTGTTGGCTGTGTGAGGTGTCCACCCATCAGCTTTTCCTTAGGGATTAATTTGTGTGCAGGAAAGGAGAGCTTCTTGTCCTGACATTTAATTTTGGTCTGAAGCTGAGGATTTGGCTGTTTCTCCACGCAAACTCCAGTGTTGTAGGTTTAAGGGAATAAACACCTAGAAAAGACTCCTGTTAGGCCAGCTGATTTGTCCTGTCCCTGTGACAAATTCTTTAAATTCTACCTTGAACCCATCCAGCCTGTTGTACCTTGACCTGTCAGCTCAGCACTTCTTTGTCATACTGTCACTGCTGGATTCAGTTTTCCAGATCATCGTAGCAATAACCTCAACCTCAAAGTCCAAACCCCCTGATCTGGCCAGATTTGAATTCATCATGCTGATGGCTTAGTTTAAATACCCTATTAACTTTCCATTCCCAGCCCTGCCAGTGCTTTTCAAGGAAGAACTGAAGAGTGAAGAAGCCCAGGAAGGAGCATCAGTCACTCTGAGTTGTGAATTAACCAAAGAAGCTCCAGTGAAGTGGAAAATTGGGCCCAAAGTGCTCAAAGCAAGTGACAAATATCAAATGAGACAGTCTGGCACCACTGCAGAGCTGGTCATTCATGACCTAGAAGTAAAAGATGCTGGAGATTACACCTGTGTGTGTGGTGACCAGAAGACAACAGCAACCTTGGCAGTTCATGGTAAAAAGACCTTATTAAAATTGATAAATAACTGTAGAGACAGGCATCAATCTGAAGTTCAGTTGTTCCTTCCCTGGGTCAGTAGCTTGTCTTTGTTTTTATCCCTTTCTCTTCATTCTATTTATAACTCATTTCTTGCTGAGACAGAGTCGCCCATGGCAAATTTTGGGGTCATTATTAATCTGTCCTTTGAAAGGAGAAAACAAGATGTTTCTTTCTGCCCAAATCCCCTCTTCTTGGATATTTACATTTTCCAGCTCCAGCCCTGTGGTTCACTTCAGTCAACCCCAGTTTTCTCCAAAACACACAGGTATGGTCTGTCAGCACCTGCCCAGGAACTGGACAGAGGAGAAGTGAGGGTTAAATAAATCAACCCATAAATAAATCCTTTTGTTAATAACCTCATTACCTGATCTCTGCTCTCCTCTCATTGATGAATATCCATGTTAATGAAATAACAGTCCTTGGCTTTGAGGAACTTGGTCAGAGATCCAGTTCTGCCCCTCCAGATTCTTCCAAAAACAGGGAGCTGGGCTTTCCTGAGACATGGACTTTTCCTGAGGCATTTGGGGTGTACTGTTTATATTCTGTACCCCTTTACACAAGGCACTTTTGTGGGTAAATGTCAATAATTAGTTTTCCTGAAGGTTGTTTCCTGTAGGTTGTTCTGTCTTTGGGTTGTGATTCCAAAACGGGAAATTAGCAAGAATCTGAAATTCTCATTACATGTAATGGCCCTTCAAACTTCAATTTAAAACTAGGACTAGTTTTGTTTTAAAATCTGACTGCTTTCAGGTAGGTGGGGCTATAATATTTTAATTTAAAAAAACCCCAGAAAATAACAATATCAGCCTCCAAGAAATGCTACTTGTGTGGGTAAAATAATCCTGTGTGTAGCAGTGTTATTTGTGAGTGCTGTTGATCTGAGATCTGGGTCTTTCTGTCTTCTTCTTTCACTATGAATAACAACAGACAACCCAGGGAACTGTCCCTTAGGGTGAGTGAAGTCACATCACACTTGAAGTAGGATGCTTTTGGAGTTTCTAAACTTGGTTATGGCTAAGCATGTCTATAATAGGCTGGGGAAAGAAAAAAAAAAGGCATGAGGGGAAACCATCTCCAGCGTGAAAAAGAAATCGGGATTTTAATTCCGGTTTTCTGGTGACCATCTGTCCGTGTTGCACCCTTCAGCTCTGCCCCCACTCTTTAAGGAAGAGCTCCAGGACAAGGAAGCAGGAGAAGGTGGAGAAGTCACCCTGCACTGTGAGCTCACCAAGGCTGCTCCAGTGCAGTGGTGGAAGGACCAGAGGATGCTCAAAGCAAGCGAGAAATACAAAATGAGGCAGGAAGGGACCAAGGCAGAGCTGGTGATCCATGAAATAAGTGAGGAGGATGCAGGAGGCTACACCTGTGTGTGTGGGGAGCACCGGAGCACAGCTGTCCTGACAGTCCAGGGTAAAGCCATCCCGACCTCCTGTTTCCTGGCTGGAACCCTCTGCCCTCTGCTATAACTGTTCATTTTTACACACCTGTCTGTTCAACCTTATTAACTGAACTCCCATCCATTTGAAAATATTCCCTGCCCCTCCTCACCTGCAGGCTGTGCCAACTGGAAAATCCCAGTCTGCCTTTCTCTGTCCTATCCTCCTGTCTTTTCCTTTCCTTAAACACACGCCTGCTATCCTTTCATCTTTCCCTTCTGCCATTCCTTTCCTAACACACAAACCCACTATTCTTTGGTCTTTCCTTTCCTGCATTTATTCTCCAAAGCACAAATCTGTTTATTCTTTGCCATTCCTTTCTGGCATTCTCAATACTGACCATTGTAATATGGGGAAAAAGAAGCATTAGTTAGTTACAATTTCTTCTTTACTGAGCTATGCTTATATTGGGCTTTGTGCCCATAACCTCTGTCCTAATGCACAGATTTCCATTGGGAGACTGTTTTTCTAAGACTGTAGATCTCCTGCCAGTCTTGTTTTGTTGGAAGAACCACTTGTTGTGCAAATAAAACTGGTGTTTCAGCTTCAGAGTGCTGGAGATGGGAAATGTGCCAAATCTGGCTAAACCTGGTTTCTAGCTTGGATATTTTAACTTAGTCTCGCTGCTGGGGACACTAAGTTTTTTAGATCTGAGGTATCCAGCCTTGTCAAAGAGATGGAATGTCCCATTATCCCACTTAGTTAATAGAGGGACATATGTGAAGGTCACCACATTTATTTCAAGGACACGACTTGCAATGGCTACAGGAATGATGTTCAGTGGGGAAAAACATGTTCTGAGGCAAGAACACAGGCTGGGATTCAGCATCTGGAGATTTTCTCTGGGGTCTGGAAGAACCTCTGAGTCCTGGATGAACCTTTTCAAGGATAGCTCAAGGAAGAAGGGATGAGGATGAGTGAGGAGCTGTGCCAACACTCAGAACACAGTAGAACAGCTCAATAAGTAGGGAAAGACAGCACAAAGGCATGAAGTTTGTGGGAGACACCAACACATGGGAACTAAGGAGCTCAGAGATGATATTCTTGGTTTTTCTCTCATGGAAACTGGTAGAAAGCAGGTGTAAATCTGTTGAGACAGGGCAGTTTTGCTAATAGGAAGCCAGCATAAACCCCAAAGGATTAGGATGTATATTCCCCCTAGGATATTTTCACTTCTCTTCCCTCTCTTCTTTGCTGATGCTCGACCTTCCATAACTTTCACAACTTCCCCCCCGTCAGTTCCTCACCCATCCCTGGAGAGGTGCTCAGTCTGTAACACTTTTTACCTGCATCCTTCAGCTGTGCCTCCATTTTTCCAAGAGGAAATGACCAGCAAGGAAGCAGTAGAAGGTGGAACGGCCACTTTTCAGTGTGAGCTCAGCAAGGCGACAGCCCCTGTCCAGTGGAAGAAGGGCCACCACGTCCTCACCTCGGGCAAGAAGCACAGCATGAGGCAGGAAGGCCGTGTGGTGGAGCTGGTGGTTCATGACTTGGACCTGGATGACAGTGGAGATTATACCTGTGTGTGTGGAGACAAGAGCACCACAGCTGCCCTAACAGTGCATGGTAAAGTAACCCTTGGGATGGTCCTCCAAACCCTAGAGCTGCCCAAGCCTCTGTTGTTACGGTCTGTTCCCATTCCCTTTCTGTTTGCTTGGGTTTTCCTATTACTTTGGACTTTATGTGCTTCCTCCTTGTGTCAGAATTGGGATAAGAGTTCCCTGTTGGTGTTTGTCCCCCTCAGCTGTGTTGGTTCATCTCACTTTCTCAGTGTCCAGGGAAGTTGGGGGAGATTTTCCATTTTGTCCCACTGACCTGGATCAGGGCTCCGCGTTTCACCATCATCCATCCATCCATCCTCTCCCACGGGATGTTTGCTTTTTAAGGAATATTCACACTCTCTGTGGTACCCTTTTACTCTTCAGCACTGCCTCCAGAATTCAAGAGAGGCCTGAAAGACCTCGAGGCCGTGGAAAATGGCACAGCTGCTCTGCACTGTGAGCTGACTAAACCTGCTGTGGTGGAGTGGAAGAAAGGGCAGGAGGTGCTCAAGGCAAGCAGCAAGTATAAAATGAGCCAAGATGGTGCCGTTGCAAAGCTGATTATCCGTGAGCTGGATGTGGAGGATGCTGGAGATTACACCTGTGTGTGTGGAGATGAGCAGACAACTGCCACTCTGACAGTCAATGGTAAAAACAAAGGAAAAAAGCCATAAGGTTTTCTGAAAATAAAAATAAGAACGGTGGTTTAGTGTTGCTGAAGGAGGATTGCAAATCGTGAGGTGTGCAGGAGAGTGTCGTTTATACAGCCTCAGAGACAGGCAGAAAATGGAAATTGCAATGCAAAATAGTGCATTTTTTCAGCATGTTACTGTCAGGATAATCATAATCTCTCTTGCAAGTGGCCTGCCCTAAGAGGGAATTTGAACCCTGAAAATTCCCTGCTTTAAGAGGGAATCTGAACTCTTGCAGTTCCCTGCCTTAAGAGGGAATCTGAACTCTTAAAATTCCCTGCTTTAAGAAGGAGTCTGATCTCTCAAAATTCCCTGCTTTAAGAGGGAATATAAACTCCTAAAATTCCCTGCCTTAAGAGGGAGTTTGAGTTCTTACAACTCCCTGCTGACCTTCAGAACACCTTCAGTGATCAGGGCAACGTGTTGGTTACTTTTGGAGTAGGAGAAAGACTGTGCCATTTTTAGATCACAGATTAGATTAAGCTTCCATACACTTCATGGCAAAATGTAACTTCTTGAAATCCATTTCTTCTTGTTCTGTAGATGTTCCTATTTCATCTCTGGGGAAATAGCCTTGTACTTTGAGTGTAGAATATGGAGGTTTAGAGACACCAGCAAAACAAGCTCTTTTGGTGCTTTCATTTTCTTTCAACTCCCTCTTTCCCAAGCCCCAACTGCGGAATGTTGCAAGTCATTTTTTCTATTTTATAGCCCTACCAGCACTTTTTAAACAAGAGCTCCAGGACACCGAGGCAGAGGAAGGTGGCACAGCCACGCTGAGGTGTGAGCTGACCAAACCCAAGGCTCCAGTGGAGTGGAGGAAAGGGGATGTCACCCTCTACCCTGGTTTGAAATACGAGATGAAGCAGCAGGGCTGCACCGCTGAATTGGCCATTTCTGACCTAGAACTGGATGATTCAGGGATATACACCTGTGACTCTGGACACCAGCAGACAACAGCTGTGGTGACTGTACATGGTAGGCACAGTGTTGACCCTTGGCTCAACAAATGTGGAGTGGAAGGAGATTCTCTTGGTGTTCTCTACTTGCTTTGCTGTTGGTCCATGCCAGAATAAATGTTCTTCTTTGGCACGACAAAGGGTCAGGTTAGAAAGGTTGTTCTTGCAGTATCTTGAGTGATTAATTAGCATCAAAGCTTATTAGAATCATAGAATGGCTTGAGTTGGAAGGGATCTCAAAGATCATCTCAGTCCAACCCCTTGCCATGGGCAGGGACACCTTCCACTAGCCCAGGTTGCTCAGAGCCCCATCCAGCCTGGCCTTGGACATTGTCATGATGTCAAAATATGCTGATCTCTCCTCCCCTGAGTGCAGGGGTTGTGGCTGGGTATGGGAATGGCATAAGGGATGATAAGAGAAGCAACAATTAGGGGATAAAGGATTTCTGTGACAGGTGACTGTGCTCTGTTATTACTGAAGGCTTTGAACTTCAGGTGTAAGCGTTCCTCCACCCCTTCTTCTACCATTCAGAGCAAGACCTTGCCTGAAGTCTGAATTTCCTCTCTAATTTATCAGTTACTGTGTTTTGAATATCAGTTTGATCACTCTATGTTTATACAAACTCTATTTGGGCAAAAAAATACTCTTTGCTTAGTATTGCAAACTCACAGACCTCTCTTAAGGAACAAGGGTTTGTGTGAGAGAGAACACATCCCAGGGATCTTTGCCTAAAGCACCTGTAGTTGACATGGAGACACTTCCATGGGAAAGTCTGACTCCCTCAGACCACAAACCAGGCCACAAACCACTCTCTAAGACCAGATCTTTCCTAACTTCACTGTCAGTCCTCAACTCTTGGTTCTCACAATGGTTCAAGAAAGATGCTGCCGAGACAGGGAGTTGCAGCCCAAGGATTATGGAATCATTTCTGAAGAATGGTGGTAGGATTGTGTCCTTCTTGGGCTAAAACACTCTTGAAATGTTTCCCTCAAATTTTGCAGCACTACCTGTCACTTTTAAGCAACCCCTGCAAAATCAGGAATCCGAGGAGGGAAGCACAGCCACGTTCCGCTGTGAGCTGTCGAAACCCAAAGGTGCTGTGGAGTGGAGGAAAGGAGGAGTGGAGCTGCAGCCCAGCCAGAAATATGAAATGAGGCAGAGGGAATGCCTGGTAGAGCTCTTGATACATAACCTCAAATTAGAAGATACAGGAGAGTACAGCTGTGACACTGGGGATGAGGAAACCACGGCAGCTTTAAACGTGAAAGGTATGTGGGCTGAGCTGACTCCTAAAGCAGCAGATCCCATCCAACGTGCAAAGCAGCAGTTTCAGTGTGAATATTTTTAAATATATTCTTCTCTTTCTCTATAAATATTTTCCTTTTCACCTGATATACTGGGATTTTATTTTGTTCTAATGAGAATTGAAGAGGATGATGCTTTGTTCTTCCGGTGCTGCATTTGAGTTTTGGGTTCTAATAAGAAACATTTTCCAGCTCTGTGGCTGACAAGAAATTAAAGAAAGAGCAATAATTTTACATAACATCTGGATATTTCACTTGACATGTTGTTTAAATATTTTTAAAAAGTATTTTTTTCCAAATCCTGTAAGAAGACAGACAACGACCTTCCTGATCTGTCAAGGCTGCCCACGGAGTTTTGAATTTCTAGCTCTTGAGATCATTGTTAGACCAACTGAAGGATAAGTTCACTCAAAGAATTCAACCCTGGGAAGGATTTGAGTCAAGAAACAAAGGAAATAAAGGCAATAAATGTTATGGGATTCTTCTGATGTAGCAAGATCTAGTAGCTCCAGGCAAATTAGAAAACATGGATCCTGCCCAGGAATATCTTACTTGAAAAGCAGAGTATCTTCTCTGAAGTGTCAGTCTGAGGACTTGACTCAAGCTTCAATAAAAGCTTCTTTTTTTGTCTCCTTTAGCTCTGCCAGTTCTTTTCAAAAAGCAGCTCAAAGATGAGGAGGCAGAAGAAGGAGCTGCGGTGAAGTTCCAGTGTGAGCTGACGAAGGATAACGCGGCAGTGGAGTGGAGGAAAGGCACCATGGAGCTCTTCCCGTGTGCCAAATATGACATTAAATTAAGTGGTTGCACGGCTGAACTTGTGATTCACAGTGTGGAGCCAGAGGATGCTTCTGATTACACGTGTGACACAGGAGGCCAGCAGAGCACTGCAGTCCTCAGAGTGCATGGTTAGCGTTGCATCAGATTGGAACAGAGGAGAAAAGGCATTTGTGGAAATGTGTGAATGGTGTTATTTAATTTACTGGTGAATATGAATCCTTCTAAAAGTTAAGAGATTGAGGAAAACTGGTGCCCAGACATAAACAGAGCACAGAAATGGATCTTGTGGGACAGGGTTCCTATTTCAGCTTGTAAAGCACAGTGTGCAGTGTACTGACACCTTTCTCTGACGTGGCAAAAGCAAGAAACTCTGAGTCAAGAAACCTTTATATTCTAATAGATCTTTATTTCTAGCACTTTGCATTCATTCCTGGCTCACTTGAATCAAAAACAAATCACGCATCGTTTAAAAAAGCATTTTAAGTTTAACTATATTTAATCTTTCCATGAAGACCCTGAGAATGCTGTGTTTAACCAAACCAGGAATGATGACTGTGATTGGTCACAGAATTACAAGCATGGCTAAAGTTAGGAGGGACCACAGCAGGTCATTTGGTCAGGCAGGGCCATCCCAGCACCATCTGTGAAACGTTTGTGGTCGTCTCAAACAGTTGGGTGGAACTTGTGGCTTTGATCTAAACCACAACCTTTCAAACTACATCCTCTGGCTGAACCTGACCCACGAAGCAGCCACAGGGTCAGCTCTGAGTGAGAGAACCTGTGACTGTTTTCCATGCCTCACAGGAGGGTTTAGACAGAGGAACCACAAGCACTGAGATTCCAGTTTCCCCAGCTGCTCATACACACACACACACTGGATATTCCCTTCTGGTTTCCACCTGTTGTCTGAGCAGATCCACATCCTCTTGATTAAATGTCTATTTGTGCATCATTTGGAAAGACTCACTGGTGCTGGTCCAGGGTCTTGAAAAGATAACTGAGAAACCAGAAAGGAGTTTAAAGCTTTACATCATTTAGGTGTTGGAAATCATGAGTATTTCTATAAAAATGAAGAAATTTATGCCTGTTTTAACCAGAAAGTACCAGGTTTTGCTTAGTCAAAATCTTTCTCTGTGTGTAAGCTTCCAATCTCCAGAACAGGTGCATAAAAGGTTTGATGTGGATGCCCTTGACTTTAAGAGAAACAAACATATCTGTGGAAGTTTCTGATCCTCTCTTTGTCTGGGTATACACAATATAGGAAAAAAAAAAGTGGTTTTATTATCATACAACCCCTTAATGCAAAATTGCCCCTGCAGCATCAGAGCCCAGGCGCTTGTGCTGAGCTGTGCATTCCAGGGAACAGATCCCGTATTATTTATTTCTTCCTCACTTTGCAGCCACCAAACCCCGGCTGAGGCAGCATCTGAAGAATGAAGAGGTGGAAGCGGGGGGGACAGCCAGGCTGCGCTGCGAGATCTCCATCAGCAAGGCAGAGGTGGAGTGGAGGAAGGACGGAGCTGTCCTGCACTCCAGCTCCAAGTACGAGATGTGGCAGGACGGGACCCTCCGGGAGCTCCGTGTTCACCGCCTGGAGCCTGGAGATGCCGGGGAATATTCCTGCAAGGCTGGGGATGAGACGACCTCTGCCAAACTGACAGTGAAAGGCAAGAACTGTTTCTCGGGGCAAGGAGGTTTTCACTTGAGGAAACTAAAGTTTCACCCCGTTTCTAGGGTTTCACTATTATTGTGAAGAAAGCAGAGCATAGGGAGGGTGTCCTAAAAAAAAATCTGGTGGTCAATGGATGCACCGAAGCAAAGATTGACGTGGTGGACAGGGGAGGATGAAGCAGCTGTGAGTTGTGACTCATAGCTTGAAATATTTGCTTGACATCATCATATGCAGGGGGGTGAACAGATGGTCCATCCCCAGCTTCCAGTCACATGGCAGCTGCATCTGGCCTTAGTGCCATCACAGAGCTTGGACCACTAGTGTGGAACAAATGCTGCCAGCACCTCTACAGGCTGCTCCATGTTGTAGATCCTCTGCACATTACACCCAGCTGCACCATTTGTCGTGCAGATGGTGACCTCAGTCGTAGGAATATCTGCTGTGCTTGCTCACATGAAGATTTCACTGCTTTTTTTTGATGGTTGGACTCGACAATCTCAGAGGTGTTTTCCAACCTTAAGGATTCTATGATTCATTTGGAATTCCCCAGCAGATCTGGGGTACATACAGCTTTGGGGGTATGTTGCGGGGCTGTCTGTGTGATCTTTGCACAGATCTGCAGGAGTTCAGCTGTCCTAGAAGCAGGACTCAAACCAACTGTGCTCACATTAATCCAGTGAGTCTTGCTGAGAGGACAAAGCCAACCAGCTCCTCAAGACATTTGGAGCATCAGCATGGAGTAAATGTTTGCAAAAATATGATAAAAAGGATCAGGTTTTAATGTTACTCTATGAAGATATCTAAGTTCAAGTGTAACAAATTTCAAAACCCTGATTTTGGCACCCGGCATTCATGCCTTGTTCACCCAGAGTGTCAAACATTAAACTAAAAAATCAGTATGTAATGTATCTCTGAGAAAGGATAAGTGATAAAACCACTCTTTAAAAGTTAATTGCCCTTTTACCAAGTGCACTGAAAGCAGAATTTGGGATGTGATTTGGGAGGCTGTGCTGTCTCCATCCTTGGAGATACCTGAAGCTCAGCTGGACAAGGTGCTGAGCAGCCTGCTGTGAGCCAGCCCTGCCTTGAGCAGTGGTTGGACCAAGTGACCTCCAGAATCCCCCTATAACCTGTTTTATTAACGATTCTATGATCTGATCCATGTTTTCCCTTCCATTCCCTGTTTCTGACTGTTTGCAGAGCCCGACGTGACCATCGTGAGCGGCCTGAAGGACATGGAGGTGTTCGAGGGGGACGATGTCACGTTCCGGTGCCAGGTTTCCCACGAGAACGCCAGGGATGTGGAGTGGAAGCTGCAGGACGTTGCCCTGCAAAACAACGAGATGAACGAGATCTCGGTGGAAAAAGGGAAGGTTCACACCCTGACCCTGAGGAAGGTGACTGAGCAGGACATCGGCACCGTCACCTTCCGGGTGGGACGTCACACGTCCACGGCAGAGCTCACGGTGAAAGGTAAAGTCTCTGTGTGGTGTGGGACAGGATCAGTGAGGACAGCTGATGTTTTGCTTATGCTGACAGTAAATTCACGTCCATAATTCGCCCCTTTTTAGGTCATGTCAGTGCTTCAGAGCACACGTGAAGTACTGGTGTGGTCTCATAGACAGCAGTCACCATGGACAGACAGTGAATATGTCACCAGGGTCCTGAAGCTAGCTGGTTCCTAAAGAAATTCCTGTGTTGGCCTCAGTAGTTGGATTGAAAAACCTGGAATTTTCACTGCTTCCATTCTCCCTCTTAGAAACAGAATGGTTTGGGTTTGAAGGGACCTTTAAAGGCCATCTAGCCCAACCCTCCTGCATTGAGCGGGGACATCTTCAACAGACCACATTGCTCAGATCTTTTTTTTCCTTCTTTGGTGTCTTTCTTTCTCCAAACATTATTTTGCAGAAATTCTCAATCCAACATCCTTCTCTTTGAATCTTGTTTTAACCCCTCAGTCGAAATCGAAGTTGTTTTTTTTAATAATGCTTAACCATTCAGCTGTGGCTTTAACACCACAGGGAAAAGAGACAAAGATGCCTGGAAATGCCTTTGCTGTGTTCGTAATTTCAGTGCCACCTCCAGTATTTAAGGAGAAACTGCAGAGCCTGGAGCTGCAGGAGGAAGACACAGCCGTGCTCAGCTGCCGGGTCTCCCAGCCCAACGCTCAGGTGAAGTGGAAGAAGGGCACTCAGGTGATCTCCCCGAGCTCCAAGTACGAAATCAGGCAGGAAGGAACAGTCCACACCTTGAAGATTTTTCACTTAAACCCAGAAGACTCTGGCAAATACACCTGTGATAATGGAAACGAACAAACGACGGCCACTGTGACTGTTAAAGGTGGGTTGTTTTAAGATGAGAAACTTGCTCCACTTCCTCAGTTTGACTCTACCAAGAGGGTTCTATGGACTCTCCTTGACTTCAGATGTCCTTTGCTGGCATAAAGCAGCTGAGACCTTTTGCTTTTGGTTAAGTCCTGTGGTGTCCTGAGCAAAGAAAATGGAGGGACCCAAAGTGCAGTAACTAATTCCACAATCTGAGACCCAAGGGCCTGTTTCTGGTCACTCAGAAAACCAAGGCTGGAGTTAAAATAAGAATAAGACCATTTTTGATGCCTAAGTGTCCCTTGAGCTGTAGTTCTACCTCAGAAAATGATGCTCAAGCGTGACATTGTTCCAACTTGGGCACTCAGCTCCAGCTGACAAGCAGCATTTCTAGTGCCAAAGGTCTGAAAATAGGTGTAATGTGGCAATATATCAGTTTTTCCAAATCTAAGCAGATATAAATACAGCGCTAAGGTGGTTTTTCTGAGATACAAGATCAGCAGAAGCAAAGAGTATCCAGAGTATTATTGTGAATTACTGTCTTTTGGAATATCCCTTGAGTATTCTCCTGTTAAGGACACTCACCTGCCTGCTATCACACTAATGCCAGGAGTTGGTGAGACCAGAATATCAGTGCTCTGAGCAGATCCCCTGGTGGTGGTTGCCTGTTTGTGTGTCTCTGTGTGTGGTCTCAGCCACTCCAGCACTCCTTGAAAAAAATTCCAAACCCAGGAAGGCTCTACAGTCACCCTCCAGCCTTGATCCAGTTGTTCCCCATCCATCCCATAAAATACACCATCCATTCCCACATCACCTACAAAGACCTTCAGATCTCTCTCCTTTTATAAGTGTCTGACACTCAGTTCCTGTGAATTCCCTCTGATTCCTGGAGCACAACCTCCTCCCCTTGTAAATAACAACTCATAAATGTGGAGCCACTGAGGTAATTCCAGGGAACTGTACTCAAGGAGCTAAACATGTGGGACATCATAAATCAACCCATCAAAACTCCATCGTGACCCATCAGTGACAACATGAGTGCAGAGGCTTCCAGGGTTCATTTCTCTGCTGGGTCCAGGTTTTAAACAAGGGGCATTATATAAAGATGTTTCTCCCAGATACCCAAGAATTTAGGCCAGGAGTTGTGGCTTTGGTACCCATCTGGAGAGACATGCACTTAGATTCTCGAGACTCTGTATCCATGACCATTCCAGTGTAAGAAGGAGCATAATCCTAGAGGTACTTGGTGTGTCCAGTGACTCTCCAGGAGTGCAGAGTGCTTAGAGCTCCTGGAAAACCAGCACTTTCTGCCATTCCTTGTTTCAGTTTTAAAGTAATTTTGGAATTGAGTTTGAACCAAATGTGGAATGGCACCAGAGTTTTATCAAACACAAGACTTAGTGACACAGCCATTGAAACATAATTTTTCTCCCTCTTATTTGTCCTGGTTCAGCTTTGCCTGTAACCTTCACACAACCACTGCAGAACCAACAGGCTGAAGAAGGTGGCACCATCACTCTGAGCTGCGAGGTGTCGAGATCAAACACCACAGTGCAGTGGAAGAAGGGCGGGGCTGTGCTGAGACCAAGTGACAAATTCAAGATGCGTCAGGCCGGGCCCGTGGCTGAGCTGACCATCCACAACCTGAGCGCAGCTGACGCCGGGGAATACACCTGTGACACAGGGGACCAGCAAACCACGGCCGTGGTGCACCTGAAAGGTGGGGCTTTGGGGTGTGGGAGAGCTGAGCAGAGCCTGGTGTCACAGCAGGGGCGTGTTTGTTTAATAATCTGGCATCTAAACGTTGTCCTGTGCCCAAACTGAATGGTGGGGATGTCAGAGATGAGTGGTTTCAGAGGGATGAGGACTGGGTCAGTTATCTCCAGGGAATCAGAAATGGGTCTTCAGTCACTGATTATGGTAATGTCACCCACTGAAATTTGTTGACAATGCTTTCCCAATATATAGATTGAATTATAAATATATATATTATGCATTCGTTATCACAGAATATTCTGAGTTGGAAGGGACCCACAAGGATCATCAAGTCTAACTCTTAAGTGAATGGCTCATAGAGGGATCAAATGCATGACCTTGATATTATATAGCACCATGCTCTGACCAACTGAGCTAATCTCAGGGTCCTTATATATTTATTATATGCATAATGCAGTATAAGATGCATACTTTTTAGACTATATGTGCATAATATATATGCACACATACCTAAATCATGGATCTGTAAGGTTGTAACATGTTACTACAATGCCTGTGTACCTACATTACCATAGGTTTAGAATCGTAGAGCCACAGAATGGTTTGGGTTGGAAGGAACCTTGAAGAACATTTAATTCCAACAACCCTGCCATGGTCAGGGATGCCACCCACTAGATCAGGTTGCTCAGGGCCCCATCCAGCCTTTCCTTGAACACTTCCAGGGATGGGGCAGCCACAATTTCTCTGGGCAACCTGTGCCAGGGCCTCACCACCCTCACAGGGAAGAATTTCTTTCTAACATCTTATCTAAACCTGTCTTTTTTTGGTTTAAAACCATTGCCCTTGTCCTGTCACTACCTGCCCATATAAAAAGTCCCTCTCCCTCCTTTTTATGACCCTCCTTGAGGTCTTGGAAGGCAATGAGGTCTCCCCAAAGCCTTCTCCTCTCCAGGCTGAACACCACCAGATTTAGTATTTAGGGCTTCAAATAACAATAGCATAGTCCTGTCAAGGAAGAGCAGAACAAAATGTTTAACCCAGGAAGCATCACTTGAAAGTAGACACCAAACTCTGTTGACCTTTCCATAAAGAACCAGCAGTGACCATAGTGGAGATGCTGAAGGACGTCACCTCATACGAAGGGGAGGACGCGGTGTTCGAGTGCAGGCTTTCCCGGGAAACAACCCAGGATGCCAAGTGGTTCCTGGGGGATGTGCCCCTGCAATCCAACGAGATGAACGAGATCAGAGTCCAGGGGACACGTCACAGTCTGATCCTGAGGAAGGTGACCCTGGAAGACTGCGGGTCCATCAGCTTCAAGGTCGGGGAGCACACGTCGGCAGCACAGCTGAAGGTCCGAGGTGAGCAACACCCCAGGGAGAGGGACTGGGGAGGTGCTGCTACACTTGCTTTGGCTTCTGGAGAGGTGTATTTGTGATTAGGGGTCCTTGGAAATTTTGGGATATTCTGCTAACCTGATTTAGGCGTTTAAGAGTTAGATGTGTACATCTGAGCTGTTCGTTTCGGTAATTTTTATTGTCCGTGGATGAAGACTAATATTAACATCCTTTGGAGACCCTCCAACTAAGCAGCCAGTCATATGTCGGAATCAATGCTGAAGGATGTCAATAATATGCTCTGAATTAATCTGTTACTCATGATGTTTTTAAATCATATTTACTAAAAAAAAATCTGAAAATTTAAAAAACCCTTTCTATTAAGTAATATAGAACGATTTAGAAAGATGACCCATGGTAATATTGTAGGTTCCTCTCTGATCTGGTTCAAAATATAACCATAGACCCCAGCTCTGATCTGGGGGTGATGTGGATCAGGCTGTTGCAGAACTGATGGTTCCCTCTTCCCCGCAGCTGCTCCGGTCATCTTTGTGAAGGCGCTCCAGAACCTGGAGCTGCAGGAGGGTGGCACAGCTCACCTGTCCTGCGAGGTGTCCAAGCCTGACGTCCCCGTGGAGTGGAAGAAAGGCACGTCTGTGATCCACTCCAGCCAGAAGTGCAGCATCAAGCAGGAGGGGAAGGTGCACACACTGGTGATCCGCGACCTGAACCGCGCGGACGCGGGCGAGTACAGCTGCCAGACGGCTGATGGCAGGACTGCAGCCAGGCTGGAGGTTAAAGGTATGGTTTCCTCTCCGTTCAGCAGTGGTGAAAGGAGGACACATCAGTTTTTGGAGCTCTCTAGTGCAAGAGAGACAATGGTTAGTGAGGCAAGCGCAGCAGAAGCTGCCAAGTTTCTCAGGGGGCCGGAGAACATGAAATATGGGGGACAAATTTTTATCAGGGCCTGTTGTGATAAGAAAAAAGGTGATGGATATAAACTAAAAGAGGGACAATTTAGGTTAGATATAAGACAGATGTTTTTCACAACGAGGGTAGTGAGGCCCTGGCACAGGTTGCCCAGAGAAGCTGTGGCTGCCCCATCCCTGGAGACATTCAAGGCCAGGTTGGACGGGGCTTGGAGCAACCTGGGATAGTGGAAGGTGTCCCTGCCCATGGCAGGGGGTTGGAATGGGTTGGTCTTTAAGGTCCCTCCCAATTTAAACCATTGTAGGATTCTAAGTAGAAGGAGAGGTAAGGGCAGCTGCATTTGTTAAGAGTGGGGAAGAGAAGGTTGAAGGGAGAACCTCTTTGCTGTCTGCAGCTTCTTAATGGAGGCCTACAGAGGAAAGAGAGAATTTTCTTGGAATGCTCAGTAAACAGATGACAGGCAACAATTGAAAGCTGCAGCAAGAGAAATTAATTTTAGAAAAAAACCAACCTTTCACAATGAAGGAGTGGTCAGACATTGGAACAGAGACCCAGAGGGGTGGAGGAATCTCCATCCATGGAGGACCTCCAGAGGTCCCTTCAGCCTAAATTGTTCTGTAATTGATCCCTGGCTGCATGATCTGATGTGTCAGGTCTGCAGGTGTGTGTTCTTTGAATGATTTTATCCTGTTCTGTGATTTTTATTTCAAGGATGAAAAGCCATCTGGCCTTCTGAAATAATTACTGAAATTAGTTGGGAATTCTTTGTGAAAAGAAGACTGGGATATGGGGACAGAAATGTAGCTCATATAGAACTCAAATTTTTCCTGCTGATTAACTCCCCTTCCTCCTCCTCCTCCTCTGTCTAGCTCAGGCCTAGTCATGCCTGTTCCTGGCAGCTCCCCTTAGGTAAATGCAGCCAGAATTGTGCGTGAACTTTATGAATGGCACTACCAGTACCCTAAAAATAAAACATTCCTCCATTTTCTATTTTTGCTTCACCCGTTTTTTTTTTTCTCTTTGTATCATTCCACCCCTTCAAGGCCTCCCCGTGCTGTTCAAGCACTGGCTGAAGAACGAGGAGGTGGAGGAGGGTCGCACGGCCCTGTTGTTCTGTGAGCTGACAAAGCCCAACGCGCACGTGGAGTGGAGGAAAGGGGACACTGTTCTGCAGACGGGTGACAAGTACGAGATCCGGCAAGAGGGGACACGTGTGGAGCTCCTCATCTACGATGCCGAGGCTCAGGATGCCGGGGAGTACACGTGTGACTCGGGGGATCAGCAGACCACGGCGTCGCTGCAAGTCAAAGGTAGGAGAAGGATTTTTTGGAGGCAGGGAAGTCGTGGCTGTGACTGTTCTCCTCAGGGGTGATCATGGAATCATCTGGGGAAGGCTGGACGGGGCTCTGAGCAACCTGGTCTGGTAGATGGTTTCCTGCCCATGGGGTTGGAATGAGATGATCTTTAAGGTCCCTTCCAACCCAAACCATCCTGTGATTTAGGTTGGAAAAGACCTCTATTGAGTTAACCCAACCATTAACCCAACACTGCCAAGTCCACCACTTAACCATGTCCCCAAGTGCCCAATCCACACAGAAGTTTTGTCTCTGAATTGCCATCAACACTCTGTATCTCTGAGTTACAACTGCAGGAAAGGGTTTGGTTCACAATCTGTCCTCCAGAGAAGAATTTAGTGCCTTTTAAACCCAGTTCTAATTCTGCAGTTGCAGTTTTCATCTCGCTGTGACAGCTGGGAGCAAAAATGCAGCTGCTGCTAGGGAAGGGTATGTACAAGAGCAGTTAGAAATTTTACCTACTACCTGACAAAAAAATGAGGATATTTCACCATATCTAGAATAAACTCACTTTAAATGGAGCCCTTGTACCTAGTAGTGCCTGAGCAGCCCAACAATTGTGGCTCTTGGCCTTTTTCTAGTGGCTTTGTTTTGGGATTTTATACTAAGAGTTCTATGTCTTTTGACTTGAACATCAAGACTATATTTTTAGATCTTGGGTTTGGTCACCATAACCCACTCCTGCTCGCTGTGAGGTTTCAGTGACTAAATGCCCAAAGTCTTATGTCCCAGCTGAAGGAACTGGAGGTTTTTAACCTAGAGAAAAGCAGGCTCAGGGGAGATGTTATCACTCTCTACAACTACATGAAAGGACGTTGTCATGAGGTAGAGGTTGGTCTCTTCTCCCAAGTGAAAAGCAATAAGACAAGAGGAAATAGCCCCAAGATGCACCAAGGGGGGTTTAGACTGGATCTAAGGAAAAAATTCTTCACTGGAAGGGCGGTCAGGCATTGGAACAGGCTGCCCAGGGAAGAGGTGGAGTCACCATCCCTGGAGATATTTAAAAGACGTGTTGATGTGGCATCTGGGACATGGTTTAGGAGTGGCCTCGACAGTGCTGGGTTAATGGTTGGACTCGAAGATCTTAAAGGTCGTTTCCAACCTAAATGATTCCTGTTCTCAATGCTGTGATTAGCACTGTTGTACCTCTGTCTGCTTACACTGAAAATGGTGGCTATGCCCATGTGGAGACCTTTAGAGCCCCTGTGACCTCTAACAACCCTTTATGGAGCAGCAGTGGACACCCTCCCAGCCTCAGCAGCTGATCCCTTGAGCGTCTGGCTGTGGCACAGCTCGGGGTGCGGCTCAGAACGAGGGGAACAGCCAAGCTGGAGAAGTTACGTGCGAGTTCCTCACCTCTGAGAGCTGTCACTGATGCAGTTGCTTCTCCACCACAGTACTGCCAGTGCTGTTTAACAAAGAGCTGAGGAACGTAGAGACTGAAGAAGGGGGAACGGCTGTTTTGCACTGTGAGATCTCCAGGCCGGACGCCCCCGTTGAGTGGAGGAAAGGAGGGGTGGTCATTGAGCCCAGTGACAAGTACGAGATGAAGCTGAAGGGCAGCATAGCTGAGCTGATCATCCATGGTGTAGAGCCTGATGACTGTGGGGATTATACCTGCAGCACTGGATACGAGATCACCACAGGTTCTGTGTACGTGCAAGGTAAGGGGAAGCGTGGTGGAAATGCTCCCGTTTGGCTGCCTGGGTTTCTCGCTCCAAAATCTTTGAGAGTAACTGGACAAAATGGTCTCAGGTGCAAACAGCTGAAAGGCCATTCGCTTCTTTCCTGATTCCAGTGAAGATACAAACACTCACCTCCAGGCTGGGGTTGGACCAATGTTTTTAAGTTAAACTAGTTCAAAGTGCTGTGCACTGTGACAGGTGGTGGTACTGCTGAAAAACTGCTTGCTTGGAGCAGTGGTCGTAAAAAATACTGACATTCTTGTTATAACTGATTTCAGCCTCTATCGTTGTTATTCTTATTACTCTTTTAAAGCACTCAAGTGAACATTTAAATCTTAAGCTACATCTCTGCCTCCTGCCTCATACAACGCCACTGCAGATGGCTGCAATGCACAGGCATGACCTGGTCATGGAGTGGAGTTTCCTCCCAGTGAAATGGTGTTTGCAGAGACACACCCTGCTCCTGCAACCAGGTGGAGGATGGAAGGTGGTTTCTGAGTCCTTTCAAGAAAATTTTAGCTCTTTTTTTATTTTTTCCCCCTGGAAGAGAGCTACAAGTTTAACTCTCCGGGATGACTCACACTTGCGTTAGTTCTGCAGGGAGCCACGTGTGTGTGTGTGTGTTTATGCTCTTGTTTTCCTTTGGCACCTTCTCTTGCTCTGTCGTGCAGAAGAAGCAGCAGTGGTAGTTTCTGGTTTAAGGAACACAGACGTCTTTGTGGGCGAGTCAGCCACGTTCACCTGCGAGCTCTCGCACCCGGGCGTGAGGAACGTGCAGTGGTGGCTCGATGGGACCCCCCTCCACAACAACCTGGTGACTGAAATCTCTGAGCAGGACGGGAGGATCCACACTCTGACCCTAAATGACGTGGCCTGCCACGACTCAGGCACTGTCACCTTCAGAGCTGGGTCCCTTATATCTTCAGCTAAATTATTAGTCAAAGGTATTTCCTCGTTGGAAAGAAACACACGGCCACCTCTGGACCTGCTCCGTGTGCTGGTGCTTCTGCCTTCCAGGCTACCCTTACTAAATCCCTTCACAGCTCTTCTGTGCCCTGCAACCCTCCACTTGTGCAAGTCACCAATACTCAACCCAGAAGTCTTACAGGTACAACCACATCGATTTTTGCAGTGGTTCAGGTGAGGAAGGGTTGCAGGCTCAGGGCTGCTGCTTTCACCTGATGTCAAAGAAGAGATGAACATAAACAACTGTAGTAGCACCTGACTCTCTATCCCCACTTCAACTTTTTTGAATAATACCCCAAAATCTTATGGAGATGGTAATTCACAAAATTATCACAGTCAGGCTACTGCTGCTCAGCTCATCCTGTTCCCAGCACAAGACTTTGGGCTGTTCCTGGAAAGCAAAGGATGTATGACATTGCAGGAACACAGTGACAAAATGAGCCTTGTTTGTTGAATGGTCATCACTGCCCTAGCAGAGCTTTCTGGTCTGTTAAATAACTATTTTTCTCATTTGGTAAGGGTAGCCACAAGCTGCAAATAACACCGAGCTCCAGACTTGATAAAGCAAGTTCCCTCCCAGTCAGTCCTTTTACATCCATGGGGAAAAGCTGGTATTTTTCAGACAAAAATTAATGCTTGTTCCTTGCTTGGAGAAGGGATTTGTATATACAGAGATATAAAGGGTTAAAAGATCCTTATTTAAATCTACTCCAACAGGAATGATCCACAATATGGAATTGTAGTCAGTGGTTGATGTCTCCTCTGTATAAAGAGTCCCTTGTACATTCAGAAAATTTAAATCTCTACGAAGATAAAATGCCAAAGCACTTCTTCCTGATCTCAGAATGGTGCAGCACCAACAGAATGTGCAAACCCCATCCTGTGTCTGCCTGTGTCAATTTGAGTTTCAGGTTTTCAGAGACAGAACCTGGTCATGAGCTCTCTAGGGAACAAATGCCAGTGGGCCTAATACATAAACTAAAAACAAATGCATCGCTAGGTGTCCTGCTCAGTCCAATAAAAGGCTCCTGAGAAGTTTCCATTTCACAGAATCAGAGTATATTTGATGTTGGAAGGGACCTTTGGAGATCATCTACAGATGCTAGTACACATAGGAATGGGGATATTTTTTGCTTCTGTGAAGGAAAGATTTCTTTATTGTGAGCCTGAATCACAGTAGTATATATTTATAATTGTATTAACAGACAGTTTCAGGCACTTTTTGTCTATAAATTTAAAATAGATCCGTCTTTGGACTGTATTTCTGTCTACCTGGCTATCCATGGCTTGTCCTTCATCTTGGAGGAAATCAACTTTCTCTCTATTCCGTGTGCCTCGTTCTCCTGCCTTAAGGCATGCTGCTAACTGGGTATATTCCATAAGTGAGGTCTCAGCTCTTCTTATTGGGCCTTCACCATATCACTGCCCTACAACTGCACTCGTTCAGTGGCCCAGTGTGACAACATCTTCATGTATGGGAGGGGGGAGGATGGGAAAGGGTGAAGGAGCTGCTGCCTCCTTCTGACCCCTTTGGGCAGGGGAGAATTACAGGTCCTGGTGCCCACATTGGCTCCCAAGTCCCAGGGAGCTTTCTGCCATTCTGCACAGGTGAATAGGGACACCAAGGTCCTTTCCCAGCAGTGGCAAAGAGGGAAGGGGCGGTGGAACCAGGACACTTCCCTTCTCCAATGCCACAGGTGATATTTGCTGTGAGAGACACATTTCTACCTCTTCTGAAGGGAGACGGTGTTGTGCTCCCCAGCTGCACGGGTCCCTTCTTCATTCTTCAGTCTTGATGTCACCAAAACATCTTCGTGGTCTCCCATCCAAGCCTCCTCTCCATAAACACACCTGCAGACACAGGGAGTGGCAGAGGGAACCCCAGTGAGTGGGATCAAGCCTTGCAACAAAGTTCCCAAAAGATGTTTTTGCAAAACTGTCTTTGCTTCCCAAGGTCTGCTTGTAGCATCCCAAATCCTCAACCTGATGCACCTGTTTCAGGAGGAGCATTCCCAGACTGAGGTCCTGTGTAGTTTATTCTCCCTGGCTTGTGATCAGAACAGCTATTTGAAAGATAAGGGCATATCAAAGAATCATAGAATATCCTGAGTTGGAAGGGATCCACAAGGATTATCAAGCCCAATTCCTGGTTGTATATCAGCTTTCTCTGACTGTCCCTTTGTAGCCCCATCAATTCTTTTTGGAAGTTGACATAATTCTGCTGAGAATGATGTTGCAGAGAGAATTCCACTTTCAGTCTCCACTGAGGTTTTTCTTTTTAGCATGAGTGGTCCAACCTGAAAACTCAGGAGGGACTCCTTGGCTGCTTTGGAAGCTCATAATATTTTAGGTTAGATATATCTACAGTGCCCTACAGCTGCCTCACAAGAAACAAAACCAGTATTTTAAAAGAAAGAATGGGTGCTTAAAAGCAGCCTCACAGATCTCACGTTCTTCAGAGGAGCTGCACATCCAGCAGCATTTTATGGGCTCTCAGTCTGAGATGTCAGTGGTTCATGGTGCATCTCTAAATGAGCTGCTGTAAAGGAAATCATATGGTTTTTCCCCCATTTACGTGTCTGCTGCAGAGGAACATGTGACTAATCAAAACAATATGTACCTGCCCCTGTGGAATGCCTTTTTTTGTCACAGTTATCCTGGATCTTTGCTCCTCACGCTGCCGATGACTCCTGACAGCCCAGGACAGGAATGGGTGTTTGCATTCGAGGTCTGGGTTTCTTTCCCATGAGTAGTTGCAGTTTGCTCATACAAGGAGCCTCCAGCAGGGTTTGGGATGTGTTGCTATTTCTCTGTGAGGCTGAGAGTTACGGGGAACCACTCCCAGCAGCCCACCCACTGCTCTCTCCTCTGTCTTACCCTTGTGCTCCACCTCCAGGAAGCAGAACTGTTTCACACCCGGTGCTTCCCAATCTGGAAGGTCTCAGCCATGCTGGGAGAAAAACTAAACCCAGAGGGAATCCCCCCAGATGTTCTGCTCAGAAGTCCACATTCAGGAGTTTTAAAGCACGAGCCTTAACAGCTGGTAGCCCATTTTCCAGTGTGGTGGTCGTGTTCTAACATATCAGTTTGGCTTCAACCCTGCTTGATGCTGACACAAGCACAGACTAAACTGCTAATTCCCAGCTTGCACTGACGCTCTGCCTGCTCCTCACGAGCTCTGTGCTTGTCAAAAAACTCTCCAAGTTGCCATTTCCGTGGGGATCCACTAATGCATGTCCTTCCTGACGTGTTGGTTAACAGATCCCACCATTGAAGTGGTCAGTCCCATGCAGGACATAACTGTTGATGAAGATGGCCCAGCAGAGTTCATATGCCAATATTCTAGGCCAGTGCACGCCATCTGGAAGAAAAATGATCAGGAAATACATGCAGATGGGCAGCGAGTGATTATCGATCAGGACTGGAATGTGAGCATGCTAAAAATTAACCCTACGGTCCCAGAAGACACTGGCATCTATTCTTGTGAAGCTGGAGGCACTAAAGTGATGGCTACACTTGATGTTCAAGGTGAGGCCTTCCAGCCAAAGAGGGAGACTGTCATGGTTTCCAAATAAAGGAGGTAGAAAAATCATGGCAGCGCTTCGAAACACATCAGATACCTGCTCTTGGTGTTCACTCCAGTACTTATAATAAGTTGGGAATTGGTGGGCATTGCATATGAAAATGCAGCATTAGCTCAGTTCTAATTAACTCTCACTTATTACACCACTCACCTGTTGTACCTCTTCTGCAAAGAACTGGAACATTGGTGTGATGGTTTGTGTCCTGCTGAATTGTTGTGAAACCACAGATATAATCTTGGTCCAAAGGAATTATAAGAATTTTTTTGCTCTTAAAGAGCACTTTTTACACCCAGTGTGCCTTAAAACCAGTAAATAATGGATAGTGTGGAATTCCATTTGATTTCTGCTGAGCTAAGGTAATTTATTATTTCAAAGAGTGATTCCTCAGAAGTTACCTTCTCACTTGGCATCAGCATTTGGGAAAGCACTGAGGAACAGTAAATAAAAACAAAACTAAATTTAGGATTTCCCATGGATGTCTTATTTTTTTTTTCTGCTGCATATGGGATTACTGTGTTTGCTTTACCAAGTGAATTACTGTGATCAGCAAGAGCAGTGGTTCTGATTTCTGAATATTTGTGGCCATTTTGCCTTCTTGCTTAAGTGGAGCTGTTAGTGCAGAAGAACAGGGTATTATTTATTATAATATTTTTTGCATCTATAAGCACTTTCCATTTTAGGGATTTAAAAAGATTTTAATGAATAAAAGCATCCCAGAGGAGGTAAAGTTAGCAATTTTCTGCTTTCCATAATTAGGGAAACTGGCACTTCAAAAGTGAACAGATAAACAGTTTGGATTTGCTCTAAGAAAATTATACATTCTCTAAGAAGGATTTTCAAACACCTCATTGTTCTCCATAACCATGAATATTATAAAATACAGGATTTTTTTACTATCATAGAGTCCTTGAGTGGTTTGGGTTGGAAGGGACCTTAAAGATCATCCGGTTCCACCCTGTGCCATGGGAAGGGACACCTTCTACTAATCCCAGGTTGCTCCAAACTCCATCCAACCTGGCTTTGAACACTTCCAGGGATGGGGAGCTCACACACAATCTCTCTGGGCAACTTGTAATTAGTAATAAATCAATCAATAGCTAGTAACTTTTCTTTTTCTTTTTGCTATTAAATTAACTGTTGAGTTTGTTGGTATTTTCTTAATTTTATTTATTTTTATTAATTTTTTTTGCTTAGCACACTTCCAGATAATACCTGTAGAGACCTAAACAGGAATGTCTGTTGGGTTATATCACAGATCTTTCTGACCATTCGATGGTATTTGTGTGAACTGTATTTACTCAGCTGTGTGTCCCCACTCCTGTGCATGTCACTTGTCCCTGTAGCTGCTGCAATACAGGTTATATCCCTCCCACCAGCCCACATTTAATTTTGCATCAGGCTGATTGTTCCTATCCAGGTGCCAACTGATGCATGACCGCGTGGGGAAATGGAGTTTGGAGGTTTGTGCATGTTCTGACCCCACAATTCACCCCACAAGCGTGGGAAAATCAACCTAATTGTCACAGGGCTTTTGTGATAATTCAGAAATTTCTGTTCTAAGTACTCTTAATACAGATTTTAACTTCCTGTGTGTTTCCTAGAGGCAGAATTAGCTCGGATGACAGTCGCTGTAGCTTTGCCAGCCATAATATTCTCTTATATTTGCTTTGCAAGAAAAGTAGTAAGATTTTACCATGAGCTGTCAGTGGATTCACAACTCCCCAGTTATGATGATAATTGTGCCGTCTGGGAGATCTTTGGGAAATGTTTCCTGCCGTGGGACAGAAGGAATTTGGTTCTACTTTGTCTTCCTGAGCTATCCCTTCCTAACAACTGTTGGCCTGTTTTATACAAACACCACTTTTTTTCTTTATTTGTAAAGAAAAGTCAGGGTTTTGGAGGAAAGACAGAGAAATACTAGAGGTCTTAGAGTTTTATTGTTTTATTTTTAAACTGTCTCACTACTTTAAATCTTTTTAATTATAATCTCGTGTTACAGCACGGTTGAAACCAACAATCAAACCTGCAAGCACATTTTATCACATCCGTGTTTTTCCATCAGCTTTCCAGCAGCAGGAATCATCCAGTGGCTTGTTGATATTCGGACAGGCATGGCCAAATAATTAATGCTGTTCATTGTCCTTCTTTTCCAGCCAAGAACAGCATCGTGCAGGGCTTGGAGAACGTGGAAGCCGTGGAAGGAGGGGAAGCCCTGTTCGAGTGTTACCTCTCCAAGCCCGAGACCTACAATTACAACTGGCTGATTGACGACGAGCCTGCCAAGACCACGGAGAACACCGAGATGGTTTACTTTGAAAATGGGCTCAGGCACATCCTGCTGCTGAAGAACCTCACCCCCCAGGACAGCTGCAGGGTGACTTTCATGTGCAGCGACGCGGTGACCTCGGCCTTCCTGACGGTGAAAGGTAACTCGAGCGCTCGGGCGTGGGGGAGTCCTCAACTTCTGGTTGGAAAGAGGAGAGGAACCAGGAGAATGTGATGAGTAGAAGGGAGGAAAAGTCGCATTTGTTGCCTGCTTCTTACTTATAGTCTTCTTCCCGCACAGAATCATTGAGGTTGGAAAAGATCTCTTGGATCATTGAGTCCAACTGTTAACCCAACACTGCCTGGCAACTGCTAAATCAAAGAATCACAGAACCATAAAATCAAAGAATGGTTTGGGTTGGAAGGGACCTTAAAGATCAGCTAGTTTTAACCCCCTTGCCATGGGCAGGGACACCTTCCACTAGCCCAGGTTGCTCCGACCTGGCCTTGGACACTTCCAGGGATGGGGCAGCCACAGCTTCTCTGGGCAACCTGTGCCAGGGCCTCCCCACCCTCACAGGGAAGAATTTCTTACTTATATCCAATCTAAATCTACTCTCTTTCAGTTGAAACCCAGTCCTCTTTGTTCTGTCACTCCAGGCTCTTGTAAAAAGTCTCTCTCCATTTTTCTTGTAGCTCCCTTCAGGTACTGGAAGGCCTCAATTAGGTAACCCCAAAACCTTCTCTCTTCCAGGCTGAACAAACTCAATTCTCTCTTCTTTTAATGGATGATGTTTTACAGTTTTCATATTTTCTTGTTCTGTAAGACATGGCACAGTTAAAAGCAACAACACCTGACACTGAGTGAGCAGCAAATGACTGTCTCACAGTTGTCATTATTCTGATGAGTTGGGTTGTGTTTATTTGTTCTCCAGGGCTCTAGAGATGAGAGTTGCATCAACAATGATATTATCTCTGTATCTTTGTACTTTATGCTATTACTGGAGACTCCTGTGGGGATCAGGACCCCTTTCAGAGTACAAGAACAGCCATCAGTCCCTACTTATGGGTTGGATGGGGCTTTGAACTTGGTCTAGTGGGAGGTGTCCTTGCCCATGGCAGGGGGGTTGGAATGAGACGGTCTTTAAAGTCCCTCCCAACTCAAAGCATTCTGTGATTCTATACCTTATGTTCTGGTGATAACCATAACCTCCCTTTTAATGACCTCCTTGGTCTCCAAGGCCTGACTGCCCAGAGCTTCAACATAAATGTTCCCAGCATCTCTTGATTGTTTCTGTAACAGGGGCCTTGATTCCCGATTTTAATCTACAGGATGGCGCCTGCAGTTCTTGCAGCCTCTCAAGGATGTGGAAGTCTCTGTGGGGGAGAAAGCCACATTTAGCTGTGTTCTGAGTGAAGCTGTGCCCATTAATGAAGTGTCCTGGTATAGCAATGACGTAGAGATCCAGTCGGGTGAGGACTGGGAGGTACAAGCAGATGGAAACAAATACAAACTTATTCTGAAAAAAGCCCAGCTGCACCATTCTGGAGAGGTGACCTTTGCTTCCAGGGAAGCAATTTCATCAGCCAAGCTTTCTGTGATGGGTAAGTGTCTGTTGTTCCAGCCTGGTGGCACCTGGAATCTCAAAATCTGGTATTGAGCTACGGCGTTGAAATTTTTGATCTTTGCTCCAGTTCTTTTCCCTTTGCCTCGCACATCCCGAAATGATGTTCTTAGCCTGAGAAGATGCTACTTTGACTAGACGTAGTCCATCTCATCAGGCTGGTGATGATAGAGATGTTCACCAACTTTCTTTAGCTGCAGTCTTTTGTAAAATGTAACATAGGCTCCAAAGAAAATCAATTTTCTCAGAGTTCAACATCACCCTCAGCAAATGTCGGTGTAGGAGGGAGCTGAACTAGAGTTCACATGGAAAAATTATCCAGGACAGCAAAGAAGTCTTTGTAATCTGTTAATCAACTCAAGAGCAGGGCAACCATTTTCCCAGAGTAATGAGCTCCATATTAAAACCTCTATGGGTGGGACATCCATGAAACACACACCTTGTTTTCTGACAGACTTAAATTTTCTTTATCTTATTTTGGGCACCTGCATTTTAGGAACTGCAAAATACAGTCCTCAGGAACTCTTCCTGTTGACAGATTTTTCTGTATGAGATTTAGCTGACAATAGAGGAAAAAAAAGCTTTTTTATGTTATTTTTATTGTGTCCAGAATCAAAGAACTGGCTGTTGACCACATTTGCCTGGTACATCATGGCAGGTAATTTACATGATAAATGTCTTGAACTTGAAAACTAAAACAATTATTTCTGTCTTCCAAGCCAAAGTATAATTTAATTATAATTTAATTTCCAGTGTACTGAGTATGGGGGTTGGAACTGGGTGATCTTCAAGGTCCCTTCCAGCCCAAACCATTCTATGATCATCAGTAACCCATCTGGTAGGGCACCAGATCCATCCAATTACATATTTATTTGTTATTGCCTGATGCCGTGACATGTATCACAATTGCACAGAAACTGAGTGATTTGCTATTAAAATACTGGAGTTACAGTTTAGTTGCCTCTTTAGTGCATCAATAACTTGATTTCCACTGAGGCCAGACCTAAAATAAACATAATCAAGGCCCAAATATACCTGAAGTTTGCAGCTAAATTCCTCGATGATACGGACAGTGTAGGGTTATCTTTATTTTGAGCTGGGTGGGGCAAACCAAGAGGAAAACAAATCACAAAATATGACATTAAGTATGTGAGATGAGAGCTGGAAAAGGAGTGTTTGTGTAGAAAAGGGCAGAGAAAAGGCAAACTTGATGGTGCACAGCTAAGCTGCTGTAGACCTTATTTTTTTGCATGGCATGCCTGCTTCACCCATTCCAGGCATCTCCTGGAAGAATTCACTCCATGACATCTTTCAGTGCTTGACTGCCAACACAAGAGAGGAGGAAGACCTTGGGAAAAAGTTGTTCTGGGCTGCCTCAAACAAAACTTGGTGTGTTGTTTGTGCTCAGCACTTGTTTCCTCCAAACTGCACAGCCTGCACTTCATCCATCACCACGGGTTTCATTTCTGGTGGAGTTAGGATGGAATGAGGCAAGAGGAGCATGTTGGAATGAGTTTGGGGTGACCAAGACCCTGCAGGGGGGTGGGCAGTGTTGTGTTCTTCACCCATCTTTCTCTTTTGTTGCATTATTTGTGTATATTTTTCAACAACCTCCTCAAAGAAATGCTGGAGGACACAGTGCCTTTGCTGCCTGATGGTGGAACTTTGAAAGCTACAGTGGGATGGGGAGTCACTCCCTCAGTCTTTCTTTTCTTGCAACTCTTTCTGTGAAAGCTGAATGCCAAAAAAATTCCTCAAACTGAGAATAATAACCTAAAAATCCTCTTTTACTTAAGGCTCAGGCACACGATGATGTTTTTGTGACATAATTGCTGCCAGTGCCGGACTCTGATGACTCTGCACATGCTGACTTTGTCTGTGAGAAAACCAAATTTTGGGCAGGGATTCCCTCTCCCTGGTGAAATGTGCAGAGGGGCAGATCATGCTCAGGAACGTGCTGCTTTTGGGGAATTTAGCAGTGATTTACATTCCAGACAACCCCTCTGTGTTTAATGCACTTGCCACAACTTTGAGTATCACTGTAGTACAAACACCCTTCCATTGGCAGGTCTCTTTCCAAAGTAAAGCATTTTTATTTTTAAATTCTTTATGCTTTTTGGTAATTTTTACTCCTCCTAAGCTAATCTCGATATATATTTTTTTATACTTTCAAGGCTGTGATGAATGCTGCTTTGAATAATCTCTTTTTTATTCTTTTTACTGTTTCTTTCTCGTCTCAGTTCAGAACTGGCTCACTTCTAAACATTTAGGATCTCCCAAAAATCTGTAGAACTGCTTGAATACTGGGGATGGGTAAATTAAGACCAGCAAATAAGCACAGGAATGTGAAAAATGCAACCACTTCTGCATGTCTATATTTAAATGGAGATGGGTTAATCATTTGAAAAGCTTGGGAAGTTGTTTTGATATTGTCTTAGGAATTGCAAACTTTGGATGCTGCCAGTCTTTTTATTATTTTCCTTTGGTTGTCTACAACAGCTGATGAATCTATAAATGATGGATGGGATGCTTGGAGCGATATAGAGTGATCTGGAGTGCCTGGGAGCCAGATCATGATTTGTTCTTTGCGTTAATTCACTTTATTTTTGTCCTTGCAGAGCCTCCAGTTACAGTCACCCAGCCTTTGGTGGGAGGATCAGTCACGGAAGGGGGGGTGGCTCGCTTGGAGTGCACATTATCCAGCAAAACTGAGGAAAAAGTGACGTGGTTCAAAGGAAAGGAACAAATAAAAGCTGGAGGGAGATACGAGATCCTCTCTGACGGGAAAAAGCAGACGCTCATTATTCATGGGTTCAGACCCGAAGACCAGGACACCTACACCTGCATGGCTTCTCCTGAAGTCAAATCTGTTGCCAGCCTGAGCCTTGAAGGTACAGAGTGTGCATTCCTGTGGTGTTAAATCAGTTCTGTTTATGGACAGCCAGGAGCATCTCCACAGCTTGGACTGGAATTTACTTTCTTTCACAAGCCCTGATAACAATCCACAAACAATTGTTATTTTCCTTTTTTTGGTATTCCCCAGTATGTTTCTGTGTCCCTAACAGTTTTGAGTTGCTCAGCTAAGAGTTTCCTCCATCAGAAATTTAAGGTGTGACACCATTGCCTCTACATGGGGTTGTGGTGCCTTTTGAGATGCTTTAGGGTATTCTGTGGATGTCCCAGACAACCTGGAGCATCTCTAAAGGCACTGGGCACTGTGGAGAGGCAAGTGAACGTGTCCCAGAGACTGAGGCACAACCTTCAGACTCAGACACATCCAAACAGGCAAGTGAGGTGTGTCCATGAGAGGTGGGAGTCTCTGCTCCCAGCATAGCCACTGGAGGTCTATTAAAATCAGTCAGTGAAACTCTGTCTAAATGTAAGAGAGGATGAGCCTGAGGAGCTTTCCAGCCTCTACTGTCAGTCTTAATTAGGTGTTCATCAACTGCAACATTAAAAAGGGGCAAAAATTTATTTATTTGGTTTAAAAATGCAAGGAATAATAACCAAAAAACCCTTGCTGTTTGGCTATGTTTGAAGTGAGTAGGATCACAGGGTAGTTGAATTTAGAAAGGACTTCTGAAGACAGTGTGGTCCATCCCCCATGCTCAAAGAACAAGTTTTCCAGGGCCATGTCCAGCCATATTCACCTCCCAGAGAGGTTGTGGAGTCTCCTTCTCTGGAGATTTTCAAAAACCATCTGGACACTGTCCTGAGCAATGTGCTCTAGGGGACCCTGCTTGAGCAGGGAGGTTGGACCAGGTGACCTCCAGTGGTCCCTTCCAACCTTCCCTGTTCTGTGTGATTCTGTAAATTCACATTTTCTCCCCAATAGAATGCTTAGTTAAATGCCACCCATACTCTTGTGCTCAGGCTTTGGGGTAACATTTCCATGTTTCTCAAAGCTCAATCACAGACTTTGTCTTTCAACGTCTCATCAATCTGATTCTCCCCAGTGCCCACGGCGACGATGCTGAAGGAGATTGCCAGGGAAGCACCCCCTGCAAGCCAGCCAGGGGAGCTGGTGGACGGCCAGATCCAGCCCAGCTTGCCCCCTGAGGCTGCTCAGGAGGGAGATCTTCACCTCCTGTGGGAAGCCCTGGCCAAGAAGCGCCGGATGAGCCGGGAACCCACCTTGGATTCCATCAGCGAGGTGCCTGAAGAGGACCTCGAGAGGCTGCAGAAGCTGAGGAAGGAGGAAGCAGAGATGTCCCACTACTACTCAGAGGAGTATTCCACGTGTGACGAGCTGGCCAGGACGGGAGAAGCCGATTTCTCTTTCACAAGCTCAGATGATGAGTCCAGAGCTGGGACACCCTCACTGGTGAACTACCTGAAAAAGAAAGCTGGGAAGACGAGTATCAGTGTCACCAGCAAGGTTCAGTCCACCTCCACAGGCAAATTATGGAAGCAGTGGGAGAAATCCAGTGTGGAGACTGCTGTGACCACCACAGCTGCCAAACCAGCTGAACCAGAGCTGCCAGACTTGGATGACCCTTCCATGAACAAGGCTGCCGTGAAGATCCAAGCCGCTTTCAAAGGCTACAAGGTCAGGAAGGAGATCAAGCAGCAAGAGTGCCCCGTGTTCACCGAGACCTTCAAAGACTTCTCTGGCGAGCCTGGAAGCACTCTGCACCTGGAGTGTGTGGCCCACAGCAAATCCGACATGAAGGTCCGGTGGCTGAAGGACGGGCAGGAGCTTTCGGACGGCCGCTACTACCACATAGACAACTACAGCGACGGGACCTGCTCGCTGATCATCGCCGGCCTGGACAGGAAGGACGCGGGAAAATACACCTGCGAGGCGTCCAACAAATTCGGCAAGGTCTCCCACAGCGCCAAGGTGGTGGTTGGTGCTCAGGAGGCTCAGGTGCTTCCTAAGAAGCAGGCGAAGCAGAGCACCGACAGCGAGACCGAGAGCTCGTCCGGCAGCGAGCTGGACGACGCCTTCCGTAAGGCCGGGAGGAGACTCCACAGGCTCTTCAGGGCCAAGATCTCCACGGAGATCTCTGACGTGGAGGAGGAGCTCTTTGTCAGCGCGGACGAGGGGGACATCGACGTGGTGGACCACCAGACGTACCGGGAGGACGACCGGTACATCTACATCAAGTTCGAAGTCTTGTCCGAGGCCAAAACGGCCGCCACTCGCTTCAGGGAGATGTTTGGGGCCCTGGGGATCCCCGTGGAGATCGATATTTTGGAGCAAGGCCCTAAAAAAGTTGAACTGCGTATTGGGAAGGCCTCACCACCCACCTTCGGGAAGTTTCCACCACCAATAGCGAGACCTCCGCCGCCTTTGCTGACTTCTGACACAGGTAGGGAAAGCAAACCTTGAGGATTCCTTTTTTGTTCATGAAAAGACAGCTGGAGTAGGTCAAAATATTATCTTTTCACTCTCAAACAGCTCAAAATAACACCATTTTATTTTTTTTTCCTTCATTTGGTGCAGATATTTTTCTGGAAACTTCACACTTTCGGAAAAAAATTGAATTTTTTATATTTTATTTAGAGGGAAAGAAGAGACATTAGTGCTGAAGGAGGGGGTTGTAAAATATCGACTTATCTATGAAGCTGCTTCTCATTATATAAATGTCTCCTAATACAATAATATAGCCATAAATGCTATGATTATTATACTTAAATGAGCAAAACAGTTTTTAGAAAGGTCCTGAGGGAGACAAGACATTTTGGCAAGGAGAGGAAGAAAGGAAATGCGTAGTTGGCAACTGTGCTTATGGAAGATCTTCACAGTGTTTGTCAGGGAGTTCCTTCTTGACTGTTTTCACAGACATCGCTCTGAAAATAAAAACCCGGGAACCAGAAGTCTTCAGGCGCTGGGCACTTCAAATAACACCTTTTAACACAAGTTTTTCCCTTTTCTCCTCTGCGACCACCCCCACTTTAGCTCCCATGTTCATGACTGAGCTCCAGAACCAGGAGGTCCAGGATGGGTACCCGGTCAGCTTCGACTGCATCGTCGTCGGCAAACCGCTGCCCACGGTCCGCTGGTTCAAGGATGGGAAAGCCATCGAGGAGAACGACCACTACATGATCAATGAGGACCAGGAGGGGTGTCACCAGCTCATCATCACCGCCGTGGTCCCCACTGACATGGGCGTTTACCGTTGCCTGGCTGAGAACAACATGGGAGTGGCTTCAACCAAGGCTGAGCTTCGGGTGGACTGTGAGTCTCAAAATCACTGTGGAAAAAAAAACAAGGGAAAGGGTCCTTTGGGAAGGTGGATAATTTTTATTTTTCCCCCCAGAAAAGCACAATTTACGTTAGAAAAAAGTATGTGTTGCCCACAAAATGTTTCACTTGTAAAACTCTGAAGTTTCTTAGGCCCAGCTGGGTTTTGCCTCTTGGGTTCAGGTGGGTTTTGTGAACTCCAAGGCAAGGCTCAGAGCAAAGCTTTTCAGGTAAGCAGAGGTGTTTCCTGTAATCCAGGTGGTCATGTGGGATCCTGCTGCAGGGAAATCTTAGTGGGAAATCTACCTACCAATCACTCAAATTAGCAAAGCAACTTATTTTTCTTTTAAATTCCCCCACTTACTTATTAAAGCAAAAATGATAATAAATAAAAAAGAAGAAGAATAGTTTCAAAGCTTAGATTATAGAAAAGACATCTTTTTCCATTTAACAGTGACCAGCACTGACTATGAGACAGCAGCAGATGCAACAGAGACATCCTCTTACTACAGTGCCAAAGAATATATTTCAAGGTAAAATATCAAACTCTCGCTCCAATTTCTGACTTGATGAGATCAATGCACGTATTTATGTCAAACCTGGTTTTACCCTGTCAAGCAGGGCCAGTTTAATGTCACAAAGGAGCAGCCAGACCAGCTGAGATGCAAAACTGCAGCAGCTGGACATTTATCACATGCACATTTGCCCTCAGGCAAGCCTGGATATTTCTCCATGGTGTCACCCCATTACTTTAGTGTCAGATGGTGCTGAATCTGCTGTCATGATGGCAAAACCCACAGTCTGAATTAACCTAAAATAGGCCACTCTGATTCCTAACTCTTATCTGCCTTGCTGACTTCCTTCTTTCTAATTTCTCACTGTTTCTCAGCCGAGAGCAGGAGGAATCCACCACCGAGGAGGAGCAACTGCCCCAGATCTTTGACGAGCTTCATGACATTCACGTGGCACCTGGAGCATCACTGGCTAAATTTCACCTGAAGGTCAAAGGTGAGTGGATCCCACAGTACTGTCAGTTTTCCGGGTTTGATGTCAGGTTGAAGAGCTGGACAAGGTTTTCCAAGGTGTTCTTCTGCAGCTGTGACCCCAGTTTGTGCATCTTGCACCACGAGTGCACAAACCAGCCCAGAGAACATGTTCATGCTGATGAACATTGACTTCTGCAGCAGATAAAGTGTCTCCAAGCATAATGACAGTCAGATGCTTCTGAAAACTGAATTCTGTCTTTCTCTGAGCACAGGAGCAATAAGGAATAATAATAATAATAATAATAATAATAATAATAATAATAATAATAATAATAATAATAAAGCAAGGGTCCTTTGTCCTCTTAAATAAATTAAACATTCATGGAATTGCCTTATTCTATGAGGGGGTGGCTGCCACAACCTAAAAAACTGCAAAAACATCCTCCTGGTGTTGACTGTGGCAGGGAGAGGTGGGGATTTTCCTGTTTTCTCATATTGCTGTCTATAAAAATGATAAGAACTGATTTGCCTTCAGCTTTTCTCCTTGTGTACGTTTCAAATCAGAAACAGAAACAACCCAGGTGTTGTTTTTCCAACCTTCAAGGCATTTGCACTTGCAGCCAACATGGGGAGTGCCAGAAACTGAGGAGACAGGAAAGAATTTCAACGGATAAATAGAATTTAATGAATTTTTAGGCATTCCTGGTTGGGTGAATCCTTGAAACAGCAGCCCAGGGCAGAGCTGGGGGTGCATCGCCTCCTGCTCAGAAGGATCTGCCTGTTTGGAGATGCTCCCAAAGGGATGTTGCCAAGGAATTCTGTTCTCCACGTCACAGGGTACCCACAGCCTCGTCTCTACTGGTTCAAGAATGGGCAGCCCCTGAAGGCCTCTGATCGCATCCTGAAGACTGACAGGCAGGAATTCCACTCCCTGGAAATTCGGGATGTCACCAAGGCGGACGCTGGGCAGTACCTGATCTTTGTCATCAACTCTGCTGGCTCTGCCTATTCCTCGGCCAGGCTGGTGGTCAAAGGTGGGCATTGCACTTGTTTTGGGCACTTACTTTTCTCTATTCCAGTGTCTTTTTCCATGTGATAAAGTTATTTTTCTTGAGAAAGCCTACCAAGGCAGCTCAAGTGAGGTGGTGAATTCTGTAGATAAAAGATTTATCTTTTATTATTATTTGGTTCACCAATAAATTTACTGATTAGGAAGATGAGACACGTCACTTCTCTAGGCTCTCACAAACATGCATTTTATTCCTGCTCAACCTCATTAACTTTCAAAGTTTATTTTATTAAACTGAAGGCCCCTTATGAATCATACCAACATTTTTGTGTAATATCTCCAGCAGGGAATAATCTCCTGGAGCTGCCTTTGGAGTAATTTTTCTGCAACTCATGGGTTGAAAGTTATTTATATTTTTCATTTTGTTTTTTCTCCTTTCATTACAGATCCTTATGAGAAAGAGGAGCCATCCAAAACAGGTGAGAGAAGCCACAGAGGGACATAACAGAACCCCCAGGAACCTTTCAGTCTAAACTCACCGTGTTTCATCAATAATGTTATTTTCAGATTCCCATGAGCAGCTGATACCACCGAGGTTCCTTGAAAGATTTACTAATAAAAAGGTGAAAAAAGGTGCAAGCATCACGTTATCTGTGAAAGTGGAAGGTGAGTGGGTTGATACCTTGTCTCTCTGCACAAAAAAATTGTGTAACTTCATGACACATTCTGGACTCTCTTTGCCCCAAGTCGTTGTAAACTCATCTCCTGTATCTCAAATCTGGGATTCCACTCCCAGTTTACATCTCTTACAAAGAGACTTTGCACAAAATCATCTTATTCATCTTCACCTCCATCTTCTTGTATGCGACAACTGGGATAACAGCATTTATTAGTCTTATGAAGATTTATTAACAGTTATGGTTTTACAGAAAGACTAAATGACCTTCTGAGGGTGCTGTAAAATGATTTATGTTCCTTTATTGCATATTATGCCTGTTATTGTGGGGAAAGTGTCAGGAAATGGATCAAAACAACATTTATTCACAGCATGGCTCATATTTGTGAGGAAGAAACACAATTAGGAGGATTAAAGCTCATTGCTTCACTTTTCCTTTAGGACATCCACCCCCAACTATTACTTGGATGAAAGAGGAGTCCCGGAAAGACATCCTGTGGATCAAACCAGACACCCCTGGGTACAAACTTGCCAGTTCCAACATGCACCACAGCCTGATCCTGCTGGATGTTAAGAAGAAGTACAGTGGAGCTTACACGTGCATTGCCACCAACAAGGCTGGCCAGTCCATCTGCACGGCCAACCTGGAGGTTGCAGATGGTAAATCTTTCTTACAGCACAAACACATTCTCTGTATTTCCCTTTTATGCAGTGCCCAAGAGAAAAAAAACCAAGTGTGACTGATGAGGAAATTATCAATCATGCACAAAAAAGTGCATTTTCTCAAGATTAGCCACGACTTTTGTCGTCTTGCAAATGGTTTCATTCTTTACTTCTATAATATTTTAGATTTTTGACTCTATTTTGTATCAACAGCAGCACCTTTTCTGTATAAACAGGGGACAAGTCTAAGGAGCAAGAAAATTAAGCACAAATTAGAGAGGAAGAAAGAGAGAGAAAGAAAGAAAGAGAGAAAGAGAAAGAGAGACAGAAAGAGAGAGAAAGAGAGCGAAAGAAAGAGAGAAAGAGAGAGAGAGACAGAGAGAGAGAGAGTGAAAGAAAGAGAGAAAGAGAGAGAGAGACAGAAAGAAAGAGAAAGAAAGAGAGAAAGAGAGAGAGAGACAGAAAGAAAGAGAGCGAAAGAAAGAGAGAAAGAGAGAGAGAGAGACAGAAAGAAAGGCAATGTAACATAGAAGCCATCATTTTAAAAATTACTTTGACTGCTCCACTCTGTTATTTTGCAATGTAAAATTGCCCTAAGGCAGCTAAAATTACTTGACTTCCCCTTTACAGAGCTTTCCAGGGCCTCTTTTGACACTATTCCTTCAGTAAAATGGAGGGAAAGCAAATATAGGCTGGGAGTAAGGGCAGCACTGTAGAGGACCCCATTTTTCTGTTATCCTTCCTTGCATCCCACGTTTTTACTGTACCAAGAGCCACAGGAGCAGAGCTTGGGCAGTGTAGAGAAATGGGGCAATCCTATGAACATGACCAGGGAGAGGAGCAAACTCTCAGCATCAAAGGAGCAGGATCAGGGCTGCTGGGGATCAGTATTGCAGTGTTCCCAGTAATCCATGCCTAAACACATCAAGGGAGCATTCTCTGCCTTCTGTCCTCTGATGACAAACCCTAATCTTGCAGTGAAAGAGGCCGAAGTTCTGACCCAGGAGCGGGTGATGGTGTCCGAAGCCATCATGACCACACTGGGGTAAGTGCTTGGCCACCCAGGGATGGAAAGTGCTGTAAATACTCTGATATCGAGGTCAGACATTTATTCTTGATGATCAGGGAGGATGGGAAGAGGGATCAAAAGGATAAATGAGTTCGCGTAGCTCGTATAAAACTTCTGCGACTTTTTTCATCTCCTGAGCAGAATGCAGAGAAAATTCACAGGGTCAAGGTCTGGCTGTTACTTGCCAATACTGAAAGACACAGAAAAAGTAGGTGAAAAGGGTCTATTGCACAAATTTCTTGTTCACAAATGTGTCTGAAGATTAACCTCCTCAATTCACTCTTCTTGGTTTGGACATTAGGCAGATACAGTCTGGAAAGTGGTATCACCTGAACACAAATTAGCTTCTGGAACATGTCTGGCCTAAAAAAGCTTGGCCAGTTTTCCTCTGAGATGTGAAGGAATAGAAGAAAGCTGCAGTGTGACTTTACCTATTCCACTGCAACCTCTCCCAGTGAGATGTGTTTTATCATTTATCGAGTGGGATGAGCTTCCTCTTGCTTCCTGTGTGCTAACAGAGAATTAGGGATGATCAGCTTTTGCAATGGAAATTTCTATCCTCCCTCCAAAAAGCTGAGGCATAGCAGAGATGTTGACATCAGGATATTAATTTTTACAGAGCTTTAGTCTCGGGAAATACCACAAGTTCTCTTCAAGGGACCCAAGCAAATGCTGGTAGTTCTTCACATCTGTGAAAAAATCTGCCCTTTCCCTGCTGACATGAATTAATTTGGTGCTGGTAAAAGCTGTCAGTGTAAGAAAGGACTTTTTGGGCCTCCAAACTGTGGCAGTACCACTAAGTTGCCTTGTTTCCCAACACACGGGCATCCTGATGTGATGGGAGCAGATCATATTATCCAGACTTTGGTTTCCTGATGAAATCATTGGAAATTGTTGAGAATTACTTTACTGAAAACTGACTGATCCCACCTGACATAGTGTCTCTGACTGCAGAAGTTTTATGGCAGTGTCAGCTGGGGAGAAAGTCCCAGTAGCACCACGGAGATGGAGCCTACTCTGTTCTGCAACCCACTCCTGGTCTTCTCAAGCTCCAGGTTGAAATAAAAATCAGGAATAAGGAGAATTCTCAGATGGGTTTTGGCTGCAAGTCTAAACCACCCTTTTTTTTTGGTGGCCATATGAGCCAGGTGCCACAATTCTCATTTCTCACAGTGACCCTGGTGTGTGTCAACTCCCAGCACCTGCAGCCCAAACCAGAGCCCTGACTTAGATATTCCCTTTATATCCAAGGTGGGAGAAGGGGGAATGTGTTCCTCATTTAGCTCACCTTACTACCCATTTTATGTTAACTTTTAATTCTGCTTTACTTTATTTTTCAGAGCTATTCATCCCTCTGAAGCAAGAGAAGGTAAGAGAAGATATTTTCTCTCTCCCACTCCTGCCTTTCATATCTACAGCTGAGGTTGTCCATGTATTTAATGATTGCCACCCACTTTTGTCCCATTTTCTTAAAACTGTCTGAAATTTTGGAACTTTTTGGTTCTCAGACTGTTCTCTGTTCAAGGCTGAATTATTTGGGTGGACTGTGAGCAAGCACAATTTTAAAAACAAGGAAAGGGAAGAAAATCAGACCTTCCTTCCACGGCAGCTTTTATTACTCAAAAAAAAAGATTACTTCCCAATTCCCATCTTAATAGCAGAACCTCTCTTTTCCAGGAGACCTTGAAGGAAGGGAAGGTGTTCCCAAAAGCCCTATTTCATTAGCTGATGTTGGCTCAGAAGAGTTCTTCCAGAAACTCACCTCACGGATCTCGGAAATGGTGTCTGCAAAAATAACTCAGGGTAAGGAACCTGCCAAACACAGTTTAATTAATGTAGAAAAAAAATCCAACCATTTTTTTTAGGTGTTATTTAATCAAAAGTGAGATTTATAGCAGCAGGTTTTGAGCCAATCATCCCACATAAGCTCAGGACTCAGAAATTTTAGTGGGAGTCCATCCAAACTGTGTCTTAGTTTACAGTTTGGAACTAGGAAAAAAAAAGCTATTTTATTAAGTTCTAAAAATGGAAGCGTATTTTTCCCACCGTAGGTATTTCAGTTTCCTCAGATTTTCAACCCTCCTGAGCTGGAAAACAACCCTGCTTTCAAGACTTCCCACATCTTCAAGTTTTGGCTCACAGTGGGATTTTAAAATCGAGTTAAGGCTGAAAACTCTGTGCAATGAGTTGCATTCTCAGCAACAATTTGTTGAATTACATGAAAATCTTGGTTTGTGTTTGTCCTGCTTATCTTGTGGAAAAATTTTGACTTGAAACAAAAATAGAGGCATTATTTCTCCAAGAAATATTCTTGCAGTGCAGTGGCAATACATGCAGTAGGCATTCAACAGCTTGTATTAAAACATCCCAATATTTTGTTTAACCCTAAATATCCATAGGAAATAACACTAAATACTACTACAAATGCTCTTCCTAGGGGATGTTTGCTTTAGAGAAATTGAAAATTATTATAGATTTATCCTTATTCCACACTTTGCTTTTCTTTTTAGCCAAGCTTCGAGTGCCAGGTGCAGAAAGTGATGATGACTCAAAAACTCCCTCTGCATCTCCTCGCCATGGACGGTCCAGACCTTCATCCATAGCTCAGGAGTCCTCCTCTGAGTCTGAAGATGGGGATTCCAGAGGAGAGGTACAATATCTTTATGGACAAGTTTGACACCAGGGGCAAATTTTACTCAGAATAACCAGTTTTCTACAGTTTAAGGATGTCCACCCCCTTTTAGGGCTGTAATTCACTTTAGAAGGTGTGTTTAATGGTTAAATATTGGGTCTGTGATACAGAGAAACAAATTCTGATGAACAGCTTGAACAAAAAGTTGCTCAAGTCAACGTGGTCAAAACTCATCCATCATTTGGCACCTCTTGATTTCGTGGCTGAGCTTCAGAAAGTCAGAGCTTGATTTGGCCAGGACAATTTTGTTGCAGACTCCTTTGTGACAGAAATGAGAATACTGTGAAAATTAGAAATTAGAATTTTTGAGGTGCTCATGCCAAAAACACTTCCTAAAAAAAAATTTAATTAATTAATTAAAACTTTTGAAATGGTAACTTATTTTGAAATTTTCAGGACCTTTGGTTTTGGGGTTTTTTTGTGTGTTTTTTTTTTTTTGCCTTTGGAGAAAAACTCTCTGTTTCGTGGTGTAAATGTGAACCACCTCAGACAGTTCTGAAAATACCTGAAAGCCTCCAAGAGATTTAGTCTTCCACTTACAAAAAGCAAACAGTGGTTTTCTTTGCCCTACAAAGGCCACAGAATGAAACATTAAATGGAGATAAGCACTTTCACCCTGCTGGTGTTGCTCTACTCCACTTCCAGAGCAGAAAATAACTGTTGTTTCATTCCTGCAGATCTTTGATGTCTACATGGTCACTGCTGACTATGTCCCTGCTGCACCTGACAGGGAGACCATCACCCTGAAGGAAGGACAGTACGTGGAAGTCCTTGATTCAGCTCATCCTCTCAAGTGGCTGGTCAGGACTAAACCCACAAAATCGAGTCCCTCTCGGCAGGGTTGGGTGTCTCCAGCTTATCTGGACAAGAAATTAAAGGTGACTGATGGTCCTTGGTTATTTTTCATTCAAAATTCCTTGCTCCTCTTGCAGTTTGGAGCCATCCCTTTTGCAAAGAGCGATGGATGAAGAAGTCCTCGAAGGGGTCTGTAATGTGGTCAGACTTTTGATTAGAAAATAACTCTGGTGTGTGCAGGGGTGCCTGGGTTGGAAAGGCCAAATCACCCTCCAGCAAAATAGAAATTTCACACTGGCTTAGGAATTCTTGAAAGGGACTGTGAGCACGTGAGGGATATGCCTCAATGTGCATTGATAAAAGCACTGCAAAGAAATAAAGAAATAAAGTGATAAAGTCACTTAAAAGAAAAATGTTTCCTTCTTCTTGTACTGCAGTTGTCACCAGAGTGGGGGACAACAGAAATCCCTGAGTTTCCTGGAGAGTTTGTTTCTGAAGATGAATATAAGAGGAAGCTGAGGTGAGCTCTTTTGGTATTTGCACCTTTTGAGTTTTCCTGCCTTTTGAACTAACAGGACTGTTGACATCCAGGTCCTTCCTGTCAGAGTCACTGTTTTTGTTCCTCTCAGTCCTGCCCCCTTCCCTTTCCCAGGATCAACCAAACCCTGGATTAGACTATGGATTAGACTTCAGAGGGATGATCAGACTTGTATTTTGGGATCTTTGATTGGGTTTTGCCATTGATTTCAGCCCAGGAAAATTCCAGGCAATCCCAGAAT